ATACGTGGGCCCAGAGCCTGTGGCACACGGTGCGGGCGTTGAGTGTCAGTGTCGAAACCTCTGTAAACAAGAGACGACTCACGGGTTATTTTGGTGTGCGAGCAGTTCGTCTTGGCGGTAAATGTGGTTATACATTGGACAAGAGCCGCTAGTTTTGCTGCTTCTTCGGGGTGCAGATATGCGGCTGAGTAGATCTTCTGTTTACTTGGATCTGGTCGCAGAATGGTGACGAACAGCCAGACAAACGGCCAGCGATCTGGACAATCATGAATATTCACGGTTCCACTCATGGTACTGTTCTTCAGAGAAAGAATGGGCGGAGGCATGTCCGGTTCAGGTCGTTGCACCCACGAGACATTCGTGAAATCCATCTCCCAGAACATGCAGCGCCATAGCTTCCGGGTAATATGTACGCAGTCGGTGAAGGCTCGGAGCCGGTAGTTCTGGACATGTATGAGAACGGGATCCTGAATGAGGATAGGTGGGGATCTTGGTAACGACGGGTATAGAGAACGAAGTGTCTAGAAAGACGTTGGAGTGCATGCGCCGTTGAGTTTATGCGACAGAGACGATCGCTCTGAGAGTCGTCCGTCGTGCACGGCGCAGTAGACGTGATGCGTCCATGGCACAGATGGCTGTATCTCTTCGAGATGAAGGTAGAAGATGTAGCTCTTGACAGCAGTGGGGAGGCTGAGCAAGGTATTGACGTCCTCGAGCGAGCGTAAGGTGAGACGGAAGAAGAGCCGAGGGCGACATCGGCCGGCCCAGAACTTGGACACTAGCGAGCATTGGCTCATGAGATTCCTCATTTCCTTCGACTCCTCGATATTAAGCGAGACTCGTTTGGTTTGCGCAAAGGTATCCAGGAGGATACCGAATATTTCTTGAGGGACGTCTGCTCCTGTGGTAGGCATGGCACCGCACCTCCGCCAAGCTTTTAGGTTAGAGCAAGAAAGGGGGACAACTTCAAAACTCGACTCCAAGTCGGGTTGCGCCTAGCTGGGTGAGGGTTCTGAACAGGGCGGCACTGACGCTCAAATCTCCGCGTCTGTGGCAACGCGAGCGAAGCGGCTAACCCCAGCTGCCCAGCCCTGGGAGCATACAGCTTCGGAGACGCGAGATATATTCCAGAGGACGCCATGACTCTCGTTGCGACGCGAAAGTCGTTGCAAGTTCCTCGTGTTATCTACACAGCAGAGGGGAACGGAGCTGAGTCGACACCAGCAGGGCCACGAGACAGACTGCGAAGCGGAGGTTTCGTATTCTACGGAACGCATGTGCAATCTTTCTTGATATCCCAGCTGTTGTCCTCAACTTTACCAGGTGACTATGTCCATGCGGTTCCCAGTCATTAACCGGCGTATAAGCCATCAACGCGGTAGTCATGTGAGAACTGGAAAGAAACAAAATCAGTCATGGCGAAATTCAAGCCACATAACCTGTCACGGCCACCTGGTGAACGTGTGAAGTCTCATTGTCGTGGACTAGCACAACACGCAAGTTCAAAGTCACATCAACAATCCGCGGCATGCAGTTCGGGCGGCTGAACGGCAGCCTACCGGCGCCGGCGCTCCAAGCGCCCACACGCCCTCTGGAACAAAACCTAAACCACTTACAGGCAGAAATTGAGGAAATCCAGCAATGATAAAACAAGTACGCGGAGTCATGCAGATGCAACTCCAAATTTGTTAGTCGGACCTGTAAACTTTGGGGCGGAGTGTTACAGAGGAGGCAGAAGACGAGACATTTGTAAGGAATCTATTCTCAATGCTGGATAGCTATATGTTGTATGCTCTGAAGGTATGAGCGGTAGCACCATCGGCGGTAAATACCGACTAGGCTCGGAATTCTGGATTACGAAAGCTGAACACTATCAAGCCGCGCTTCATAGTGGGACATCCTTCGGAAGCACACAGCGTCTCACGATGAATGTTTGAGGCAGCTGCTCGTCGTACATGTTGCCTCGCATGTCACGACCAGTCAAGACCCTCTCTGCCCCTTCGGATAGCTTCGAGAGCAGCGCAGGGTCTTGACTGACGCTCAAGATGTATCGCGCGGACGAAGGATATCGATGTGGTCGTGCTGGCCGGATGTGAAGTGCATATGCGGTTCCTGTTAGCAGTACTAAATTAGGATTTAGACGTTCTTGAAGGAGCGTAATGTAAGGCGGAAAGGGAGACGAAGGATGGCACCGGCTAGCCCAGAATTTGGACACGAATGAGCATTGGCTTAGGAGACTTCCACCTCTCTCGATTTCTCTCGTCAGCACGAAGGTATCCAGGAGATGCCGACTATGTCATTGAGGTGCTTATTCCCGTGGCCGGAGTAGCATCTCGCCTTCCGCAGATTCGCGGACAAGAGCAAGGAAAGAGGAGATCTCTAGGTTATTTTTATCACCGTGCATGTGGTGCAAATGTGTCCTGTGCGTATAAGAGTCCTATCAATTAGGAGACCCAATTAAGATGGGACAAATGCTCAAACACATTTCTTCCTCACGGCAACGTGAGCAAGGTGGCTCAGGCCTGGAAACATGAAGGCTAGACTCGGAGTACATCGTGCGAAGACTTTCGGGTAGCGCCTATGTTCATCGCGGGGGATGAAACGAGGCTTTCACGGGGCTAGCCACGTTGTCGAAGATTCAATCAGCGAAATAGAAAAGGGGCAGACGAAGAGCAACCCCTTGCTACGTCTCCTGTTGACTGGATGCTGCCATCGTAAAAACAAAAAAAAGTGTACAGCACGTTGACTCTACCGAGCAACATTTCATGGCTGAGAATTTAAAAAACGAAGGTCGCAGTCTGCGCGAGGCCTGGGTCGTGCTATTTGACTCCCTGCCACGTACTCGCAAAGGTAGAGAGACTCGACGCACTGTATGGAAGTCATATATATCAATAACCTTTTACAGCTCCCGAGGGGCCCTGAGCTGCCTTCAGGGCCAACGCAGATTCGCTCGCCGGGACATTCCTCAAGGCCTTCCAGACATCGCGAGTTGGCACCTCTTCTCTCGGCATTCCCCCGCTCCGTGTCCCTGTTTCAACCCCGCGCACCCGGCTGCTGAGCACCTCGGGAGATAAATCAACCACGCGTGGGACGACGGCGGGTCCCAGTAGGTCCAAGATCCTGGAGATTCGCGGCGCCGGAAGCTAGTGGAGGCCCAGGCAGCACCGGAACCAGAGTGGGTTTGAGGCACTCCAGCTACAACGGCAGAAGCACTTACGTTATTTCTCCCTGGCCGGGCACAGCGGACGGATTACGGCCAGGGCCTAGGCAGTTGCCTTCTTCGCGCTGCTCGCGTTCTGTGCCGAATGTACTGCGCTCACAGCTCACGTAATGTCCGCTGACGTGCTGCACCGCAATCGGGGCACGCACCAGGGAGCAACATCGCAGCATGATGGACCGCCAGGGCACGTCTGGAAGATGGAACTTCTTCGTTCAGCTTTCTGTTCTGCGGGACGTTCTGCAAAAGGCAAGTGTCATCGTTCGACTGCATGGGTCCCACGCTCTCGCAGTAACGCAGGCACATCCCGCCCGCCTGAGAAGTTATTCTATCACCCTCGAGAAAATGCTACCGCAGGAGGTCGAACCTGGGCGGCGAATATACGAAGATCGCGTGGAGCGCCGTTTCAGCCTATATGATATTAAATCGAGCAGTAAATACATCAGTACTCTGACAGCTTCCTGCAGGAATCCAGGGAGGTCGCTACATGCCTGGTAACAATCTCCTTGACACACGCACAGGGAAGCCCAATACGCCGATAATACTACTGTAAAATATAGTCCAGCCAATCTAAGGCCCACACGCTAACCAGCACCGCTGGTGGAAGCTTCTGTCCAGGAAGCTCCAGCGTGTCGTGTCATGATGCAGGGAGAATGCCGCTCTGGGTGATAATTATAGGGACAGAGGGCTTGCGGAGAATGTCGTTGCTCGTATAGGTTTGGATCCGTCGAACGAGATCCATTCCTTCAGTGACTTCACCTAATCGAGCAATCATGTCAGTGGAGGAATGTCGGATGTCAACAGTATGCCAGATAAGACAGCTCACCGAAGACGACATTCTTGCGGTCGAGATGTGGAGCAGGGACCGTGATGATGAAGAACTGCAGAACGTGGAAGATGATCAGAATTTGGCTTATATGGGCACAGAGGCGCGGCTGCTTGCCTGCGACGAGTTGGTGTTCGGGCCCCGGTTCGCCATAGAGAGTAGTCCAGGCCGGTTATGCAAGAGCCGGAAGTTTTCGTCTGGAGTGTACATGAGGTTTAGTGTGCACCCTACACAGCCTCTGGAGAGATGCGTACCTTCGAAGAACTCGCCGTATATTGACTTCCCTCCCGATCCATCGCGCCTGGTGATATCGCCGCCTTGGATCATAAACTGTAACTTGGAGGATCAGTGGCGCTGTCGGAGGCTCAGAAAGGAGCCGACGTACATCCGCAACGACGCGGTGTATTTCAGACCCCGCATAGCCGAAGCCGCGCTGACCAGTCGCGAGCTCACGAAAGTTCTGTGCGGTCTTGGGACATATATCGTCGAACAGGCGGAAGATGAGGCGGCCAGAGGGCTGGCCATCAACGGAGATGTTAAACTGTTGAGAAACTCATGGGTCAGCTGAAGTTACTCCACAAGGACCAGAGACACCTACGTAAACGTCAGGGCTGCCGTCACCGATAGACTGTTAGCCAGCGACCAAACATACAACGGCGACACTCACGCAGGCATTGTCGTCTTTGAGTGATGGTGAGTCTAAGCGATGATGTTGGGGGAGAGCCAAGCTGGTGGAGGCCATCCTTAAATGTCGTCGGGCTTTGCAGGTAAAAGAAACCAGTTGCATCACCGGCGCCGAGCCGGCCAGAGGTTTACCCTAAGTCCAGGAGGTCCGCATTGGCTTCGGCACCTTCCGTGCAGCATGATCAACCCGCCGTCGTCGGGTACTAGAACGAAGATCACCCCTGTCAGAACCAAAAGCAGGACAATGAACGGTTAATCGCGCGTCGAGTGGGAACTGGGAGCTGGCATCCTCTGGGCTCTCCATGCCACCCGGCCGGTGTGTGCTAGCCTGGCTTGCCATGGAAGTTTGGGCCCGGTGGAGCGAAAGCGAAAGCGACCGAGTCAGGCCCCAAGGAATGTCTTTCGCGGTTGGAAAATACCTGTCGGCTTGGAGTCTGAGCGATGCCCGTTGCTGAGGACGTCGCAGACGACAAAACATGGTCGAGGTTGATACGAAGAACAGCGCCCCTGAAGGTCTCGCTTTGTGACCGTGACCCGTGTGACATACCCTATTTACCCCGCTGGCGTCCGCAGCCGTCTCTGCATGCTTCTGCCACGACGACACACGCTTAGCCCACGGCCAGAGGGGCCCAGCGGGCGGCACCCACGGCGACACCCATGGTGGACCTGCCTTGACGTTGTTCAGCCAGGGTCGTGGTGCTCGCGCACACGACCAACTTGCGCCCGGATTTGAAAGCTGTCCGCCGAGATCGAGAATACGCTTCTCGCTGGCCGCCGCTCTTGCAAAGAGCTGTGTCAAAACGCAGACGCTTCTTGTTACCCGCCCATGGCTTCCGGTCGGAAATTGATGTCTGCAGCAGTCTCCATGTCTTCCTGCAGGGACGGAATAGGGATGTCACGGACAGATCTGGGACAGATGATGGTACGCTCGGCAAACACTCGCTGCGCTTTCCAGCATCTCTTCGTAGGCGGCCCTCCCGTCTGGTGACGTGTATGGTTGCTCTGCGTCGGAAACAGCCGCGACGTGCTGGCACTCCTAGAAAGACCGATCGAGGTGCGTTTTCATGACGACAAAAGCCGGTTAATGGACGCTAAAGAGCACGCTTCTCCAGCTTCTCCTCGGTTCTTTCTTCGACCGGTCGCGTTCCCGGGCTCTACTTTGGTGCTGCAGTACACTGCGCATGGTGTGGACATGGCCATGTTGCGTGCCCGCTTCAACGCGTCTTTGCGCTAACTACTACGCGTTAGATTCTTGGGCTCCGCCTGCCGTCCCGATATGAAAACCTCGCGTCCCAAGAGAATTCCCTTGACGATTGGGTTGACGTCGAACTCTCGCTCGTGCTCGGACCAGGGCGCAACCATGTGGTAAATTGCTGCATGCTCTGCGACTTGTCTACATTACGTGATCTTCACATCAAAGCGTCGTAAAAAGCAGTACCTGACTCAGTGGCATCAATGGGGCTTCATTTGTCCCCGGCGAACTGCGAAATGAAGACCCTTTCTCTCTGCTGCGCCAGGGTGCCGATTTACAACGACATGAAGTAGACCTTAAGTGGCTCTTCCGTTGAGAGCTCACCGCCACACCGCTCGCGCAACGCGAAAGGTGGCGAACATGAGTCTGTCGACGATCCTGCGAGAATCGACGGCGATTTGAATTTGGGGCGAGTTTTCTGGCCGGGCGGGACTTGCCTGGGTGAACAGTGGCCCATAATCGAGGGGTCAGTGTTTACACGTGTTAGGATCTAAAGCCCGCTACTTCCAAATCCAGTAACCTCTTTTCTATGATGACCAAAGCTATGAATATGCACATCGCTTCCGCGCAAGAATGCCTGCAACATAAGAAACAGCCCTGTGAGAAGAGATCGCTCAGGACAAGCCGAGGAAGAGCCGTGTTGACCGCCATGGGCGTAAGGGGAGCCGCATAGACGAGTCAAACTCCACGCACGAGACAGCTGTAAGATTTCCCATTCGACGACTGGGGATACACAATAAGAAGATCGCACGATTCGCACATCGCCCGATGGCCACACAAAACACGTAACCACGGGGTTCTCAGTACACCGACACCGACACCGGCCGCGCGGCCTCAACGTTCTCGTGCTCCGTACCCAGGCTTTGACGCCACGCCTCGGGGCCCTGTATGCCAGGCGCACTGTGAGTACCTGAATCGCCATCGTAACGTAGGGTAAACGTCACCCTCACCGTCATATTCTTCGCGCGACGCATACGCACCCTTCGCATCATCCACGCGTCCGCGGTCTCGCCTGTCTTGAACACAGCCGGGTTCGGCGCACGCGCGACGGCGTCGGCAATCATGGGGCTATCGTTCACCAGGGCCTCGAGGACCACCCCGTCGTGTGGTCGGTGGAAGTACACCAGCGACCAGCGTTCATACGCGGCTTGCTCCTTTGGGGGCGTTCTGTGTAGCGGCAGTCAGCGTAAGCAATGGGTAACGACGGCAGGACGTACATCACGCGATGGACGTTGGATCGGAGGATGCCGCCGCTCATGATCGCTAGGGCGTCGCCGACATTGCAAATAGCATGCCCAGGAATAGGCTGTGGTGCTTTCACATGAACCATGACGCAGAGCGGATAGTAGGCGAGACACACCTTAATGTAGTACCACGAAGTGTCACCTGGCGGCATCACCTGCAGGCCGCCGAGACGATTGTGCAAGAACGACTTTCGCACGAGTGAATCATGGGCAGTATAACTGAGACTGAATCTACTGACCAACGAACCATAATCGGTATGCGCACTCAAAGCCAGCTCATCCGCGGAGACAGCTTTGCCGGGCGGCTTCTTGATGCAGCGCGACTGGCAATGACTCTCCTTCTCCAGCTGATGCAGCTCGTGGAGCCTTCCTTTAGGCAGCCCCAGCTTATTGTTCAACGTGCTCATGAGAATGTTGCAGATGTCGATACTTTTGAGCATGAATGGCTTCACCGCGTCGTCTATGTGCGCGTACACCGTCTCAGGATAGTCCCGGTGAACCTTACGCGGATATGCGAGCGCGTCGTCCTTTGATACGTTGAGGAACTCGGTCGTGTCAGGGGTGCCCTTCTCGTCGATCGCGTTCGTGCCCGCGGCCTTGTACCCGAAGCTGTTCCCACCATCGCCCAGCTCGTACTTCATCTTCTCGTCGAGCGGGAGCTTCATTGTCTCCTCGCCCATGACAAACATCGCATCGACCTCTGCGTCCGCATCGTGATTCTTCAGGCTGGACGAATGGTAATACATCATTGACACTGACTTATGCATGTAGAGTCCGGCATGTATACGCACTACCAGAATCCGAGCTTCGTGGCCGCGTCCCACAGCTTATCGATCTCAGCATCATCGCCTTCTTTGATGAGATGGTAGTCTACCACCAACAGCGAGTGAGTCGGCACGTCTTCCGGAAACGGAGGCAAAGTGGTAAGGCCCGGCATTGCTCTCGAAGCTCTCTGTGGGGCAGAAGGGGTTCTCGCGGATAGCAACGTACAAGGCTATATATATGGCGAGCAATTGCTGTGAACGGCCATCGTGGCCGGCGGTGGACTTCCGAAGGACGTCATACAGCACTCCGAAACGCAACTCGATAGTGTTCAGCTCCCACAAGCCAGCAGTCTGGATTCTGAGCTTGGCTGAGCGACCTTCAACAGCACCGTCGTGCACGTCCTGAGCATACGATCGACGATCTGCTGTTCGCATTGCGCCGCACAGAAATTAAAAGATGCAGAATATTTGCCTCGTCTCTGCCTGCCGCGCCTAATCCACAAATGGTCTGTAGTCAGCCACGGAGACTATCACGGGAGTGAGGTGGAATGCGTGGTGCGCTCGTGTGAGTCCCCCGAGCGCTCTGTTCTCGGATCTATCGGGATTAGCTCACAAGTCAAGATGTTCGCGCTGCTTAACCTTGCACGCTTGTATTTTCGTTACTGAATCTGTTCGAGTCTTTCCTACGTTCAGGCTGAGGAGACAAATGTCGAAAAGTTGCCATGGCATGAGTGTGAGCGCTTGTGCTCCGGCGAGTGCCGTCCGCAGATCGCCGCCCGGCCGGATTGCCTGAACCAATATCTCGCGCTTTTTCATGCCAATATCGAGGCTAGCACAAGACAATAGCAGGTTTGAGGCTTTCATTGGCCCTGTCTCTTCTATCTAATTTCATCTTCTTTCTTGGTTGACAGCATGGCTTTTGGTGACTCGTGTGACTCGAAGCCCCCTCGGAGAATGTTCTATTAGCGAGTAGATTTGTGCCGTTGCACTGCCAGCTCTCGGGTCAGACAGGGTCTACAGAGAATTTTGGAAGGCTGTCAGGCCCTGGCACACGGTGCGGCGTTGGTCTGAAATTGTGTGAGCATGCAAGTGCCAAGCAGTGCCGATGTTGGTATGGTTTAGGACACCTCGTGGATTAATTGTGGCCTTCGTTTCTCAGAATTTTCCGACTCCTGCTGATCTTTAGCTACGCCCAAGCACGACAGCTGCGTCGCTGTCTACGGGTGGTCGCGATATATCATACCTAGCGCGTCAATGATGCTTCTGTTGAACGACCAAAGCAAACTGAAGCGGCGTTTCAATCTTCTTAGAAGAACCGAAGGTACGGATATTGTGCAGCACCTTGATTTCGTTCTCCCGAAGGAATCCAGATCACTTCTACTCTTCTGGAAATGGTTCTATTCATAGCGGAGTATTCCTTCGCTCGATATTGACACCGGCGCCGCCGTCCCCCTTGACACACGTGTAGGTGGCTATATGGGCGGCGCATATCACAAAAAATGCATGCTATACCTTCTCAGCCGAATCCCACTATGTGATTCTGACGCAGGGCGGCATCGGCCGAGCGGTGACCGGTCATGCAAGGGGTGCCATAATGTACTAGCCCCCGCGACCGGTGCGTCGGCAGCAATGTGCAGGGTGGCCTGTCCATGACGCCAAACTTGCAGATGTGCAGATGCTGTGAAACTAGCTTTAATGAGCTGTCCTAAACGACGCGTGATTGACAGTTTCCCGCGGTCCCGTTGGCTTGTAACGCTCAGCGCCTCTCACAGTGGCCGACATGCCCCATTCCAGTCCGAGCACACCAGAAAATTCAATCCAGCACAACTAAAGTTCATGCGACGAAAATACAGAAAGCGTTCAAATATTTAAATGTGCAAACCTTCAGTTAGGACACGCTTTTGCCAGGTGCTTACTCGGTGGAGGCAGCAATGACCGCCTTCGCAGTGCTGCGATGCAGGTCTGTGAGGTCTCGCCTCTCTTGTATCTTGTGATGCCGATGGCCACGGCTTGTGATCTCGCCCTGCAGGGCGAACGGGATCGCCGGAGTGGGAACCGCTGATGATATCCACGGCTCCGCCCGAGTGGACGATAAAGCTTTTGAGGGTGTGGCTTCGCAGGGGGACCCCCAAAATGCTGCGGCAAGAGTCAGAGCGGCGTATCTAGACGGGGAAAAAGAATAGACGTTTGCGCCGGAGAGCTATCCTCCTCCCGTCTCGCTTGATTGATCGCGCTACGAGCCTGCAGGGGCTATCAGTCTCCTAAGAGGGCAGGGCGTAAAAAATCACTCCCACATTTTTAAAGTTCAGAAATGCAACATCCGAGTGTAGAGCGTGCGACATTTTCTCAATGACTGCGCTAGCTGCGTAAGCACTACGTAGGAACATGCAACGCACATGTTAGGCGGTCAATGGCATTTAAGCACGTCAAACACGTGTTCTCCTCCTTGTAGCTGAGCGCGACATCGGCACTGAAATTCTTCACGATCCCCATCCTATTCGTAGAGCCCGCAGAGGCGATGCTTTCGACCTTTGTGCTGATGTGTCGCAGGCACTGGATGACAAACTTACCCACGGGTCCTGCGCCGCCGGAGGCGAACATGGTCGGCTGTGCGGTCTCGCCCTTATTTGGCCGCCTGTTCATTGATCTTGGCCATGCATGTATCAATCTCGACCCGAGTCGTCTGCGCCTTGCGGAATCGTCCCTTGAGCCGTGATTCCGGCATTACGGGGGCAGTGTACCCGACTCGGATGTCACGGCCAGCGTCGCCAAGGTCGTCCGTACGGCATGAACCGTGCAAAGTATGGTCTCTGAATCGACTGAACCGTCCAGGGAACAAAGCCCAACGGCTGCCACAGGGGCGATCGTGCACACGAGATGCGTCCGAGGCGAGTTTCAAATATTCAACCGTGATAAGCTTTGTGGCGTTCTGATGGAAAAGCCAGACCAGGAATGTTATTGATAACGGGATCGTGATCTTATCTCCTTTTTCACACCCCAACATCCTCCATGTGACCGTGAGATGGCTTGCCCCAATCCCATCATGCAGGCACTCACCGCGTCCGACGCTCCCCTTCAAACGCCCTCCACACGTCGTCGTTGCAAATGGGCGACAAGTCTCCTATTCTCGACAACGAGCCCGGCGGGCCTGGAGGCAAGCGTCCAAAACGCAAGGATGTCGGAGTCTCCCGGTTCATTCTCCTGCTCATTCTCTGCGCAACGATACCGGCAACATTGTTATTGGTAGGGCCGAAACTTGGCCTAGGCAAGGAAATTGAAGAAGATAATGCTCTTGGGAAAGTTACCTGGACAGCTTGCCGGCAGAGGGGCTCGGGGGGTTCTCCTCTTGCAGAATGCGGAGCTATCACGTACGTTACTTACACCTTGTTCACGGCACTGTCTAATCCACGACGCATAGTGTACCACTCGACTACTTCAACGAGAGCGCAGGGACCGCAAGCATTGGATTGTCGCGCTATCGCGCATCTGTTTCCCCCAGAAAGGGCATTGTTCTCATCAACCCTGGTGGTCCAGGTATTAGTGCTCCTCTGAAGCGACTGTCAAGACGCTGAGCGTATTGTGCAGGTGGTTCAGGCAAAACGTTCGTAGCCATGGCAGGAAAACTGTTGCAGACACTGGTAAGCTACCTTGTCCCTTGTAACTCGCCATCCTGTCTAAGCATCAATAGGTGGGCGAAGACTACGATGTCATTGGCTTCGATCCGAGAGGTATTGGTGACTCGAGGTAGGAGGTTGTCATATGCTGCGCATATATCTGCAAAATCTTGATAGACTACTTTCAGGCCTTCTACCAAGTGTTTTACTGGAGATACCAGCTACACCACGTTCGTCAGGAACACCGTTTTGACCCGAAGCTACGATCTGGCGAGTAACCTATCCGACACTGAAGCGAAGAAGATGCTTGTTCGGCAACAGAGGGAAGCGGAAGCTCTGTACAAGACCCAGTTCGACATCTGTGGCAAGACCATGGGCGACCAGCTCAGATACATGGGCACTAGCACCGTCGTTCGGGACATTGACTTCATAACCACTGCATTGGAAGGTCCTGATGCACTAATGTAAGTTTACCAGCCAGCTTTGTGCGCTTCAATCTGACATGACCTTTGTCAGTAACTTCTATGGCTTCTCATACGGAACCATCCTAGGACAATATCTTGTGAACATGTGAGTGTCCAATCAACAATCCCTTAGTAGCACATATGTGGCTGAATATCCACCAACAACAGGTTCCCGGATAGAGTGGGGCGGGTTGCCATCGACGGCGTTGCAGACGCATCCGCTTGGGCCTGTAAGTCATACACTGTCTCGAAACGCTTTTACTCATACCGCCTCCACAGCCGAACCATACTATACCTGGTATAGGGGTTGGCTTAGTTCCACGACGGATGCTTACGACATATTTTTCCAACGGTGCTCGGAGGTACGAATTTTTGCATCATACGCATATATACACTGATACTATGGTCTCAGGTGGGGCCGCCTCACTGCCCGCTTGCCCAAGAGAAGGGAGAGGACCCCTCGGATATTAAGGATCGTCTGGAAAACTTCATTGACAGTCTCTTCTACGAGCCTATGTCAGTCCCAGATACCAATGTTCCAGGTCTGCTGACTGCGGGTCGCATGCGCAGTACGCGTCTTTCTCGCTTGCTCCGCAATACAGAGACTGATCGCATCCGTAGTGTTCCTCCTCGGCAATCTCGTCGCCCCTCTGTCCTGGCCCTATATGTCGAACGCACTGGCACTGGCTATGGGCGGACACGGCGCCGCAGTGCTGGAGGCAGTGCAGCCGAACCCAAGGGCGGAATTAACACGCTCGGCCGTGTCGTGCAACGACCAGAAGCCGCTGGCCCCGCTGGCCCCGGAGACGGTCGTGGACGAAGTGCTGGATGTCTTCCATAAGGTCTCGCGGCTCGCGTTCACGGTCATCACGACCGAGCCGGATGCGGGCTGTCAGTACTGGCCTGTCACCCCGCCAGAGCGCTTCCAGGGCCCTTGGAACCGTACGCTGAGCAATCCAATTCTAATCCTTAGCAATGAGGTATGCTGGTTCTCTAAATTTTTGTTTAGGATAGTGACACTTACTGTTGTGGTAGGCGGACCCAGTCACACCACTCAGAAACGGCGAGATCGTCCACAAGTTTCTCGAGAACTCTTCGAGCCTCGTCATCCAGAACAGTCCGGGCGTACGTGTACCGCCTCTCTTCGGTTGTACCTTGGCATTGACTCCTGCGTGCTCTAGCACTGTACCTTAGCTATGCCTTCAGCCTGCACGAATAACGTCACGAGGGCGTTCTTTGCCGACGGCACACTTCCAGCAAAGGGAATGCACTGCCCTGCTGACTACCCACCTTTCTCCGGAGCGGCTATCAAAGCACTGTCCGAGGACTCTGGACGACTTGATGCTCAGGCTAAGCTTGGTTTGATCTTGGATCTCGCGAGGAAGGGTCTTCCTTATGACCACTTGGTCTAGATATGCTAGTGAGGCCCAAGTACGGTCTTCCCCAAGTAGTCGAGATCGAGTTCATGTACAATACAACTGGGAAATATACGTACGAGAACATACTTATTTTTTAGCGACAACAATCACCACCTTCCCTTGGTTTCCCCGAGACTGCACGTCAGCTAGTGCTTTGCCTACCTCCCGGAGGCCACGGTAGCGGTGTTTGCAGCTCTTATCTTCCCCTGCATAATCAACGGGACGATCTCCTCGTAAAATCTGGGCACAACCGCCGCCGACTTGCCTTTGTAGACCATGAAGCCGTGCATCGTGAGCGCGCGCTGCGAAAATTCCTTCATGTACTGTACTGGAGGGGGCACAGTGAGATAAGCCAGCGCGAAGGAGTGAGTCCTACCCTGATCGCCGTTTCCCCGTCAAACTTGTCCTGGCTGATTGCGCCGCAGGACTGAAAGGGCTGGTGAGTGTAGGATTGTTATCCCAGAAGCTGACCATTATATGAGCCGCAAAATGCAGGCCAGCACGGTCCTATATGTGCTCACAGGTCCAGCGGGCCGTGCTTCCCCAACACCTCGGCGGCACTTTACTCTTTATAGTTGAAGGCAACATCCGCGCCGGCATTCTTTATGAATTCGGGCTTCTCGACCGACCCTGCGGAGGCTACAATATTAATCGCTACTGAGATAAAGCTTCTTGAGCAGGACACCACCCTCCAGGAGAACTTTGTTTCACTTTCGGCATATTTCATGTGGACGACCGGATTGATGTTGAGGGTAGTAGAATGGGCGGTGTAGATGACGGCCCCGTTTTTGACCATGGTCACGAACTGGTGGGTGGGGATAATGAGCACAGGAGGCAGTCAAGTAAGTGGTGTGAGCCACATTTATATCTGCTGCGCCTGCATGCCAGCGTGAAGGGATCGATATCACGTTGGAACCATGCTTATATTATCTTATACTGTATATCCCATCGTGCGACTCTTCGGTGTCTGGCATGAAAACGTAAAGATTACAATCCGCGAGATGTAACCTGAGGGCCTCTCAAACGGTCTTAAACCACGGGCTGAGCGCTCAGATCTCAGAGCCGACTATAAGACACAGGACAGTTTCAGTAGCCTACATTTACCGCGCCCGCACAGCAGCGGGAGGACAATGACTCGGATCGTGTCGATTGATCATGTAGCAAGGGGTCATACAGACGCAAGCAGTGGGCGAGCAGAACCCCAAATTGAATCTTGGCTGGGATGAGTAGCCGCGGCCGCCGTGCCCAGTTACGATATCTCGCAGGGATGAAAATTGAGACTATGAAAATGATCTCTGAAGGGGGTAGGCAGAGGTAGGGGATATGGAGAAGGGAGTGGCGCTGAGAATGGTGAAGAACGTACTTACGTGTCGGTAACCTGCGACCCAAGCCCGTATCTCTCATTACGTCTCAGCCCAGCCGGATAAGTGGAATCCGCGCTGGAAGCCACGCGAAATTCAAGAAAAAATGTCTGGTCAATATACAACATTTGCTGTATCATCCTTACGATAGATATTCGCAGTTAACCATGAGCCTATTCGTCAGCGACAACAACAACGGCCTTCCCAGAGTTCGCACCCGTATGCACGTCCGCAAGGGCCTTGCCCGCCTCCGGGAGACCGTGGTATCGATGCTCGCGGCTCGTGATCTTGCCCTGAAGGACGAGCGGGACGACTTCTTCGCGGAATTTCGACGCGGCGACAGCGGATTCGCCTTTGTTGACGATGAAGCCGTGCACGGTGAGACTGCGCTTGAAGATTTCGTCAAAGTGCTGGAGAGATTTCAAGGTTGGAGGGGCAAGGTGATGCGTAGAACAAGGGACTTACATGGACGACGCTCTTGTTGTCATGGCTCGCCTGGCTGATCGCTCCGCAGGCCTGTGCAGTTCGTTCGGCGGGCCGAGCAACAACGAGGCAACGCTGAGACTTACAATGATTAAGCCGTTGTTGTTGAAATTCCCGAGTGCCGCATCAAGCGTCGGTCCGGCGACGTTGTCCCAGTAACTATCCGAGCGGTGAGTCGGATTATCGAACTTTGCGCTGCCTCAGGTGCTCAGGCTTACATGTCAATGGGGCCATGCTCCTGCAAGACCTCGGTGGTATCTTGCTCTTTGTAATTGAAGGAAACATCGGCACCAGCGGCCCTCATGATCTTGACCTTTTCCGCAGATCCTGCGGATGCGACAATTTTGAGATGCGGCGCGACGACCTTGGAATATTCGGTAACAAATGTGCCGACAGGGCCCGCCCCTCCAGAGATGAACATAACTTTAGCCTGCAAGATTATCAGTGAGGGATATGGCAATGCATAGGAGATGACCCTTACTGTCTTTAACTTCTCGGTCGCAAAGTACTTGAAAGCCTGGTAAGCCGTCGTGCCAGGCATGCCCAGTGTTCCTACATAGACCGACAGCGGAATGTTGGGCAGCTTTTCAATCTTTGTGAGCGAGTTCTTATAGCTGTGATTGATCCTGCCAGGGTACACAGAATACTCAGAGAACTCTATTCCCCAACGTCAGCCGTGCACCGTACACGCGGTGATGTGTATAGTAGCATACCGAGGTACCCAATGACGTAGTCTCCAGGCTTGAATTTTGAGTCTTCACTTCTCAGAATCCGCCCGACGCCCAAGTTGTCAACTCTGAGTGAGTACATCAGTACTCGGCAGCATTACGAAGGATATAACTATACTTACGGGTCTCCAAGCTGGATAGGGGGCACGAAGGACGAAAGGTGCGGCTCCCGCATGCGGTAGCGGATGTATGGGTCGCTACTCAAGTAGAGCGTCTTGAGCAGAACTCCGCCGTTGAGCGGTATCTTGTCGAGGTCGATCTCTCCCTCGACGTATCGCGTGTGCACCGCGGGGTCGATGTTCTTCTCGGGGTGGGCGACATAGATGAGGGCCCCGTTCTTGACCATAGTGTAGAAGTTAGATGGTGAGGTTGATAAAGCTCAAGGGAGGGGAGTTAGTAAAATGCGAGTGCCGGGAATGAAGCGTAGGCCGAGCAGGCATTTATACTCGTTATTGAGCGGGTGACTTCTGAAGATGGTTGATGGGGAAAGCTCGTCGCAGAACATCCAAAGCGGCGCCGAACAAGGGCCATCGTCTGTGAATCTTGCCAGAGCACGCGTACACAACGAAGCCCACAGCTCCATATCTTACGATAAAACTGAGAGCTCAGCTTATGAATCATCAGAGAAAGGACTGTAAGAACTCGTGGAGTCATACCATATGGCACAGCAGTATTGTGGCGCGTACCGACTCAGACTTCTGAGTGCATCGCTCGCCTTTGTGCATTGGAGGGCCATGGCGAAAGATATCATTGCCAAGCCCGTTATTCCCGTGAGTCCTGGCATTAGCGAGCAATCGGAGTAACGAATGACCTGTTCCCTGGTGGTGTCGATTTGTCGCCTTGTAATCAGCACATGGTTATACTCCATGGAGTACATTGAAACATTGAATTTGATGTGTGTGTGATGCGTCTTAGGAGCGCTGTTACCATTAATACTGAGGCAACTGCTGGGGCATCGAGGGTTGATAGCAAGGTCGCGGAGCGCCGCGGCTATGGAAGTGTCATTCAGCGCCCAAATAGTGACCGTGAGAAACTGTCACACCATTATCCCTGACCAGCAAGGAACTTACCCACCTCATTAAATCCCCACTGGAACAGATACTTGTAGTTCTCATGGCTCGTACTGGCCCCAATCTTCCGTCATCGTTCGACGGGACAAGCCGCAGACTGAAACCCAAGACAGCCTGAGATTAACCGAGTGCACTTATCTAAAAGATTGCGCAATTGCTACACCTCTGATACTCGCGCTATAAACCAAGGAGAAGATATCTGCCACTGACTGATGTTGCAATTGTTGTACATTGATCTTACAATGAACGTTCGCAGTCAACAGTAAGTCTACTCGTCAGCGACAACAATCACCGCCTTCCCGGCGTTTGCACCCACATGCACCTCTGCTAGGGCCTTGCCCGCCTCCACGAGACCATGGGACTTATGCTCGCGGCTCGTGATCTTATTCTGAAGGACGAGCGGGACAACCTCCTCGTAGAACTTCGGCACAACGGCAGCGGATTCACCCTGACCGGTGATGAAGCCACGCACGGTGAGACTGCGCTGGAAGATCTGGTCGAAGTTCTGGTGGGATTGGGCTGTTATTCGAGTGAGAAGGAGCACGGGGAAAGGGGCTTACACGGACGACGCTTGCGTCATCGTGGTTGGCTTGGCTGATCGCACCGCAAGCCTACACATTATGCTCATCGGAGCCGCGCAGTGAAGATGTAACGCAGAGACGTACGATAATTAAACCATTGTTGTTGAAGTTCCTGAGTGCTGCATCAAGCGTCGGTCCAGCAACATTGTCCCAGTAGCTATACAATAAATGAACATTTCGTCAGACTTTGTGCTGCCTTCTGTAGAATTGCAGGTTTACATGTCAATAGGGCCATGATCCTCCAGGACCTTGGCCGTATCTTGCTCTTTGTAGTTGAAGGCAATGTCTGCGCCGACGTCCTTCATGATTTTGACCTTGACCGCCGATCCCGCGGATGCGATGACCTTGAGATGAGGTGCAAGGACCTTGGAATATTCGATGACAAATGTGCCGACAGGACCCGCTGCTCCGGAGACGAACATAGTCTTAGCCTACAAGACAATCAGCCAGGCGGAGAATGGCGGCATACAGAGGACAGTACTCACCGTCTTTAACTTTTCAGCGCCAAAGTACTTCAGCGCTTGGTAAGCTGTCGTGCCGGGCATGCCCAAAGTGCCTATGTAGATCGACAGCGGGATGCCGGGAAGCTTTTCAATCTTCGCGAGCGGTTCCTTGAAGCCGTGAATGATCTTGCCAGGGTACACAGAGTACTCAGAGAACTCTGTCTCCCAAGATTAGTCGCATAACACACACTAAGAAACGCGCACGGCGTACCGAGATACCCAGTGACGTAATTTCCGGGCTCGAACTTCGGGTCCTCGCTCCTCAGAACCTGCCCAACGCCAAAATTGTCGATCCCAGAAAGGGTCTGTGTTTAGCGACAGTGTGAAGAATACGTACTATAATTACGGGTCTCCGAGTTGAATCACCGGGACAAAAGACGCAAGGTGCGGCTCCCGCATGCGGTAGCGGATGTATGGGTCGCTACTCAAGTAGAACGTCTTGAGCAGGACCCCACCATTGAGCGGTACCTTGTCGAGGTCGATCTCTCCCTCGACATATCGCGTGTGCATCGCGGGATCGATGTTCTTCTCGGGGTGGGCGGTGTAAATGAGGGCCCCGTTCTTGACCATGGCGTAGAAGGTGGTTAGTGAGGCTGGTGGGTTTCAGCGGAGTGCAGTAAGTAGGGTGTGAAAGACGCGTGAGTCGGGCAGGTATTTATACCCCTGAATGGGAGGCATCCGAAGAGCTGCACGGAAGGCTCGCCACAAGATGTCCAACCTGAGAACGACGCTCAGCGTCTGCAATCTCACGTGTGTACAAGCGCATCAGTGCACTCGTCCTCGTACTGGGGGCCAGATCGAGGGATGACGATGCCAAGCTCGCTGTTCCTGAGCAGCCAGAGACACGAAAAACGGGTGCTACTGCCTCCTTGAGGCCCCGTTTTGCTGCTATGGAAGCAGCGCTCACACAGCTATAGCCTAGAGAGGATTTATATGCTGTAGTCAATTTGAACATTGTTCTACTACGCGCGTTGCGTACTACAATTTTAGGGGATATCTAGAAAATTGTGTCAACACACTTCAATGTACACTTTAGACGAGGGAAAATACTATACACGAGACCAACGGTTGCAAATCCGAAGACATTGTAGTTGAGATCTTGAGAGTTAAAATGTTGACTTCGCGGAGCGCCGGCGGCATGTGCAAAGCTTTGTGGCGCTTAGTCGCAAAATTTGAAACTTTGCTCCCGGTCAGTGATAGCACTCAAATATTTAACGTGAGAAGGGCACATGTTACAGTAACTTACCTAGATTTTGACCCGACTATCATTGATCGTCCTCCACTCGAGATGCGCTTTGCCTGCCTCCTCTGCACGACCAGCGGGACGATCTCCTCGTAGTACTGGGGCACAACTGCCGCCGATTTGCCTCTGTAGTAGACCAGGAAGCCGTGCATCGTGAGCAGGCGTTGCGAAGATTCCTTCATGTACTGGAGAGCTAGAGGGCACAGTGAGATAAGCAAGCGCGAAGGAGTGGGGCGTACCTTGATCGCAGTTTCCCCGTCAAACTTGTTCTGGCTCGCTGCGTCGCAGGACTGGTGAGCGTGTGATTAGAAGGATGGCTGAGGATGCGCACGATGACCGGCCCTTCGTCCCTAGAGTTCCGGAGAGCGGCATTAGCTTGTGAGCCTCCAGTGTTATCCCAGAAGCTGTCGATTACTTATGCACATATGAGCCGCAAGATGCGAGCCAGCGGTCCTATATGTGCTCATAGGTCCAGCGGGACATGTTTTCCTAATACCTCAATAGTTTATACCACCTGACTGACCTGTCATAGGGCAAAAAACATTCGATATTTGTCGCGGCGGTGCAGCATGCAATTGGAGATGCCCGTCGTGGATTTGCGTCAACCGGTCATCCTGAGGCGGCGCTTCAGAGTCGGCGCGCCTTGAGCTTGAACGTTCACGTTCACCACGACCACCTCCAAACATGCATCGCGCGCTCCAAATCTCAGAAATTCTGGAAATAATCCTGCGGTCCGTCGAAGGATCTACCGCTGCCTCTGTAGCATCTACATGTCGAACGTTCTATGAGCCCGCCAGCGACATCCTCTGGGAGAATTTGCCTCGCCTTCAACCGCTTCTCAGGTGCTTGCCTGGAGATGTGCGGACACAGTCTGGATTTTTTCCGGTGCGTACGTGTCCTCTTTGTGTGACCAACGCGTTTACCTCCGTGATAGGATGTGGCCCGGGAACTTGCAGGCAAACAGTGGGCTCGATTCCTGAAGCATGCTGAACGCGTCAAGACTTTGACACTGGACAACCAAGGCTCGGAAGACCTGGAGAAACACCTGCATACGATTTTGTTCATGCGCTCAGGATACATGTCTACGATCTTGTCAAACCTGCGTAGCTTGAACGTTGCATGGTATGATGAGGCGACGGAACGACTAAGCACTTACCTGCCTCTTATCTTAAGTCCAAAGATCCGGACGGTGGAGCTGGAGACGAGCTGCGAGGATATGGTGCGGGTTCTTCGTCAATTGACGATCTCATGTCCACAACTTCAATCCTTGGTGATGTTTGAATTCCCAGAAAAGTCTTCCAGGATCTTCTTTTGTTTCCATGCCCTAGAGGTTATTAACTGCAACCCAGAGAGTGACTGTGGTTTCAGTGCTGTTGACCTAGCGATGATAGCACATCTCCCATCACTACGCCATGTTGAAAATGGAGGCCCCATCGCGGGCTACATCGTCGAAAGGAGGGAAACGCGCAAGCGTTCGCAGTCTATTTGGCGGGTATTTATCTACACTACGAATGTCTCAGGTACGAACGTGGGCGCAATATAAGATAAATACAAGTAAACAACGTGCGCACGAGGCACCAGTGAACACGAGCTCGAAACACGATCCAAAAATCTAACACGCCATCTCTCCATTACACTCTCTGACGACTTCGGAGAATTCACTACAGGCGATCAAAATGAAGCGTTTCCCATTCTGGAGTCACTCACACTACACTACCTGCAAGAGGCACGACGCCTCTTACCCCTCTTCCAATCTATCAGCTCCACTCGATTCCACAAATTCTCCGTCAAATACACCGAGTGTTTATGCAATGCAGATGTTGAAGCCGTGCACCAAGCTGTTGGCGCTCTCTCAAAGTTTCCGAGTTTACGCTGCCTAGACCTTCACTGCGACACCACCATAGGCCCGGTGTTTCCTCCGAAGTCAATTCTACGGCTACGCGGCCTCGAAGAACTCTACCTTAACATCCCTGGCTTTCACAAATCAAAGCATCATAGAACTTGGCCGAGGATGTCCTAAGCTGCGATGCCTACATGTATGCAGCAACCAGGCACTTGGCTCTCATAAACATCTCCGCCGCTGGTCGCTAGACGCACTCGAGTGCTTTGCGACGCGTTTGCCGATGTTAGAGGACATTCTTACGTCATTTGACACATCGACTGTCCCCGACCTCGGTACACCGCTCACACGGTCGCTCACCCCAATACGCTTATGCGTCGGGCCTTCTCCGCTGTGCGAAGAGTACTGGCAGCAAGCTGCGACCTACATATCACACGTGTACCCCAATGCGAGGTTCGATATCGACGTTCAGCGGAAGGATGCTCAGACTTGGCGTAATGTCTCGCAAGCGGTAGCTGAAGCTCGTACAAATCGAGGCGCGAACCCCAAATAGTAGGGTATGATCCTCACCCCTATGTGCCAGAGTTCTACACCAATTCACATCCTCGCAGTTTGCTAGATTCCACGTGTACACGCGGTCTACATTCCCTAAATGAAGATTTCTGCGGAACGACACTCTGTATGACAATGCTTATTAGCTGTCAAATAAGGCGAATTTGCAGTGAGCACACCTTTCACCGTGCGGGCTCGGGCTCGGACCGCTTGCTGGCGAGTTTCTGGTCCTGTCGAGAGAGTTGAGTCTGTTTGTCGCCGAGGTAGGTCCAGCGCAACGCGCGAACACAGAACTAGGAGCATGACACTCGTCGGCGGGAAGCATGTCCAACGCGCGAAGAGCTGTTTGCTACCGCCTCTCACTTCTTCTCTCGAGCCGTCTCATCCCTCAACATCTATGTCTCTCCGTAGAACAGACGATCCGGAGAACGGGTCTTTACAAGAGATAGTTGAGGCCCCACCTCGTGGCGCCGTTCAACGTTCAACGTTCAGCGCTCAGCTTTGGTGCGTCGCATCCATGGACCTAGTTAGTGTGCTTGGTTCCGTCCCACCGCGCGCAGTCCCGCACGTCTGACGAGCGAGCCAGAATATGCCGCAGGGGCTCAAACAAGGCGGGCGTCGTCACATGCGCCGCCGCTTGTGAAAGAGACAGAAACCCATACTATTCTTTCACTACATAGACGACACACGACCGCAGCCCCGCACGCTCCGAGCCAACCCAAACAAACACAGAGCGTCTGGAAACCCCGGCGCGTCGCGCACGACAAAACCCCCAGCCTAGTCCACCCACTGCCAGTGCTCCGGCACCTCGACGTTCCACTCGCGGTGCTCGAGCCGCTGCGGCCTCGTCCGCCCGGGCAGCTCAGGCCGCAGCTGCGGGACGTACACCTCGCTCGTGCCGCCCGCTGCTCCTCGCCTGCCTGCTCCTCGTCCATCCGCTCCTCGCTCATCTGCGCCAGCCTCACCCCGCCCGTCCTCGCCCCGCTCGCCCTCCCCAAGCCGCCCATGCGCATCTTCGTGCGCACCCTCGCGCGCGTGCCCGAGGCGCATGCCGCGCGCCTCGAGGCGCGTCTTGACCGAGCGGTGCACGTGCATGCCGGCTGCGACCTCGTGTCCTGCGACGGGGCGTCCGCGGCCGCGGTTGACCCTAGACAGAAAAGCGCGCGCACACAGACAGGGAGAGGATGAGAGGATGAGAGGGGGAGAGAGAGGATGAGAGGGGGAGAGAGAGGATGAGTCGAGCAGGGTCAGGAGCAGGAAGGAGGAGGAGAGGAAATACGGGACGTACACCCACGCCCAGACGTGCGTGCGCCCGCCGGCGCTCCACCACTCGTCGTTCGTGTCCTTGTCCGCGGAGGCGGCAGGCCGCTCGACGCGCAGACGCGTCGGCATGTACTCCATCGCGAGCCACAGGAGGCGCGTCCAACCTGAATGCATAGGAGGCCGTCAGCGGACCCAGAACACAACAAAAATGAAGGGGAGAGAGATGACGACGACGACGACGACGACGAAAACGCACCAGACGCCGCGCCGAGCTGGTCGTACATCGGGCTCAGCGCGTCTTTGAGCTCTTCGCGCGCCTCGTACAGCGCGTCGTGCTCCGCGAGCTTCGCAGGGTCGACCGCGTGCGGGTGCCGCCGCCGCGGCGGCGCAGCATCCCCTCCTTCACCATTGCCTTCACCCCCATCACCCCCTCTTTCACCCCCATCACCCTTCCCACCGCCCGTCCGCCTCCGCGCATGCGTCGGGTGCGCCCGGCTCGGCAAGACACCCCGTCCGCGCGCCGACGCCGAGATCCAGCCGCGCCGCGCGAAGCGGCGAGGGACGCCCGTGGCGGCGGCGACGGCGAGCACGGGCCCCGTGAGGAGGCGGAGCGCGCCGAGGACGAGGGCGCACGCCCAGCGCACGGGCGCCGGGCCCCACCACGCTGCCCCTCCGTCGTCGCTTTCGGGGCCGTCCAGCCCGAGGCCGCGTGCGGCGTGTGCGGGGAGGCGGTCGGGTGCGTCTGCGAGCTCGAAGGCCCCGCCAGCGCCATCGGTGGGACGCGCGCGGAGGGCGAGACCGAGCTGCTGGAGCATGGCGGCGTCAAAGACGATGCCGGTGGCGCAGCGGAAGGTTTCGCGGACCATCCAGCGCAGCGGGACGCGCGCGAGCGCGTGCGGCGTCGCGTTGTGCACGCTCCCGCCGCCGACGTCGGCGTGCACGCCTGCGAACCAGACTTCGCGCACGGAGCACTGTTGCGGGGCGGGGCAGTCTGCCGTGTTGTTGTCGTTGTTGGTGGCGGCGGCGGCGGCAGCCTCGAAGCGTTGCGTCGCGTCGGCGGAGCGCGCGATGCCTGCGGACACGCCGTCTGCCGCGGCGTCGCTGCTGCTGCTGTTGCCGCCGTTGTCGTGGCGCGCCCCTGCCCGGCCACGGTGCACGCTCGCGAAGCTTGGCAGGAAGCGCACGCGCCGCTCGTCGAGCGAGAGCGCATGGCGGAGGTGCCGGATGCCGTTGTTCATGTAGACAAAGGGGAGCGTGCGGGGGATGAGGCCGGCCGAGGCGACGGTGTCCCTGTTTTTGCGGCGGCGGGAAGACTCGCGGTCAGCTCCTTTTGCGTCCGGATGTTTTTTTTTTTTTTGGAGCGGGACGTACCAGACGCCGAGGAACTCGACGTGCACCTCGCGGCAGAAGGTGCGCTTGAAGGTCTCGACGAGGGCGACCTGGTCGTCAAAGTCGGCGGCCGTGGCGTCTGTCGCGGTGTGGGCGTACATGTCGTACGCGAAACGGATCTGGGCGCCGTTGGAGCGTGGCAAGAGGCCGACCTGCGGGGGCGGTCAGCGCTGCAGGTACGCGCACAAGTGGTGGGTGTTATGCACCTTTTGCAGCATGCCGGCGAGGGCGCGGGCGGTGTATGCTCCGCGGGAGAAGCCAAACATGCAGATCTTGTCGCCGTCGGTGTAGTTCTGCATGAGAAATTTGTAGCCCTCTTGGGCGGAATGAGTACGGGTGGGAGAAGCGAGGACGAAGGGCATACCGATGATGTGGGTTGAGAGGCTGGTGGCAAACATGTCATCGAGAGTGGCACTGACGGTGGAGATGACAGGGAGGGTGGTGCCCTCGTATGTGCCTATGCCGGGCTTGAAGGTCGCTTGAGTCACTGTGGGTGAAGATACGCTGGAGGGGAGCGCACCTGGTAGTATACGAGCTGCTGTTTGGTATCGTCCTTACGGAGGATGGCAGCCAGCTGGACGACGTTGGAATTCTGTCTCGGGGCTCAGTCAAGTGAAGAGCTGGTGGCGAGACACGCGAGACGTACGTCCGAGTCGAAATGGTCGCCGGTGCCATCGAAACAGAGGACGAGTGTGCGATTTGCATGCTCCTGTGGAATCCATATCTTGTGCCTTCCGCTGAGGTCGTGCTTGTGTTGCTGTTGACGGGCCTGTTCGCCGGTTGAGAGCCAAGATTTTATGTTCTTTGCGTTTGCTTGGGTGCCGTGTGCGGTGGGCGACTCTGGATCGAGCAGGGTGCCGTCGGAAGGCGCGGAGCCGTGGGATGCTGAAGGGTGCATGTCGGTTGCTGTGCAGGACCGTCGAGGGCGAGGGCCTTGAATGCTCGCGTGAGGTTGCGTCATGCTGCCGTAGGTGGCCCGGGCGTGGGAGGAGGAGCGTTGAGCGAAGCGACAGAGTGACCATAGCGGGCGACAGCATGCACGGAAGACGCAGGGCTGCTGCTCATTGGCACTGCCGGAGCTGATAAAGAGACCATGCATGCTGCCAGAGGATGATCACGTTGACATTGCCGCCCTGCGCCGTCGGAGGGACACGCGACCGTGTGCGCCACTTGGCAGTGCACAGGGCACAAGTCGAGCACGAGACGAGCGTTTCAAAGCGCAGACAACGCCAGTTTCAAACTAAGCGCCACAAAGCGTTGACAGTCCCGCCATCTGATGCGCCCCTCTTCGATCTGATGCCTTGACGCGCGCAAGATCGCTCCTATACTCAGTCCCCTTAATAGTTGACGACCCCATGCCCCCACCGATGTTGCGTATCTTCTTCTCTCCTTTTCGTGCTTGCTCTCGTCTCACCGCCCCTCCTAGACTTGCGAAATCACTAGGCTACACGCCCTCTCGACATATTACCGCAGCCATGCCACCAAATCGCAAGCGTTCTGCCGCTGCCCGAGCCCTTGTCGCAACCTCTGCTGAAATCGCAGTCTCCGAGACGACGACACCCCCGCGCCGCTCACCGCGCAAAGCCAAGGCACAACTCAACGGCCATGACTCTGACGACACCGGCAGCCCCCTCACCACCCCGCCGGCCTCGCCTCCTCCCAAGCCGCGCAAGCGACGCAAGAAAGCCGAGCCCGTCGTGTACGACATCCCGCCGATCACCTCGTTCAAGACGACCGCGTTCGAGGGCCGGCTGGGCTACGCCTGCCTGAACACGGTGCTGCGCGCGCAAGACCCGCCCGTCTTCTGCTCGCGCACGTGCCGGCTCGCGACGCTGCAGGAAAAAGGGGTCGCGCACGCGCAAGCGCTCGGCCTGCGCAACGTGCGCGACCTCGCCGCGCTCGTCGCCTGGAACGAGGCGAACGGCATCCGCTTCATGCGCCTCAGCTCCGAGATGTTTCCCTTCGCGAGCCACGCCGTGTGGGGCTACGACCTCGCGTACGCGCGCGACGACCTCGCCGCCGTCGGCGCCCTCGCGCGCCGCCTCGGCCACCGCCTCACGGCGCACCCCGGCCAGTTCACGCAGCTCGCGAGCCTGAAAGAGGCCGTCGTCGCCGCGTCGATACGCGAGCTCGAGTGTGCGTCGCTGCTGCTGCTGCTGCTTGCTTCCGTCCCGCTCTGCACTGACGCACGTGTGTCCGCCTTTTTTTTATTTTCCCCGCCAGACCACTGCCAGATGATGCGCTACATGGGCCTCGGCCGGGACAGCGTGATCGTGCTGCACATGGGGGTGCGTGTTCGCCGTTTCATTTTTTGTAGCAGGCGGCTGACGCGCGCGGGCTGCCAGGGCGTGTACGGCGACAAGGCCGCGACGATCGCGCGCTTCCGCACGACGTACGCGACGCGGCTCACGGACGAGATGCGCGCGCGGCTCGTGCTCGAGAACGACGAGATGTGCTACAGCGCCGACGACCTCCTGCCCGTCTGCGACGCGCTCGCGATCCCGCTCGTCGTGCGTCCCTTCCCTTCCCTCGCCTCCCTCCCGTTCTTGCCGCTGACCACCCCCACCCGTGGTGTGTGCGTGTCCTTGCAGCTCGACTACCACCACAACTACATCAACCCGTCCGCGCTCGCGCTCCCCGACCTCGTCCGCCGCATCAACGGCACCTGGGCGCGCAAGCGCATCCGCGTCAAGCAGCACCTCAGCGAGCCGCGCCCCGGGCTGTGGTACCCCGACTGGAACGCGCCTGCCACCGCTGAAGGCGCAGACGCAGACGGCCTCGCTGACGGCGCCCCCGTTGAAGAAGACGCCCCCGCTGAAGACGACGCAGACGCAGCCGACAGCCCACCCGCCGCGGCGTCCCCCGCGCACAAGCAGCAGCAGCAGCAGCAGCAACAGCAGCGGCCGTCGCGAACCGCGCTGCGCGCGCACGCCGACCGGTGCACGGCGCTACCGGCCGAGCTCGTGCTCATGGGCACGTTCTTCTCCGACGTCGACGATGCCGCCGCTGCCGCCTCGCCTGACATCACCGTCGAGCCCGACACCTCCGCCTCGCTCGACACCTCCGCCTCGCTCGACACCTCCGCCTCGCTCGACACCGCCTCCTCGCTCGACGCCGCCCCTGCGCGCCCAACGCCAGGCGCTGCTGCCGCCGCACCGCCACCGCACCCGCGCGGCGGCGGCGACCTCATGATCGAGGCGAAGGACAAGGAGCAGGCCGTGCTGCAGCTGTACAGGCTCTACCGCCTGTGCGACGTGCGTCCCGAGAGCCTGCGGCCGGAGCGGCGCGGGGAGGGCGAAGGAGAAGGAGAGGAGAGGACGGAGGGGAGGCGTGGGAGGGCGAGGAAGAAGCGGGAGGAGGACAAAGACAAGGACGGTGCGGAGGCGGGGCCTGCGAGGCGCAGGCGGGGGAGGAACGGAGGCGTGGAGAAGCTGGTGAATCCCGAGGAGGTGCCTGTGCCTGTTGACGGGGCGGAGGTGGCGGAGGTTGTGGCGGGGGAGCATCCGGAGGCGGCGGCGGAGCTTGAAGAGGGAGGGAAGAGGCGGCGGGGGAAGAGGAAGAGCGGGTCTGGGCGGTAGTGAGCGCTGGGCTTGGGGCGTGGTGTGTTGGCCCGCTTGGTACTCCGTATGCTTAAGTCGGGGTGTCATGAGTGGACGTACTGGCTTGTATCTTGTGGATGCCTGACTCGAGTTGGTTGACGCGTTTTGAGCACACTTTTCGGAATTGAAGATCAATGATGGAGGTACAGATTATCTTTACGAGTACATCAGAGAATGTGACAGGAGAAGTATAACAACACATAATGATATCTCGAGCTTGAACTAGAAGATGTGCGTCGACCAAACCGTGTGTCGTCCTGGAGCTAGCACCGTTCAATCCACCCACTCCCAATGCGCCGGCACCTCGACGTTCCACTCGCAGTGCTTCAGCCTCTCCGGCAACGCCTCGCCGTCGCCGCGCGGGACGGCAGGGCGCACTTGCGGGACGTACACCTCGCCGCGGCGGTGAACAGTCCTGAGGCGGACGCCCTGCGCCTCGAGGCGCGTCTTGACCGAGCGGTGCACGTGCATGCCCGGCCTGAGCACGTCGTCCGTGACGACGCGTCCGCGCCCGCAGTTCCGCCTGTGTCGCGCCGGCACACATCAGCCCCAAGCGTCGCGCAGCAGCAGCAGCTACACAAACGACTTACACCCATTTCCAGACGGAGCGGTCGTGCCCCGGACGGCTCCACCACTCCCACGCGTCGGCGCTGTGCCCGGGCTGCACGTGCGGCGGTCGCTCGACGCGCACCCACGCGGGCAGGTACTCCATCGCGAGCCACAGGAGGCGCATCCAGCCTGCCCAGCGAGCCGTCAGCTTACGAAGAAAAAAAAAAGAAAAAGAAAAAGAAAAAAAAAAAAAACAAGGAGCTCCCAGAAAGAAAGACAACCAAAGCGACACACACGCACCCCCGGCAGACGTAAGCTGGTCGTGCATCACGCTCAGCGCGTCCGCGAGCTCCTCGACGGCCTCGTACATCGGGTCCTGCGCCGCCGTGTGCGCCGTGTCCAGCGCGTGCAGGTCCTCGTGCAGCGGCGGCGGCAGCTGCGGCGTCAGCGGTGGTGCCGTTCCCGTAGGGCGGCGGCAGTGGTCGTGTCCGTGCCCGTGCGCCGCGCGCGCATGCGCCGGGTGCATGCGCGACGGCACGACGTGCCGCCCGCCACGCAGGCGCGCCGTGTCCGAGAGCCGGTCCTTGCGCGCGCGGGGGCCGAACAGCGCGCGGAAGGGCGCGGCGAGCAGGGCGCCGGCGGTGCGCAGGGCGCGCCACCCCCACGACTCCTTCGCGCGCGCGTCCTCGCGTGCGTCTGTTGCGTCTGCTGCGTCTTCGGCGGCCTCGAGCTCGACGGTGAGGTCGGGGTACGCGTGGACCTCGTGTGCGGCGAGGCGCGGGGGCGGATCTGCCAGCGAGATGGTGGTGGTGCCGGTGCTGGTGGTGTCGGGCGCGACGTCGAGGGAGAGTCCGATCTGCTGGAGCATCGCGGCGTCGAAGATGAGGCCGGTCCCGCAGCGGAAGGCCTCGCGGACCATCCAGCGGAGCGGGATGCGCGCGAGCGCGTGCCGCGTGTTGTTCTTGACGGAACCGCCGCCGACGTCTGCAGCGCGCGAAAATTCGAGGAGAGCAGGGGAGGAGGAGGAGGAGGAGGAGGGGCCGGCGTCAGTAACGGAGGAGCGTAACGGGCAGGCGAGCCAGGGAAATGCAGCGCACCTGCATGCACGCCTGCGAACCACACCTCGCGCACGTCGCAGTGTGCGCCCGCGGCGGCGTTCACGGCGTCCTCGAACCGCTGCTCGGCGCGCTCGCCGTCCTGTGCCGCCTGGCGCGGCACGTAGGCGCTCGCGAAGCTCGGAACGAAGCGCACGCGCCGCTCGTCGAGTGAGAGCGCGTGCCGGAGGTGACGCACGCCGTTGTTCATGTACACGAACGGCAGCGTGCGTGGGATGAGGCCCACGGAGTTGACGGTATCCCTGAGTCAGCATGCGGCGTAAGCAGCAGTTGAAACGAGAAGGACTGCAATACAGCTCACCAGACACCCAGGAACTCGACCTTGACATCCCGGCAGAACGTGCGCTTGAAGATCTCTACGAGGATGACCTGTTCATCAAAGTCCTTGTCGTCCGCGTTCGTTGCCGTCTTTGCGTACATGTCGTACGCAAAATACAGCTGGGCGTCGTTGGACCGCGGCAAAAGGCCGACCTGCACAGAGTCCGTTAATTAGTGGCTCAGAAATGTTTTGGCGGTTTTACGCACTTTCTGCAGCATACCAGCGAGCGCACGGGCTGTGTATGCCCCGCGCGAGAACCCGAATAGACAGATCTTGTCGCCATCGGTGTAGTTATTCATGAGGAATTGGTAGCCGTCTGCCAAAGTGTATGCCTTGTCAGAGGACCGATAGGGTTGGGAGCCTTATAGAAGATGTACCTTTGATGTGCGATGAAATATTCATCGCAAACATCTCGTCGAGTGTCTTGCTTATTGTCGCGACGATAGGCATGTTGGTGCCCGTGTAAGTGCCTATACCCGGCTGTTCGTGCGTGTTAGCAAACGAGTATACGCCGGAACTAGGGGCATGACATACCTGGTAGTAGACGAGCTGCTGGGAGGTATCGTCTTTGCGAAGCATCGAGACGAACTGCACTACGTTAGAGTTCTGCGGTGCTGGTCAATGCGACGTGGACACAAAGAGTACAGTCCGCAAGGGCTTACGTCGGAATCGAACTGGTCTCCCGTTCCGTCAAAGCAGAGGACGAGAGTTCGGTGGCGATGGTGCGCGGGGATCCACACTTTCTGCCGTATGCCAGTCTCGGAGACATCGTACCTGAAGTCGTCTTTGTGCCGCTGCTGAGATTCTGAGACGTCGGAGCGCGATGCCCTGCCCTTCAGGTCCTTTGCATCGTAAAGGAACGAAGGAGAGACCGGGGAGTGCAAGGTCTCGTCTGAGCAGACCGAGGACACAGAGGGCGACCTGTCTGACATGTCAAGGCTGTAGGATTTTCCCGAGGTTTCGCTCGTGGGTAGAGGCCAGGGAGCTTACCGAGGCCCTATATACCATCGTCTGGCGAATGGAAAATCGGCAGGTCACCTGACAATGAATGATAAAGATGTGAAAGCTCCAGGAAGAGAAGCCTGGGTGCATCCGTGGTGATCGTGGGCCAGTACAGGTACATCGCAGCGGCGCCGCTGCTCCCGTCGCTGCTGTCGCCTGCGTGATATTTGGATAGTGCACGTCACTCGAGTACTGTCCGCTGGTAGCATCTTGCAGAGGAAACTCGACGAGGAACGTTGAAGTCTGTCTGCCAGAAGGAGCACTTGAGGACTAGCACTGGCATGAACTATATCACCTTCCATGCATCTAAGCTGCCGTCTACCGCAGAGCATCCGTCCATTTGGTGAGAAATGAAACTTTATGTACCATTGGTAGGGAAGATCCTCTGGGAACGGCCCCTAGTATATAAACAAATACAGTCTGGTCCTCTCCTTGATCAATTGAGCTTCCATTGCTTGTTGAACTGATGCACACTTACGATGTAAAGAAAAGTATGAAGAGTCTGACACGGGACGGCACCCGCGACCGGCAATGACGAACTCGGAACGGCCGGCACAGACGCGCCGAACGCCGAGGCTGCACGTGACAGGACGCGACCTTTGCTTTATACTCTTCAATGTCTTCATCTTCCCCATAAATTCGCGACGGCCCAGCCCACAATATGTGCCACGTGCTCCCGATGCTCCCAGGCGCCTGATGACAGCCCTCTGGGCCATGTGAAGGAGTAGAATACATGTTATTTTGGAAGCGCTATCATACACTCCAGCATATACATATCCAATACACAGTCCAGTCTCGCAGTCAGTGAAGCCGCTCTCAAACATGCACCTCGTCCTCATGCGCTCGCGGCGACCTTGGTCTTGATCACGTCGACGACGCCCGGCTCCGCGAGCGTAGAGAGACGATGGCCAGAGACGTTGATGATATCTGGGGTTCGATGACCACGAGTTCGGGAGGAAGGGAGAGAGAGAGAGAGAGAGAGAGAGAGAGAGAGAGAGAGAGAGAGAGAGAGCAGAGAGCGCACCATCGACGCGGCCCTTGATCCAGATGTAGCCGTCCTTGTCGCGCACGGCACCGTCGCCGGTGTAAAAGTATCCGGGGTAGGGCTGGACCGCGACGCATTCAGCACGATGAACGCTTGGGCGAGACCAGAAAATGCACTTTTGGATATGCATCTCGCGAATGGACGATTCGAGTTGGTTGATGCATGGAGCACGCCGTTCAGAGTTGGATTTAATGACAGAGATGCAAGTTCACAAGTACATAGAAGGACGTTGCAGCAGAAGCCTATGTCATACAAAGTGCATAATGATATAACAGACTCGAATTAGAAAACATGTGTGAATCGATATGTCGCCTTGGTGCTAAGTCTTGTGCTGACACCGTTCAATCCACCCACTCCCAATGCTCCGGCGCCTCGACGTTCCACTCACGGTGCGCCAGCCTCTCCGGCAACATCTCGCCGTCGCGACGCGGGATGGCAGGCCGCACTTGCGGGATGTACACCTCGCCGCGGCGGTGCACATCCCTGAGGCGGACGCCCCGCGCCTCGAGGCGCGTCTTGACCGAGCGGTGCACGTGCATGCCGGGCTTGAGCACGTCACCCGCGACGATGCGTCCGCGCCCGCAATTCCGCCTGTGTCGCGTCTTGTCAGCTCCCTCGCGTCTCGTGCAGCACACACACATACACACGGGTGGCAGCGGCAGCAACACTTACATCCATCTCCAGACGGAGCGGTCATGCCCCGGGCGGCTCCATCACTCCCACGCGTCGGCGCTGTGCCCGGGCTGCACGTGCGGCGGCCGCTCGACGCGTACCCACGCGGGGAGGTACTCCATCGTGAGCCACAGGAGGCGCTTCCAGCCTGCCCAGCGAGCCGTCAGCTTACGAAGAAAAGAAGAAGAAAAAAAAAAAAACAAGGAGCTCCCAGAAAGAAAGACAACCAAAGCAACACACACGCACCCCCGGCAGACGTGAGCTGGTCGTGCATCACGCTCAGCGCGTCCGCGAGCTCCTCGACGGCCTCGTACATCGGGTCCTGCGCCGCCGTGTGCGCCGTGTCCAGCGCGTGCAGGTCCTCGTGCAGCGGCGGCGGCGGCGGCGGCGTCAGCGGTGGTGCCGTTCCCGTAGGGCGGCGGCAGTGGTCGTGTCCGTGCCCGTGCGCCGCGCGCGCATGCGCCGGGTGCATGCGCGACGGCACGACGTGCCGCCCGCCACGCAGGCGCGCCGTGTCCGAGAGCCGGTCCTTGCGCGCGCGGGGGCCGAACAGCGCGCGGAAGGGCGCGGCGAGCAGGGCGCGGCGAGCAGGGCGCCGGCGGTGCGCAGGGCGCGCCACCCCCACGACTCCTTCGCGCGCGCGTCCTCGCGTGCGTCTGTTGCGTCTGCTGCGTCTTCGGCGGCCTCGAGCTCGACGGTGAGGTCGGGGTACGCGTGGACCTCGTGTGCAGCGAGGCGCGGGGGCGGATCTGCCAGCGAGATGGTGGTGGTGCCGGTGCTGGTGGTGTCGGGCGCGACGTCGAGGGAGAGTCCGATCTGCTGGAGCATCGCGGCGTCGAAGATGAGGCCGGTCCCGCAGCGGAAGGCCTCGCGGACCATCCAGCGGAGCGGGATGCGCGCGAGCGCGTGTCGCGTGTTGTTCTTGACGGAGCCGCCGCCGATGTCTGCGGTGCAGAAATCGACGAGGAGGAGGAGGAGGAGGGGGGGGGGGGGGGGGTGGTCAGTACGGGCAGGCAGGCTAGGGGAATGCGGCGCACCTGCGTGCACGCCTGCGAACCACACTTCGTACACGTCGCAGTGTACGCCCGAGGCGGCGTTCACGGCGTCCTCGAACCGCTGCTCGGCGCGCTCGCCGTCCTGTGCCGCCTTGCACGGCACGTAGGCGCTCGCGAAGCTCGGGATGAAGCGCACGCGCCGCTCGTCGAGTGAGAGCGCGTGCCGGAGGTGCCGCACGCCGTTGTTCATGTACACGAACGGCAGGGTACGCGGGATGAGGCCCACGGAGTTGACGGTATCCCTGAGTCAGCATGCGGCGTGAGCAGCAGCGAAGCGAGGGCTCAATCAAGCTCACCAGACACCCAGGAACTCGACCTTGACCTCCCTGCAGAACGTGCGCTTGAAGGTCTCCACAAGGATGACCTGTTCATCAAAGTCCTTGTCGTCCGCGTTCGTTGCCGTCTTTGCGTACATGTCGTACGCAAAGTACAGCTGGGCGTCGTTGGACCGCGGCAAAAGGCCGACCTGCACAAGAGGCACAAGGTCCGTCTTTCAGCGGCTCAGCAAGTTTCTGGTAGTTTAACGCACTTTCTGCAACATGCCAGCGAGCGCACGCGCTGTGTATGCCCCACGCGAGAAGCCGAATAGACAAATCTTGTCGCCGTCGGTGTAGTTATTCATGAGGAACCGATAGCCGTCTGTCCGAGTGCATGCACTATTAGATGAGATACGGTTGGCAACCTGGAAGAGAACATACCTTTGATGTGCGATGAAATATTCATCGCAAACATCTCATCAAGCGTCTTGCTTATTGTCGCGACGATAGGCATATTAGTGCCTGTGTAAGTGCCTATGCCCGGCTGTTCGAACGTTTTGACAAGCGATTATATGCCGGAGCTAAGGACACGGCATACCTGGTAGTAGACGAGCTGCTGGGAGGTATCGTCCTTACGAAGCATCGATACGAACTGCACTACATTGGAGTTCTATGGTGTTGGTCAGCGCGATGTGGACACAAGGAACACGGTCCGCAAGGGCTCACGTCGGAATCGAACTGATCTCCCGTTCCATCAAAGCAGAGGACGAGAGTTCGGTGGCGATGGTGCGCGGGGATCCAAACTTTCTGCCCTCTACCGGTCTCGGAGCCGTCGTGTCCGAAGCTGTCTTCATGCCGCTGCTGAGACTCTGAGACGTCGGAACGCGATGTCTTACCGTTTCGGTCCTTGATATCGTAGAGGAATGAAGGAGAGACTGGGGAGTGCAGGGTCTCGTCTGAGCAGACCGAGGACCTGTCTGACATGTCAGGACCGTAGGGTTTTCCCGAGGTTTCGGCCGTGTGCTGAGGGCTGGAGACTTACCAAGGCCCTATATATCATTATCTAGCAGATGGAGAATCGGCTGGTCACCTGATAGGTAGATACCAGAGACATTGAAAGCTTCAGAAAGAGAAGCCAGGGCGCACCCGTGGTAATCGTGGGCTCGTACAAGTACGCCACAGCGGCGCCGCTGTTCCATCGATGCCGTCTCCTGTGTAATACCACATACCGTACGTCAATCGAGTACTGTTCATTGGTGGTACCTTGCAGAGGAAACTCGACAAGGAACGTTGAAGTCTGGCTGCCAGAAGGGGCACCCGAGGACTAGCAGTAGCACGAACTATATCATCTTCTATGCATCTAAGCTGCCGTCTACCGCAGAGCATCCGTTCATTTGGTGAGAAATGACACTTGATGTACTATTGGTAGGGGAGATCCTCTGGGAACGGCCCCTAGTATATATAAACAAATGTAGTCTAGTCCTCTCTTTGATCAATCTTCCATTACATTCAGAACATACACTTACGATGTAAAGAAAAGCGTCTCGCTGTACTCGGGATGAGTGAAGAGTTTAGCATGGAACGACACCCGCCGCCGGCAACGGTCGGTGCAGACGCGCCGAACGCGGAGGCTACACGTGACAGGACGCGACTTTTGCTTCGTGAGAAACACACTCGCGACGACCGAGCTCACAATGTGCGTCACTTGCTCCCGATATTTCCAGGCGCCCGATAATAGCTCTTTGGGCCATGTGAAAGAGTAGAATACATGTCATTTTGAAAGCGCTATCATACACTCTAGCATATATATCTAATACACAGTCTAGTCTCGCAGTCAGGGAAGCCGCTCTCAAACATGCACCTCGTCCTCACGCGCTCGCGGCGACCTTGGCCTTGATCACGTCGACGACACCCGGCTCCGCGAGCGTAGAGAGGTCGCCAAGCTGGTCGCCCTCGCCAGCGATGATCTTGCGCATGATGCGGCGCATGATCTTGCCCGAGCGCGTCTTGGGCAGGTCCGGCGTGATATAGATCTTCTTCGGCGACGCGAACGGCCCGATGACCTTGCGCACCTGCAGGACGAGCTCCTTGGCCAACGCTGGCTCGTCCGTGGGGTCGTACTTGAACTCGCTGCGGGGAGCAGAGCGTCAGCGGCGGTTTGTAATGGTGCAGGAAGGACGCGGCTTACCGCTTGAGTGTGACGAAGGCGTGCACGGCCTGGCCTGTGAGCTCGTCGTTCGCTCCGATGACGGCCGCCTCGGCGACGCCGTCGTAGAGGATTAGGGCAGACTCGATCTCAGCGGTGGAGAGACGATGGCCAGAGATGTTGATGACATCTGGAGTTCGGTGAGCACGAGTTCAGGAGGAAGGGAAGGAGGGAGAGAGAGAGAGAGAGCAGAGAGCGCACCATCGACGCGGCCCTTGATCCAGATGTAGCCGTCCTTGTCGCGCACGGCACCGTCGCCGGTGTAAAAGTATCCGGGGTAGGGCTGGACCGCGACGCATTCAGCACAGTGAACACTTGGGTGGGACCAGCAGAAGATGCACTAACCCTGAGGTAGACGTCGAGCCACCTGTTGTGGTCCTGCCAGACCGTGCGCGCGATAGAGGGCCAAGTGTTCTTGAAGACGAGGACGCCCTCGACACCGCTGCCCTCGAGTTCCTGTCAAATTTCCGGTGAGCATCAGCTATACCCAAAAGCAGCAGCCAACCCACCTTTCCGGTGACAGGATCGAGCAGCGCGTATTCGTGGCCGAGGAAGGGCACCGTGGCCGAGCCAGGCTTGCACTCGATCGCGCCCGGGAGCGGGCTGACGACGATCGAGCCGGTCTCGGTCTGGAAGAAGGTGTCGACGATCGCGGCCTGGCGGCGGCCGACGTGGTCGTTGAGCCAGTGCCACGCCTCGGGGTTGATAGGCTCGCCGACGGAGCCGATGACGCGGAGCGAGCTGAGGTCCGCGTTCTGCACGTGCGACTCGCCGAGCCGGCGGAGCAGCCGCACCGCCGTCGGCGCGGTGTGGAAGTGCGTGAGTCGGTGCCGGTCGACCGTCTCCCAGAAGCGCGCGGGCGTCGGGTACGTCGGCGTTGACTCGAACACCGTCGTCGCGACGCCGAGCGCGAGCGGGCCGTACACGAGGTAGGTGTGGCCTGTGATCCAGCCGAGGTCGGCCATGCATCCGAAGCGGTCGTCGGGGTGCACGTCGAAGACGTACTTCACGCTGAGCGCGGCGCCGAGCAGGTACCCGCCGATGGTGTGCATGATGCCCTTGGGCTTGCCGGTCGAGCCGGAGGTCTGAAGGCCGAAAGTCAGCGTGATAACTCTCGACGAGAAGCCGCCGAGTCCACTCACGTAGAGGATGAAGAGGCCGTCCTCAGAGTTCAGGAGCTCAGGCGGGCAGTAGTTCGGGACCTTGGCGCTCTCCTCGTGCCACCACTTGTCCCTGCCGGCAACCCAGCCGACGTTCTCGCTGCCCGTGTGCTTGAGCACGAGGACATGCTCGACGTGTGGGCAGCCCTCGAGCGCCTTGTCCGCGAGAGCTTTGAGCGCGATCGCCTTGCCGCCCCGGCGGCCCTCGTCCGCGGTGAGGACGACGCGCGAGCGGCAGTCGTTAATGCGGTCGCGGAGGGCCTCGCTCGAGAAGCCAGGGAAGACAGCAGAGTGCACGGCGCCAATGCGCGCGCAGGCGAGGAATGCCGCGACGGCCTGCCAGGTCATCGGCATGTACACGGACACCGTGTCGCCCTTCGTCACACCGAAGCGCTTGAGGACGTTTGCGACCCGCGAGACCTCGCGCAGCAGCTCGCCGTAGCTGATGTACTTGTGATTACCGGGCTCATCGGCCTCGTAGATGATGGCGGTCTGTGCGAACGGATGCGTCAGTCATGAGTCCTCTGCTGCGGAAGGTCGAGTTCGTACCTTATTTGGGTCCTCGAACGCCCAGCGGTCAACACAGTTATAGGAAGCGTTTATGTATCCCTCCGGGAACCATGCAATGTCTCCGGTCTTGAAGGAGCCGGAGCGGATAGTCTGGAAGGGGCGATCCCAGTGCAGGAGCTCCCTCGCCATCTGTTACAAGCGGCGTTTGTGAACGTTCCTCGGTACTATAACACGTGTGCACCCACCTGAGCCCACCACTGATCCGCATTGGGTCCCACAGTCTCAGCGTGTGCTTTCTTGTACGCCTCAAAGTTAGGACCGATGAAAGGTACCTCGGTGCCATTTCTCATGCGAGGCGGGATGGGATGAGTGCAGACGGCATCGTAAGCGGCGTTGGACATGTCGTTCTAGAGTATCTAAGAGAGTAGAAGAGGCTGGGAGGCTGGGAGGCGTCGAAGAACGACTTGGAGAGCCAGGCTATCTTGCGAGTGACCCTCTTATACTGCGTCGACCTGCACCTTTTCCAAGACACTCATTGTCGTCGAAGCGAAATCTCAGTCGACTAGAGCATTGTCAGCTCGCAGCAGCGATAGCGGTGCGGGGTAACTTGCGGCCAGTGACAATCTACAATACAGACACACCTCTCTTGCATCTGTCCTTCTGTCAAGCAGACCTCGAGGGAATGTGCATCAGGAAGATTTGCCCTGTCCAAGAGCGGGCAAGAACAGGTCAAATCCCCTCGAAGGAAGTGTCGGGCGGACTGACTGACAGCGCATCAGTCAACATTGACTATTAGGCAAATTTTCCGCAGGATAATCGCCCGACAGCTGTCGTGAACGACCAATTGCGCAGTGGCTTTCTGCCCATGCGATGCGCGGATGAGCATGGGGGCCACGCGACAGGTGATCATTGATCAAGCACGCACCCGGGCCCGTTAAGGGGGATTGGCATGCGAAGGGCGCAGGCGCGTGATGGCCGACGCTTGGCGCTGTCAGAAGGCCGCTGCTTGCCAGTGCGTACCCTGGGCTTGTCAGGGCAGTACTCCAGGTCAGAGAAAGCCCACGCGGTGCGCTAGTGGGGAGATAAGACGAAGATGCATAAAATCATGAATCGGCGGTGGTAAGGCAATCAAAGCCGGGCTTGGGCCACCCTATCAGTGCCGATTATGGCAACGAAACCCGAGCACGCAGAAAATGACAGGCGTTCTCTTTGAATTCCCAATGCAATAACGCAATATTCAGCGCAGTGAGCGACATACGAGATGGACAGCCATATCCAAAAGCACTCAGCAATATCCAGGACCGGGTACGCTCAATCTTCACTCGTCTGTCTCCTCTTCATCTTCACCTTCATCATCATCCGAGTTGTCTGTATCTCGAAGGGTCATGAGCTCGTTGATGCTGAAAAGACTCGATGTCAATAACTCGAGCTATCAGCGGTTTTCTTTGCCATACCAGTGTACGAACGGGCGCAAAATCTTGACGAACCTACCGAGCTCCTCTTTGAACCCGGGTTGAAGCACTTGCTTATCCGTGAATCTACGAGCAATTAATAAGACAGACAGTACCCAGCAGCTCTACCTACTCATAAGCAACACAAAGCGATCGGCATTTCAGCAGGTCGATGTCTCTGTCACACACAGTAGTCAGCACAAGATAGCTCGCGCTGCAGGTCACATACTTATGAGTCTTGTCGATCCCCTTCGGCGCGACCTTTAGTTCGTCTTCCCTTCCAAAAATGCTCTGGCGCCCGCCGTTAGGATGCGGCTTCGCCTCGCCGAAAAGTCCGACGAATGTCTCCTCAGAGATAATACGCCAAAACTGTCTGGATGAGCGCTGGAGATTGTTTCTTGTATCATTCATTAGTAAAGTTAACGAATGATGGAAATTTTATTCAACGCACCGAATGGTCTGGAGCTCATTCTTGCCCGGACACCACGCCCCTGCTGCAATGAGGCTCTGCCCATCGGGTCGGACTAGGGACCAATGTTAAGTGACTGTGGCATTATTTGCGATACAGATACGTACTCGCACTGCGAAGTCGATTGAGAATAGCGTTAGAGATTTGCATTCCAGCCAGAATAAATTGCAGCGCACATGTGATCTAGAGAACCACAGTCATTATGTAGCCGGCTCCAGCATAATTGAGAGAGACAGCTACATACATTTAGCGAAGATGCCCTTCCGACCACTGCGTGAGAAAGTCGCCGAGAGCCCGGTTTTGTAGGGCGTCTTGTCGTTACTGAATCTGACCTGCACGATTGGTATCCATGAGAACTTGCGTGTGTTCTTGTGAGAAGGACAGCTCACATCACGGTAAATCCGATGAATGGCATCTTTCGGCGGCAGATACGGAATCTGTGGGTCATTTGCAACAAGGACGTCAGTAAATGCTTCGACGAAGTCTTTCCATTCCTTCTCAGCGACCCGCCATACGGGCTCTATAATCTAATAAGCAGAGGATCACAGAAATGTAAGCGGAGACCTGCCATGCGTCTTAAACCTGTTCATCGGTCAAGCACGGGGCCCGGTAAACATCACAATGCTGGTAACATACCATTCTCGGTCATTGCATTCGGGTTTCTTCAGTTGTGCTAGGAAGTCAAGGGTATTCTGCGAGATCTGACCGGGAGGTACTAGTTTTAGTATTAGCCAGCAGCATAAACATGCCTGGGGAGCAAGCGGACCTGGGCACCTGTCAGCATAACCTGCAGGCACCAGACAAAAGTGAGGCGACGCACCAACCTCGACCAGTTTTGGGAGCCTGCACCACTCTGCCCACAATTTCTTGACCATCCTGCAGCTCCAGCTCCGATTCCGTGTCTTCATCCTCCTCTGACGTCTTCCTCTTCTTTCGCGGAGAGCTAGTCTTCTTCGGCGACGACTTGGCTGACTTAGCAGAGGCGCGCTTGCGTTTAGCCGGCTTTGTCTCGCGTTCGTCGTCCAAGTTTTCGCTGTTTATCGAGTCTGCGTCGCTCACGACCTCCTCTTCATCTTCGTACGCGTCGCTTTGCTCGTCTTCACTCTCTTCTTCAGGATAGTCTTCCGGCTCTGTTTGTTTGCGTTTCGACCGGCCGCCTGGTGCTTTCGAAGCTGCTGCCTTCGGTTTATCTTTTTGTGTCGCGTTAGACTTCTCGAAATGTTTGGAAGTCGTTGACCGCGTGCTCCGTGATACCATCGTTTGAGAGCAGGATGCGGGGTAGAGTCAAGTGCGATAGCGCTCGCGACGCGGAGCCGCCATTCCGTTTAAGGAAGTCACCGACACCTTTGTGGCGCCCCCGCTCCAGGCTACGTATACATAGAGCAAAAGCTCGCTCCACAGCAGGACGGACGAGCTCATGATAAGCAGTACTTGTTATGGCGCTATTAGGTACCAACCCTGCCACCCATGACATCTAAAGTCAAACACTGGCTAGTTCACGGCTTATCCATTCGTCGTGAGTTGACTGTGACTGCGATTCCGCGATTGAACATCCGTCGGTAGCGGGCCATAATACATAATGACTCGCCCTACAGGAAGCATATTAATGTAGAATAGCACTCTAGACAGCGACCAACGCGTTTCGTAGTGAAAGAGCTCTGTGAAAATATTGCGCCAAAAATACGAGATACGCTGCGGAGCGCCCGAGTTACAGCATCTTCCTTTTGGCGTATATGGGCTGCGTCTGTCTCGGTCGTGAGTGCGCGTTTCAAGCTGTCGCGCGTGTCAGACGCGTCTCCTTGGGGTTGATACTGCCGTAAGGCCATTTCAGGCATGCTCTTAACGCCACTTTCCACTGTTCTTCCTTCCTTTCTCATAATTCAAAACATTACTCCACCGCATCAGATCAACAAAACACACAACACATATAAGCACCATCTCGACGACAGCTCCTCCCTCTTCCCCAATTCTCATCATCCTCTGCCTCAGGCATTATTTCCTCGCGTAACATGGCCAATTGCCGTTCATCAATATACCCTTGTTTCGCTGTTTCAGATGCGCCACTGTCGCGAAACGCACTATACCTCCACGCGTCGTTTGCTCTTGTCTTTGTTGCCAACCCGCAGGACAGTCCACTTGGGCAGCATGCCGCCGTCCGACCGTATCTCTAGCCACTCAGGCTGTAGAATGCGCCGTTCTGTCTGGCTGTCGTAACGCGCAGGAGGGTACAGTGTTGCTCTTCCGTTTTCCTCGCGTTCTTTCACACCCCGCCAGATGGGATTGACCTTTTCAATTGTCCCGAGGCCCAATCAGCTGGTGACGAGAACGCAGGGAATCGTGGTCTCCAGAGAACGTTCCTGGGGAAGACGCAATCCGTGTTCCTGGGATAGTTAACCACAGTCAAGTCTCTTCGACGCCGATGCGAAGACTGCTTTCCGTCAACAGTCGCGTATCAATAGAAGGGTCGCGGCAGTATTGGCGGATTCGTGAGCACACCTCCACGTTACCTCTTCGTGCAACTCTTTGACAAACCCTCAGATACTCTACGATTTCACGAGAATTCGGCTGAATGATAGGCGCGCTGGTAAGTGACGAACCACCATCACCCGCTGTCGAGTGTCCTGAAGAATATTGCAGCGAGCTTCTAGACTTAGCAACAGCTACCGTTATCAAGGTACTGCGCACGCCGCACGGTTGTCACTTGAAGTCAGGCTTCGGCCATCCGCAGTCTTTCACATGTGTCCGCCTGGCGGAAGTGACGGAGCAAGGCGAGCCTCTTTCGTTTTGCCTCGGAGCTCTGGTTTTTGATTCCGAATTTGACCAATTTGATGTGTTCACAAGACTCATGTTTCGCCTCGCTAGGGAGCCGCTCGCCCCGGGCTGCTTATGTGGGGTCCGCGAATACCGTGGCAGTTGACCGGTGCTTTCAAAGCGAACACAAGCGACACCCGACCAGCTCATACAGGCACTTGAAGGCACGACCTCACACAGGCACTGTCGGCGGGCAGCTGAGACGACGACGATAGCAGATATGCTGAAAACCCGCTGACGTTCCCGTCCAGCCTAGGCTCTAGCCTGAATAGCGGGTCTCCGTTCCCTAAACCGTCTAGGCTTGGCTGTACGCAGGTGGAGAGATTATTACCTGCTCGTTGCTCGGCAATCGGTGTGAGCGGCCATGGCGTCGTACTAGTAGGCCGACAGGAGTAAGGCACCGCTCTTCTTCCGCTGACGGAAGAGAAGAGAAGCCTCCTTGCCGAATAATGCATTCCCACTCTATACACGCTCCCGTGGTGTAAGGGATTCGTCCGAGTCCATCGCGCGACTTCTTTTCATGACTGCAGGCGTCCGCGCTCTCAACGACGGCCTCGGTGAGGCCATGTCGGCATGCGACGATGTTTCGGCCGTCGTCGTGGTCGCGCCTCTTCGCCCCGCATTCCCCGCACGGTTGGTTCAGGGGGGCGCCCGACTAAGCCTCGGAAGGAAGTCACGCGATCTCCAGGATCAGAAAATGAATTCGCTTATATTGCATCACACCTCCTAGCCTCGGTCACTCTTTGCCTCCAACTTCCTCCTCCTCCTTCTCATCACCATCATCACTGTCGGTCAGCCAGCCGGTTAGAATGTCCGACGCACAACAACCAGCAGCGGCCAGCGGTGCCAGCAGCGAGCAAGCTGCCAGCGGATCAGACGGTCACCCCACAATTCACCCTGTTGCTCCGAGACTGAAGAACGGCCACAAAATCCCCCACATTGGACCGCACATCCATGCATATCGCAGTCAGCACCAGCAAACCGTGGGCCACGAATCAGACAAATGGTGGGCAAAGGTCCGTAGTTCCGTGTTAGGCAAGAAAGCGAGTGACCCTGACGAGGAGAATAGATGGCCCGAGACACCCTGCACTGGGATCGTCCCTTCCACACAGTCCGTGCAGGAGGCTTCGAGACAGGCGACATCGTCTGGTTCCCAGAAGGCGGTCTGAACGCATCATACAACTGTGTCGATAGGTGGGCGTTCAAGCACCCTGATAAGGTGGGATAATTCTCGGGCCAAACGTCATTGCGCAGCAACTAAACGCCTATCTCTCAGACTGCCATCATCTACGAGGCTGACGAGCCGAACGAGGGCTGCGAGATCACCTACGCCCAGCTCCTCCGCGAAGTATGCAGCGTCGCCAACGTTCTCAAGTCTCTCGGCGTTAAGAAGGGCGACACCGTCTCCGTCTACCTGCCCATGACATGGCAGGCCGTCGCCGCCTTCCTTGCGTGCGCGCGCGTCGGCGCCGTGCACTCGGTCGTCTTCGCCGGCTTCTCCGCCGAGTCCCTGCGCGACCGCATGAACGACTGCAAGTCCCGCGTGCTCATCACCTCCGACGAGGGACGCCGCGGCGGCAAGACGATCGCGACCAAGGTCATCGCGGACGCGGCCATCAAGCAGTGCCCCGGTGTCGAGCACGTCCTCGTCCTCAGGCGCACGGGCAACGAGGTGCCCTGGACGGAGGGACGCGACAAGTGGTGGCACGAAGAGACTGCCAAGGTCCCCAACTACTGCCCTCCGGAGATCATGTCCTCGGAGGACCCGCTCTTTATCCTTTATGTAAGTTGTGTATCCCTTCGCGCTTTGACTCTGCTAATGTCGCTTGGCAGACGTCCGGCTCGACTGGCAAGCCGAAGGGTGTCGTCCACACCACTGGCGGATACCTCCTTTGCGCGGCGCTGACTGTCAAGTATGTCTTCGATGTGCACCCAGACGACAAGTTCGCCTGCATGGCTGATATTGGTTGGATTACCGGTCACACGTGAGTCTTTGTACTATGCACTACACGTACTGTCTGACACGCTCGCAGTTACATTGTGTATGGCCCCCTTGCCAATGGTGTCTCAACAACTGTCTTCGAGTCGACACCTGTATACCCTACCCCGTCGCGCTACTGGCAGACCGTCGAGAAGCACAAGCTTACGCAGTTCTACTCTGCACCCACCGCGATTCGTCTGCTTCGCCGCCTTGGCGAGCATCACGTCCAGGACCACGACCTCAGCTCGCTCCGCGTCCTTGGCTCCGTCGGCGAGCCCATCAACCCTGAGGCGTGGCACTGGTACAACGACCACGTCGGCAAGCGTCAGTGCGCTATCGTCGACACGTTCTGGCAGACTGAGACGGGCTCCATCGTCGTCACGCCCTTCCCCGGCGCGATTGAGACTAAGCCCGGCTCCGCGACTGTGCCATTCTTTGGTATCGAACCGGCCATCCTGGACCCGGTTACTGGCAAGGTACGGAATACCGTTAGGGACAGTGCGTTCTCAGTGCTCACTTTACTGTGCAGGAGCTTGAGGGCGACAACGTCGAGGGCGTCCTTGTCATCAAGACCCCGTGGCCGTCAATCGCTCGCACGGTCTACCAGGACCACAGCCGATACCTCGACACCTACATGAAGCCCTACCCGGGCGCCTTCTACACCGGCGACGGCGCCGCGCGCGACGAGCACGGCTACATCTGGATCAAGGGCCGCGTCGACGACGTCATCAACGTCTCGGGCCATCGTCTCTCGACGGCGGAGATCGAGTCCGCGCTGATTCTGCACAAGGGCGTCGCGGAGACGGCCGTCGTCGGCACCGCGGACGAGCTCACAGGCCAGGCCGTGTACGCGTTCGTGGCGCTCAAGCCCGAGTTCAAGTACGACCCGTCGGACGAGGCCGCGCTCGTGAAGGAGCTCGTGCTCCAGGTGCGCAAGGTCATCGGCCCGTTCGCCGCGCCGAAGAAGATCTTCATCGTGCCCGACCTGCCCAAGACGCGCTCGGGCAAGATCATGCGCCGCATCATGCGCAAGATCGTCGCTGGCGAGGGCGACCAGCTTGGTGACCTGAGCACGCTCGCGGAGCCGGGTGTCGTCGACCTCATCAAGACCAAGGTCTCTGAGAGCTGAACGCCTTGAGCGTTGTTGTTTTGTGTACCATGTGGAGTCTGATGTGGTAGTTGGGTGTTCCTGCACGCTTGAAAATGAGGTATCAATCTGTAATCAACCGATATCGATATACCAAGGGGCTCTAGCTGTATCTCTTACCTGCTTTGTTCTTAGCGAAAGAAAAATCTAATTGTATTTACTCTCTTGCCTCTTGCATGGCTGTCCTAAGTGGTAAACATGAGGTGAGCCCTCTACGGGTAGGTCCTAAAGGTCCGTCTTCCTGCATGCTGAAGAAAGTGTCGCTAGCCTAGGCCTATAGGACGTGAGGCTCGCTGCTCGATCTACCAGGCAAGCATCGCCGGACGTGCTGGTGCTCGCGCCACAATGATTCCGCCAAACAGCGGCAAATGATGTCCGTTTCCCTACGTGCTCACACGTTTCGGCGAGCACGGTCACCTTCTAATCTCCGGGTGTAGAGTCTCGGGCTTTGCGTGCTGGTTGACGGACTTAGATTCGACACAACGAAGGTAAGGATGCCTCTATCGGACAATATTTACATACTTGAGACGTTGGTTCATGGTCAAGACCGCATCCGAGTCTCATGAATGCCGCCGGAATGTCTCGTGCGGTCACGCCTTTCCCTCGCCCAGCCCTCATCGCGAGAACGACCGATGCATATCGGACGAGCTCTCCGTGGGTACGCTTACTAGTCCGAACGGATCTTACCATGACTTCTCTCGCTCATAGAAGACAGTCACGATTCGAACATGAACTAGAGGTATTGTCAGCCTCGGCTCGGTCCCGTCGCCACCCATTCCCTAGGTTGCCCACTCCGACACACCGAAGCCTCGAAACGAACACACTGGCCTCAGGCTGCAGTCCGTCCTGGTCCGTCTCAGCCTGCCTGGGAACGTAGTTCCCGCCTTCTTAATCTCTCTTCTGCACTGCAAGCTTCTGTTCTGCACTCTCACGGGAGCAGCATGCATGGGGTCGCATGAAGCAAACGCCTCTCACGCACACTCTCGCCGATTGTGCACCCCGCCTCCCGTGCAGGGCCGACAAACTCTCTCGGGAGCATGCCTGGACTGCGTTCGTGCGCCTTTGCACCGCAATGCAGTGATTCACCGACATTAAAGAAGCTATTGGATATGCCGCGTACACATGTTGTTTGTCTTCTTGCTGTTTTGCTGTGTATCAGGAATTTGCGCTTGGTGGCGTCGCGGTGCCCTATTGTTAATCACCAGTATTGCACCCGACACGAACATGCATGAACGAACACGGGGTGATAGGTGTGATATACATGACTTTAGTTTGTGTGCACACGAGCCTTCGTTTCACTTTCTGTTCGATGATCATCCCTGCACGAGCTTGACGAGGTCAACCGGCTGCCCGTCGCTGTTCAAGCCGGCCTGGATGAACGCAACATCCTTGAGCGCGCCGAGGGGCGAACCGAAGCCGTCGTCCTCGCCGTCGATGGCCTTGATAAAGCTGACCAGCTGGAGCTCAACCCCACGCATCTCCTCCTCGAAGACATGCTTCTCCTCGCCGATGTCGCGCCCCTGCTCGTCCTTGGTGACACTGTAGACTGAGATACGGTAGGCGCGCCCGCTGCCAAGGTTCACGCCGTTGATGGCTATCCAGCCGTCCTCGCCGGTGATAGTGATACCATCGTTCCCCTGATCGCGGCGTGAGGGCACGGGCGCGCCCCAGGTGAGCTCGACGGTGCCGTGGACGCCGTCCGCGGTGCGCGCGGCGGCGTTGATCGTGTCGTGCGGCGGGAGATGCTTCCGGTTCTGCGACGCAAAGCCAGACAGGGATACGATGGGGCTCGGGAGCAGAATCCGCAGAGCAGCGACCGTGTGCTGCAGCAGGGACGCGTGAATATGGATCGCCAGGTGGCACATGCTGAGACACTTACGACACCACCGTCGAGCTGATGAACGAGCACAACTGATTCAGCGTCCGATGAAGTATGCAGGCAGACGTATACGCACCAAGAAACCGCCCTGGTACTGTCGTCCGAGTTAGTTTATATGATGAGTTCCACAAGAGCCACATGACTCACGTCAGGCACCGTGCGCCATGGGGTATTGTACCACTTGCTGTCCTTTGCGACATAGTTTACAACTCGAGCACTGAATGAGTTGATCCTGCCGATCTTGCCATCGCGGATGGCTTTCGCAGCGACGTGCCATCCACGCTCAAACTCTTCGTTCTCAGCGACGCGCCAGACGAGGCCTTTGGGCTTGTACGTCGTGTCTACCTCGCGGATGAGCTCGATGCCGCCTGCGACGTCTGGTGCGACAGGCTTCTCGCTCAGGACATGCTTGCCTGCAGCGAGACACTTGCGCACGATCGATGGCTGGACGGTGATTGGGAGGGCGATGACGACGGCATCGATGTCCGAGCGTGCCAGCAGAGCGTCGAGATTCGTCGCGGAGTCACCATCATAGTATATACTCGGAGGTTGAGCGAGACTGAGCTTCTCCTTCGCCGCCTGCGCGAACTCAGAGGCGCTCTTTTCAGATCTTGAATAGATCGCCCTGAGCTCTACGACACCGCCGTCGAGTGCGGCGATGGCTGGCAGATGAGCTGCATATTGTACGAGGTGAAACCCCGGGTCAATATCAGACTGACAACGCACGTACCCTCCTTCGCAAAGATACCCGATCCCAGGACAGCAAGGCCCTTTGGCGACATGGTATGCGGTCTTCTGTGGTGCGAGTGACAGTCAGGACCAAGTCAGGGCAACTCTCTTGGGTGGCCTTCGAGTTCTTAGCTTGTGCCCTGTTTAGAGCCTATGCAATGCTTTCATCAGCCTGAGATCATCTATCCCATGCAGTAATCCCGGGCCACGGAAAAACTATTCTCTCGGTCAACTACTCTGCCAAATGAGCGCTTCATATGAGAGGGCCATGTCGTCAGAGTCGCGGGCGAATATCAGAATCCTGGTCCAAACTGCGTGTTTTCGGGGGCCAAAGCGCGGGACCTCGAAAGCGACGCGCCTGATGATATCCTGCAAGAGGTGCCATTATGTCGAGAACCATGCATACCGGAGATTCTGACCTGTTCGGGACGTTTTCGGACCAGAGCTCCGGTCTCTAACAAGATGAAAAACAGGCCAAAAAAGCGCGGGCGCTCCAGCCACTCGCCAGGGTCCATGATTTCCTCATGCCATCGGCGAAACATCGGCCAATTTCCTACTCAAACGCAAGTTGAACCAGCTGTGCTGGAGCTCCTGCCGCTCATCTGCTCGGTTTTCCTGGGAGACCGCGAGATAGCCCCGGATGAGTATAGATCTCCCATATCCAATTCTCAGATAGCAGCGGACCTTACAGCGTCGTGGGAATGGCCGTTTGCCTACGGCGAACTTTGCTAGAGGAAGCGGAAGGTGAGAAGGAAAGGGATAGGCGAAGCAGGAAGACAGGTACGTACGAGGGCGACACAACACAAATCTTTCGCCTGTGCTCAACTTTTGCGGCAGGACCCTGTGTAAAACCCCGAATTTCTACAGCTTCGAGGATGGTTCGAGTGGAACGTAGCCAAGAAGTTGGCTCTAGAAGAGGGCTGGATGAAATCCGGGTTTTAGAGGCGAGGTTGACGTTGACGGTCGTTACACAAACGACGGTACAACGTTCTGACACTTGTCTTGCCGTCTGCCTCGGCTTCTCTTGCCACGGCTGGCTCGGGACAACCGAGGCGGCTGATGCCCCTTCACCTCCTGCTCCTGCCAACCACCCGGACTAATCTCGGCGACCCCCCCTTCGGAAGTGCCGTCCCAGAATGTCTCTATCGGCGTATTACTACTGACCGTCTTAAAAGCAAACATGCCCTCGCACACGCCCCATTTTTCCTTACCTCTCAGACTACAACATGACTACGTCTGCTACCCCTCTAAACAAGCTCCCTCCAGACTTCATCTGGGGCTTCGCGACTGGTAAGTGAATTTCCCCCGCCTTGGTTTGACATATCGCCCCATTTTTCCACGTCGCCCGAGGCCGAACCTACACACTTGCTCAATCTACATTGAATTTTTCTTGCAGCGAGTTTCCAGATTGAAGGCTCTACCGACGTCGACGGACGTGGAAAGTCGTTCTGGGACGACTTCTCGAAGTTGCCCGGCAAGACCCTCGACGGAAGGGATGGAGACGTCGCCACCGACTCCTATAACCGCTGGAGGGAGGACATCGACCTCCTCGTCCAGTATGGTGTGAAGAGCTACCGCTTCTCGATCGCGTGGTCGCGCATTATTCCCCTCGGAGGCCGCAACGACACCGTCAATGAGGCAGGGATCAAATTTTACTCAGACTTCATTGATGCACTTCTCGAGCGTGGCATCACGCCCTTTGTGGTAAGCACACGAGCTGCTGGATTTCTCGAAGTATACTTAGGCTAGCTCTCGTTCTAGACTCTCTACCACTGGGACCTTCCTCAGGCCCTACACGACCGCTACCTTGGCTGGTTGAACAAGGACGAGATTGTACAAGATTACGTCCGCTATGCGAGGGTACGTGCTTTTGGCGTACGGTTCTTGGATATATTCTCATTCGCCCGATATTCAATTGAACAGGTCTGCTTCGAACGCTTTGGCGACCGTGTAAAGCATTGGTGCGCCCGTCTTCTTTCCGCCAGCAGAGGTGCCTGACAGCAAGCTGCCATGCTTACTTGCTAGGTTGACTATGAACGAGCCTTGGTGCATTTCGATTCTGGGCTACGGCCGCGGGGTGTTCGCCCCCGGACGGTCAAGTGACCGTATGCGCTCGCCAGAGGGTGATTCCTCGACAGAACCTTGGATGTACGCCCGACTGCCTCATGTCGCGTTTCATCGTGCCAGTGCTGATTGCTCGATCTGTTTTTGCCGCTACTTCACTCGTGAAACAGCGTTGGTCACAGCGTCATCTTATCTCACGCGTGTGCGGTCAAGCTTTACCGCGAGGAATTCAAGGCCAGCCAGGGCGGCCAAATCGGCATCACGTTGAACGGCGACTGGGCCATGCCATATGATGACAGTCCGCAAAGTGAGTTCAATTCAACCGGCCTCGTGTGCGGTCTAGCAGGGCGTCAGAAAGCCATCTGGACGCCAAGGCTGATTGTGCTTACGTGCTGTCATGCTCACACCCCTTCTCCTCGCCTTCCCCAGACATCGAAGCTGCTCAACATGCGCTGGACGTTGCCATCGGTAAGTCATGTTCCTTTCAGACATCTCTGTCGCAGTCCCCCTGACGCCAATCTCCTCTTCTCTGCAGGATGGTTCGCGGTGAGTGTGGCTTCGATCTTTCGCCGTTAATCGCATCTCCCCAATCTCCGTCCTGACTGCCTTCTATCTCCTCATCTCTCCACATTTTTCCGCGCCCACATACCCTTGTCGTCTCTAATCTGCCTCCCGGAATGTTGTGCTCAACGTCCATGCCGTCTGGTACTACAGGACCCTATCTATCTCGGCCAATACCCGGCGTATATGAAGGAGATGCTGGGTAATAGGCTACCGGATTTTACCCCGGAGGAGCTCGCTGTCGTCAAGGGATCCTCAGACTTCTATGGTATGAACACATACACCACGAATCTCTGCAGTAAGTGTCAAACACTATCGGCTCGTTGGCAGTACAACTGACGCCCCTGGGGTTTCAATAGAGGCTGGCGGTGAAGACGAGTTCCAAGGGAACGTTGAGTATACGTTCACTCGTCCCGACGGTACTCAGCTTGGTACCCCAGGTACGCCTCAAGACTATCATGTTGACATGCTATTCTGACCAGATGTCATCCAGCCCACTGCCCTTGGTTGCAAGATTGTCAGTAATATAGACCGTGCGAGCCTATCGGATGACGAACTGACCGTTATCGTCGGCAGATGCACCTGGCTTCCGTGACTTACTCAACTACCTGTATAAGGTATGCACCTGTTTCCCATCTAACTAGCACCGCTGTTGACAGTTGTGTTACCTACCAGCGCTACCGCAAACCCATTTAGTGCGTAGCAGCCCTTTGCGATGGCTATTACAATCATCTCACGTGGTTATTGATTCTAGCGTGACGGAGAACGGGTTCGCGGTCAAGGATGAGGACTTGAAATCCCTTGAGGAAGCTGTCAAGGATGACGACCGTGTGCACTACTACCAGGGTGTGACCGACTCCCTTCTTGCGGCTGTCAAGGAGGACGGCGTCGATGTCCGTGCTTACTTTGGCTGGAGTGAGCCCCAACCTTCCATCCCGCGTATTCACACGATGCTGATCTCGGCGTCCGGTATAGGTCTTCTTGACAACTTTGAGTGGTAAGTTTATCGGACATATACCACCCGCGTTAGCGGGCTGACCTCCTGTACCCAGGGCGGACGGCTACATAACCCGCTTCGGCGTCACCTACGTCGACTACAACACCCAAAAGCGGTACCCGAAGGACTCGGGGAAGTTCCTCTCACAGGTGAGTCGCGGCTTGATTGGCGGACAGCGGTTGAGCTGATCATCCGGCACACAGTGGTTCAAGGAACACGTCGCTGAAAGCCCCAAGCCGGCCGCGGAGACGAAGAAGGCGTCGCCGCCATCGCCGCTGAAGTCACACGGGTCGATCTCCAACGGGGTCAGTAAGAAAGCGCAGGTGGCCAAGGTCAGTCGTGACTCACCTGCTCCGCGAATGAAACCTAACCTTGATCTCCCCCAGGAGCCGCAGAGCGCCACGCGCAAAAAGGGCACGAAAGCCCCGTTCGCTCGTTTCACGGCATACATCTCTGCATTCCTTGGTCTCTGAGACGTTTCACCTTGACGATTCCTTGACGCTATCTTTGTTCATTGGACTAGAATTGTATGATCTCCACGCAATCTCGGTAGCCGCCGCTGTATTCCCCTACTGGAGAGTTTACCTTCAGTTGTAGTTGTAGTTGTATATTCTCGCTGTCTTTATATACCTGTGCCGCCTGGATCTTTATGATTACCCACAATACAGCTGTGCCCTATACCCTTACGCGCCTTCTTGCTGCCGCCATGAATGCTGTCTTGTGCGGCCGAAATGCGAGCGGAATTTTATGGCCTCGCGCGTGCACCGCACATGCGCTTGAATACCGGGCGCTTTTTATATCTGGGCTTCCTTGGTGGAGACCACTTGTCGCACAGTCTTGTTGCTAAGAAATGCAAGAGGATATTCAGTATCGACGCTAGGACGTGGTCTGTGGGCGTGTCTGATTTATTGTAAAAAGAGCGGGGTAAGGAGCTTTGAGCGCGTGCGATCAAATGGCGTTTGAGGCGAAAGTGAGGCTCTCCGAATTTCCCTCTTCCTCGTTCTGTGATACACTTTCCCCCAGCACCTCCCCTTCCAGGCTCCGAGGGTGCCCGACCCATTCAGCCCAGATGTCCGCGTACATAAACGATCCGACCCACCCCGATACCCATTCCACGTCTGATTCTGGTTCTGGCCCGAGCCCCACCTTCATCTCAGACCGGGCTGGAAGCAACGACCACGACGACGAAGGTGGGAAGAAGAAGAAGCAGGGCAAGCGGAGAAAGGTCAATCACGCCTGCCTCTACTGCAGGAGGAGCCATATGACATGCGATGAGGGCCGCCCATGTCAACGGTGGTATGTCCCCTCCCTTCCTCGACCTGACCAGGTCTACCACAGACAAATACCAACCTCTGCTCAGCATCAAGCGTGAAATTGGCCATCTCTGCCACGACGAGCGACGATCAACGCCAAAGGACAAGAATAGCACTACGCCTCAACTGTCGCAACCGCCACAACCACAGGCTACCACTGTATCGAACCCACCAATAGATGTAGCAAGAGCTGTTCCTGGCAAGCATCCCCTCGACTCTATGCTCTGTCAACGGGCCTCATAACCTTATCTCAATACGCACAGTAGCCCAGTTCAATGCACCACCACCACCTGTTCCAGGTCTCAATCCGGCCTGGCCGAGTATGAACATGACTCCACAGAACGCCTTCTTGTATCAGCCAGAGACATTAGGCAACGAGTTCTCGGTGCTTTCGTGCGTCCTTTCTTAGCTCTCGCAATGTTCAATCTCACGTTCGCTTGGACAAGTGATTTCCTAGAGTCACTGGACGAAGGCTCGTTCTTTGACCAGCCGCCCCCTGGGCCTTCGCTCATGGACAACTCGCCCTATGCGAACCCCCTGGCTCTAGCTATGGACAACTCATATCTCACTAACCCTCAGCCAGCAACAGAGCCAGCGCCGCCAGCGCCAGAGAAGCCCCCAGAGGAGCCCGCCCCCGTTGTGCTACCGGCAGCGACAAAGACCGAGCGTTTCTTCCTGACAGCAGCCGATCAGGCCTCAGGCACACGGAATGAACGGTTGAACATGGTCATTCGCAGTAAATACGAGGCCGGGCTCCTCAAGCCGTACAACTACGTGAAGGGCTACGCGCGATTATCGCGATGGATGGACAAGAAGTGCGTCTACCTTCTCACTTTATGTTGGACCCCTCACGCATGCTGCTCGCTTTCTCAGCGTCTCCCCGGAGTCAAAGCAAAAGATTCTCCAGCCGCTGTCCATCCTGAGACCGAAGTTCCGAGTGAGTGACAGACACCCGTCCACCTTGCCCGTCTAACGCCGTGTCCTCTGAAGGCAATCGCCCAATCCGAGTCCCTCACAGACATTGTGCGTGCTTCTAGCCATTCCAACAGCAACTGCCTACTCACTCGGACACAGGACCTGGTGTTTATCGAAGAGGCCTTTGAGCGACTGCTTCTAGACTATGACCGAGTGTTTTCTGCCATGGCGATCCCTGCTTGCCTCTGGCGCCGAACAGGAGAGATATACAAGGCGAACCGCGAATTTGCCGAGCTGGTCGGGGTAGACGGATACATGCTGCGCGACGTGAGTCCCGCCTGCATTTGCCGCATGTTTCAGGAGACCTCATGACCTGGTCCCCCAGGGCCGATTGTGCATTTACGAACTGATGGCAGAGGACTCCGCCGTGAATTACTGGGAGGTGAGTCGCCCACCACGCCCTCTTGGCACGCAAACTCTCGTCTGACGTGCAACGCGCGCAGAAATATGGCGCGGTCGCGTTCGACACGAACCAGAAAGCGGTGCTCACGACCTGCCAGCTGCGCTATAAACCCATGCTCCCGTCTTCAGGCTCCGCAACACCAGCAAACGCCCTCTCGCTCAGCACGTCGAGCAGGACCAGCGACGAGTCGGAGCCGCCCGCCAAGGAGCAAGGCTTCATCGACTGCTGCTTCTCGTTTACTATCCGCAGGGACCCGTACGGCATCCCGACACTGATCGTAGGCAATTTCATCAAGTGTTGAACTAGAGCGTTCTCAACAGTGCACTGAGATCTGAGTGTTGCTGTGTTCCCACTCGTGGATACGCCCATCTGTGTAATAACTCCCCCTGTTGGCTTACGCTTGGAGGCCCTACTGTGAATACCATCTGTGATATTGTAAATACATGACCATCTATGAATTACTGTACAAGTTTAAAGGGAGCAACCAACCCCAAGGGTGTGACATCTAAGCCACCATCCGTGCAATGGCCGGTGCCAAATTACCAAAACCAGTAATTTGAGTTTTTTTTTTGGAGAGTTTTGTTGAATTTACCTTAATTTTGGCCCAGATTTGGTGCAAAGTTGCGTAACAAAACTCAAAATGTGCAGCCTCTAGAGAGACCCATGATGTATGATGTTGCTTCCATTCAAACTTGTACAGTATTTGTTATATACCATACTCCTTGTCATTTATTAACTCATTTCTTGTTACGATTTCTGATTGTAATGAAGAATCGTCCTGTACAGACTGGCACTTTGGAAGCTTTTCAGCACCGTCACGAAACTTGGTCCAATGCGTGGGAGTCTTATTTGTATTGACATTACACTAGTTCATCAAACTTGGGTTAGGGTTCATTTCAAACTTTGAAGTGAAACTTGCTCGATTTTACAGCTTTCCACGCTTTGAGTATTACTCGTATTACTCGTATCGTTAACCAGATGGCCTGAAAGCAAGTAAATGGTTCCTTACTATCTGTTAACCCCTTACATGCCCTGTTCCCAACCTTACCCTTTATATACCTACCCAGCGCTGCATACCTCTGATCAATTCTGTTACTTCCGCTTACCCCACTGTTTCATCACCTGCACCCAAGCTGCCGCAGGTGGCAAGAACCAGATGGTTGCTCACGGAGTCTTAAGAATGCTACCTGAGTGAGCATGTGCCAACCGCGAAAGACGCTAACCTCGAGAACAGCCACTACGAGAACAACTACCACGAGAGTATTTATCACGTAGCGGAGTGAAGCTGTCTCTTGTCAACTTGAAATTTGGTACCTAGATACTTCTAGCATATATCTAGCTACATGTAACCACTAGAAGGTGAAAAATCTGGATGTGCCTGTGTGGCAACACTGTCTTTCATGTGTGCTGGCCAGGCCTGAGTGCAGAAGTAACATCTCGAATGTGGGCACATCTTAATGGTTTCTATATGAGCAGATAGAGCTAGAATAGAGGATTCAGAATATGTATATATGTATGGCATATTAAATGTTTAAAGGAGAGAACTGAGAAGAAGAAAGTAGGCAAATATATGCAAATAAGCACTTATTAAGTGTTCAAGTGCTGTTTGCCTTCTCACTGCTTCTACCTTTCTTAAGCCAATAGTTATGATTCCCATGTCTCTCTACATGTCTCTCAGGATGCTCAGGAGTCTCTGTAAATATTATGGTCAATTTACAATGTACATGTGGCCTATAGTGGCAGGAATGATCTTGTGCAGGACAGTGAACATGTTTGTGCCTATTTTGGTACAATTAACGCTAGTGATTGGAACTGTCAAACATACGCACCTATGTTTTCGCATGCTGCAGATTATATCCGCATTTTAGCGGAATTATTGGGAATTTATTGGAGGAGAGGTGGGCTTGTAAATCTGGCAGGCCTCAGAAACCTCCCCAAACACTTAGTCATAGTGGTTCACATAGTCCCGGCTGCAGATCTGGCAGATCTGCAGCCGGGACTACATGAACCACTATTGCTCATGGGCGCTTAAAGCGTTGGGGGGGCACAGTCTCTATTTGGGTGTGTTTTGATAGACTTGCCAGCTAGGTCCAGTTGCTGCGCTCCGTGGAAGACCATGTGTGTCTTATTGCATCCCATTTAGGCAAGAGATGCAATGTGAGCTTGCAAGCAGACTGGGCAGGCTCGTCGGCAAACTAACAGGGGGCCATCAAGCACCCATCCTTATCTTATCACTGACTTGAGACTTAGAAAAATCACGCTCTCCTTGCTTCCTCCCACCACAACCTCGCCTGTGTCTCCCACCATCCCCTCTTGCGTTACAGGCGGAGATGTATTTTGGGACCCCATACATGGTACCAAACAATGTAAGTTGCTCTCCTTGCCTTCTGCTGCATATTTAGATCACAAATGAGAATTTTGCTTCCAGATCTTAACTTGGGCTCAATTATGGCCAGGGAAACGTGCTGTCATGTTCCGAGGGCATGTAAGCCATGTCAGAATGGATAGGCATTCCTATCTTTATCAGTTGCACTCAGGTGAGCCTATGTTCTTGATCATCTTAAGCTAACCGAGGCTGTTCCTTAGAATAATAGGCAATTTTTGCCTTACTGCACTTGCCTGGAACACCTCATCAGGTATGGAGGTGCCTCAAATAGACTTATGTACCCATATGTTTGTTTTGAACTATGTGAGTATGTTGTTGTAACCATTGATGCACTGATAATCATCATCTGTAGACTTTTATGCATGCATTTTCACTCTTTGTGACCCTTGAACCATTGCATGTTCAATTAAACATTACCAGCTGTCTATAACAACCCTTCATATGTTGATAGAGCCCACTCCGGTAGTTTCTGAGTGCCTATCCCTTGCTCTTTGTTGATATTCTTCTGTTTAGTGCTCTTGACAAGAAAATTGGCCCCCGATGCTTCATGTTCAGTTAGATGCATCCTCTGCATACATTTCCTGTTTCTTTATACTCTGATACAACATATCTACCAATTTGTTTTGTATCATTCTTGTGGAAACTCAATAGACTTCGAATTTTGTGTTTGCCGGAAATCACTGAAGTGCAATTTTTCTAAGTCCCGACTCATTGGTACTCAGCCTGCAGGGCACTTAGCCGACCCCCTTGGTTGGGCAATGAGACGACCCAGCCAGTTTCACAAGAAACCAGCATAGGACAAGCCTAGTGTTTTGAGGCCTCTGAAGCTGTTTTGAGGCTTCTGAGTAGGCTCAGACATCCCTGTGCTGTTTCATACCCCACCCACTGAGAGCATGCTTTGTAGAAGCAGCTGGGATCACTTGTCAGGATTGTAGCAGATGCTCTTAGGCGCTTAATACTTAGCAAAATCACAAAATGCCTTCCTGGACAAAATTAAGTGTCGAACAGTAGACCACCACAATATGGAATAGCTCTTAATGAGTAACTGTTAGATACATACTGTAAGACACATAGTATGAAAACTGAAAAGGGATTCCAAATAACGCTGAGAATACATCACGGAAATTCGTTGTTTGGAGCCCCAGATTGGCACAGTGAGCAATGCAGATGCCCTAGTAACATCATTGTAAGCATAGAAAACCCATCAAAAATGAACCAAATGTTTATTGCACACATGCTGAGCTCAGTCCTCGTCATCTTCATTATAACTGTCGCTGTCGGTGTACTCGGTGTGATTCTCATGAGTATCCATGTTCAGCGCAACGTCGTTCGCATTATTGAGGCTGAACCAACAGTCTCGAATCTTGTTCTCTTCAGCCATATCGTCTGCGCACAGACGTGCTTGTCTTTGGAGTCTGGCACTTCTGCCGCATTCTCTTTGTGACTGTCACTGTCATTGTCATCAAGCATGCTGAACAATATAGATGGCCTGATAACATAATTATAAGTGTATAAAACACACTATAAATGAACTGAAAGCTTACTGCATGTGTACCAAAGTCAGTCATCGCCATTGTTGTTGTCATCAGCAGAGGCGTCCATGTCCGATGCCATGTTACCAGTCATAGAGGCTAAACTGATGTTTCCAGCCCTCATGTTTGTGCACTGCGTCGTCCCTTGTGCAGTCGTTGTCGTCTTTGGAGGCCTGTGCTTCTGCTGCGTCCTCTCCGTGGTGGGTGTCATTGTTGTCTTCGAGCACTTCCTCATCAAATTGAATGTCTGCATTTTCAGCCGCAGCTTGATTATGCATGTCTTGAGTCACTCATATGTGCAATGATTATTGTTGCACCGCGAGCAAATGTCACAAAGACCTGGGGTGGAGTTTGTCAGCTGGGATATACCACTTGCCCACCAGGGGCCTCAAGAAAATGCTCGATTGAAGCTTGTGGATGAACTCATCATGCTCATGGAGAGGTTTCTGTGGGCCTTGAATGCCGTCTGTGATCGTGTTTGGGACCTCGCCATCTTGCGGGATCTCAGCCGCACAGAAGAGCTGCCTATACAGGGATGCATTAACATGACCATGGGATGGAGTCTGTGCAAATCACTTCTTGGGCATGAGACGCAGAAGTACATGGGTGCACGTAGTGCTTGGGTTCGGCGAAGCATTATGAAGATTGTGCTCACACACAGTCTTCACATTAAAGGTCTTTGCAGTGACGCAAGGCACTGGTTGTCTATTAACAGTCAGCCATCAATGTCTGAGAGATACTACCATCACAACGCACTTTTTGGATGTACTCCGAAGATCCCCACATAAAATTGAAAATGGCCAACAGGCTTATTGGGGGTACTAAGCAAACAACATGCAACAACTGATGAGCCATTCTGGTCAATGTTAGTGAGCACACACTATCAAAAAACTGCTTTTTACACACCATACTCTTTCCGTGGGTCGAAATTTTATTGACCTAACACGATACCCTGCATGTCCATGGACAGTGGGAGCTTTGAGAGCTCAAGATCTACCAGAGACATCATCGCAAAAACATGTAAGTTCTAAGCACTGAAGGGCACCTGCCAAAAACCTGACAAGCCCTCCCAGTCGGTATGACAAGTCACTCAGTTTTGACAACCACACCAGACTCTGCCAATTAGATCAAAACCTTACCTCCCTTTCCAAAATGTCCCACGCACCTGCGGATTTATTGGTGAAACCAGGACTCGTCATACCAGTGTTGTAAAGAAAAGGTTAGGATTAGAAAAGTAAGTAAAATAAAATGAGGCTTGGTATAAAGAAGATTCTAGGAGAATCCTAGGAGGTTACTTCTTGATAAAAGGGAATGGAGTTTGGTCTGAAGTTCTAAACTAAAAGCAAGAAGGGTATAGTGTGGAATACTTAGATTTGGTTTTCCCAATCTTTTCTTTCCAGGGTTCACTGGGTTAGCCTTTCAACCAAGCTATCCTGGTGTTCGTGGGGGACTAATTTGAAGACCACCTACTAATCTGCTTGAGTACTCTAAAGCCTCACTTGCCTGTTTACAAGGAACTTTAAAGGAATCTTAGAAGATGGGCTGTAAGAAGGTTTGGTTAGTAGCTTAAGAACTAGCTACTTGAGTTAGTAGAATAGGGTTTTTAGATAAGTAAGATAAGAGGGTAACAAAGACAAGTTAATGTCTTGGTTTAACTTAGTAAGCTTTGACTAGTAAGGACAATTCAATGTCCTTAGAGGATTTGTATAACTTGAAGCAATCTGAAGCTTCCAATTTGGAGTTGAAGATCAAGAATAGATTTAATCTCTTTACTGCTAGTCTAATTACTGTAAGCTCTACAGGAGACCTACCACAGTTTCTAATGATGCCACTAGCTCATGCAGTCTATATTAGTCAAATAGTGAACTCGTGCACCATACCAAGGGCGTTTCCCTTCAGGTTATTTGAAAGTCAGAGGCTCTACTGTGCTCAAGGAATTTCCTAGGCTTTAAAGAAAGGAGTCTATTCTCTAAGAGCTAAAGAGCTCAGAGGATTAACTGCAGGTTTGCTGCTAGCTAAATCCTTGAGAGTGTGTGTGGTGCTTGATGGGTTTGTGTTCTTTTTGCTCTCAGAGAACCTCTCCTATTTATACCTTTCAGCCTGTTGTTTCTTAGCCAATAGCAAAACTGGCTCTTCTATTCTACTGTAATTACTAAGCTACTTCTACTTTTATTAATAAGCATTTGTCTGTATTAGTCAGCTTTCTGTCTGTTTTACTAATGTATTGGTAAGCTATCGCTAATGTTTGTTAGAGTATTACTATATTTTGATAATTCATAGCTGTTGAGCATAGACCTTTATTACTAAGCATAGTTTAGATTACTAAGAAGCTGAGTCATATTATTAGTCATTGATTCACTTTTAGTAAGCTTGAGTGTTTATGCTTGCTTTGCAGCTCTGAGTAAGCAGTCTCTTTTTGGTTTGAATACCCAGCTTATTCCTTTAGTTTTCCTATACTTATAGTTATGGCGCATGACACCGGCTGGTTCGAGTCTAGCTTCTGAGACCTGTTTTACATGTTTTTGACTGGTTTCAGAAAGTGTTGGCATCAAATACATTGTGTGCACACCTCTTTATACCATATATGGGTGATGTACATAAAGACCCTCGTATATAGGGGCCTCTTTTGGGGTGGATGGCATGGTAAAGGTTTGGATGTACCTCTCAAAAGCAAACATGGTGCCAGGACTGCAAGCCTGTCACTCTTCCAATAAATTTCGGATAAATCTGCTAAAATGCGCATATAATCCGCAACATGCGAAAGCACCATTTGATGCGTCCGGATATTCCCAATATCAGCGCTTATTGCGCCTAAATGAGCACAAATATACTTGCTAGTGTTTGCAAGGTTAGCCCAGCTACTACACACTATCCACCCATTGTAAATTCATCAAAATATTCATGGACACTCCTGACCATATTTGTGACTATGTAAAAATATAATCAACATCTTATTAACCACCTCTAATAGTAAAATCTACACTTCTTTGCTGTAATTGCAGAGACAGGTGTCACTGACTCAGTTCCTTCTGTCTTCTACATTCTATAGTTTCCACACATTCCAGTGTATACATATGCCCATATATAGCTTTAATATATGTTTCACAGTAGGTTGCCTGCTATAAACCATAATATTATGTTATTTTTTCTGTGTTCTGTTTTTTTACACTTGTAAGGTAGTTGAAAGCCTTTCAAGAGCTACTACAGCTTTTAGAGCATTATGCACATATACTACACAGTATTAAAAGCATATTTCAGAGTTTGAGGGGTCTATAACATGTAGAAATGTTCTGCATTATGGCAAACTTCTGTCTCAGCTTATCATGAATCAACTCTTGTTCCCATCTATCTTCACTTAGTTTTACTTATTTTCACTCTTTTACCTCTGTCTCTACATCTCTCCTATTCTTATCACTTTCCTTTATCTTCACTTCTCAACCCCTGTACTGATTTAGTCAGCACTAGATTTAGTTCAGATATACCCCCAACATGAATCAGACTTTGTCAAACTTATGACAGGCCTTGTTGGGCTTTATTAGGCTTTGACTCAACTCTTATGTAGAACCTTGAAGTAGGTTAGAGTGTGCTTAGGTAATACTGTGTAGCATCTATTTTATAAGATATATAAGGCTGCAGACTTTCTGGAATAAGATCTCCAGTCTTAAGCTGGTCTTTATCTTAACCATCACTCTTAACTGCCTTGCTCTTCAAAAGCTCAGCTTCTCCCACTCCAAGTCTCTTGCTGTTGAGCCCTAGCTCCATTCTATATTTATCTTTGCCTACTTCTTGTAGTTATCTATCTTAGCCTCTAGCAGAGCTGTCCTAGCCATAGTTAGTGTTGAAGTGTAGATGAAGACAATAAAGACAATAGCAATGATGAATATAAGCCTGATGCAGATTGTAACACTGCTGATGATGTTAACATTAAAGACATCCTTAGGGATATTGACAAGAATCTTGAAGAGATTATTAAGAAAATTGAGTCAGCACATACACTTACTGCACAAAAGGAGAAGATAGAGTGAGACACCATTAGTAAGACATATTGACTGCATACAACTGCATGTCTGATGCAGCTAATTATTATTTTATAGCTAACTGATCTTGTGAAGTGTATCCTCCACTTGCCAATGCTTTGTGAAAAACTAGAGTCACTAGACCAAGCTTGCAAGATCACCAAAATTGAGGCAAAACAAATAGCTTAGTCTGTGATGACTCATTGGAACTTTTTTGCACTTGTGATTGAATGAGCAATATATCTACACAGAGCTCTCAATCACCTCTTTGCTTTAGAGAAGTATAACAAGAATAGACTACAGGGTCTTTATTGATACAAATTTGTACACACTGGCTGAAAGATTTTTAAACAGCTATGGCCACTGCTTTAAGTGCTGACCAATATCTATAACAAGTCCTGTGACTGACTCTACTATTGTAGTTCTTTCTACATGTAACTGACTGCCTATTGAAGTCTGGCATCTCACTCCTTCATAAGATCATTCGTCTCACTAATGCACTAACTACACATCTTGAGACTGCTGCTGCTAACCATAAGCTTCTGCTTATTATTTGCATAGCTGCTGCTCATAGCCTCTATATGCTGAATAAATATTATAGTTACATGGACAAGTTATTAATATACTACACAGCTATGAGTAAGCCTCTCATTCTTTCATACATAAGTAATCATGCTAACTGGTAGTTGCTATTTAGTTCTCCATCTGCAGTATAAGCTCAAGTAGTTCTATAAGAATGAATGGCCATCAGCATGAGTTATTGCCTCAGTGCCTCACAGGTCAAGTATCTAGTTGTTCAAATGCAGGTTAAGTTATAAGTACTTACAGGTTAGGTCAACTTGTACAGTGCTTTAGACTGTATCATGCATCAAATTAGGTCGATGTATAATATTGACAAATAGAGACAATATTGGGCAGACAGTAAAGCATGAATGGCCCAGGCAGTGGCCATATGCCATGGGAGAGATCCAGACCTGCAAACAGGAGCTTTTGTTTGAAAAGAGATGAAAAGAGAAGAACTTGGCATTTGAACCTCTAAGTATCTGGAGCATTGAGAAGAATAGGCTGAAACTTTTGGAACAAGCCAGAACTTGGGCCAGAACAGATAGGAGCTAGTTAGAAAAGCTTGGTATTTGTTAGAAATTTGTTAGAACTCAGCTAGAAACTTGGGCAGGAAGTAGCTTAGAAACAAAAGCTCTCATGAGGGTTTCCCAGATGTATATAAACCCTCCACTCATGTACCTAGTATTTCAGCCCCATATAAAGCAGTATTTTCTCTGCACAGTGGTTAGCTCCCTTTAAATTTCAATTACCTGCATAAGTGAAGCTTGGTTCAGAGGTCTTTGTGTGTTTATTCTAGGTACCTGCTGTTGAGCCTTAGCTTCAGCTCAGTTTCTCTGTTCTCAAGCAAAGCCAGTCCCTGGATATCTCTTAGTCCACCTGGTATTTGTGTCACCTGCGTAGTAGTGAGTTTACTCAGTTAGTCAGGCAAGACCTTGAGTCCATCTAGCAACTTGGTGCTGAAGTGTGGTATACAGGCATTTTCTTATATGCTCTGAGTCCACTTAGCAACTCAGTGCTGAAGCATGGCATATGAGCTTTCATTTTACGTTACGTTATGTCTATGTTTATTGTTTTACATTAGTTTCACTCAGTTGATAGCACACAGCTGTCATTTAGTAGTCTTTGTCAGTATCATATATCTGCTTGTAGTTTATCTTCAAGTAGATTTATTATGAAGCACTTTCAATCTCTGCTCACAAGCATATTCTTGCTTACAACCTACACCCTTCCTTTTAAATGTTCAGAACAGAATTTAACCTAACATCTGGTCCATTGAACTTAGTTAGAAGGCAAGCTTAGTCTATTTTTCACTAAATCTTACTTTCTTCTCACATGATAACAGCTAGCCAGGCTTTTGAGCCAGATATAGGTTTAGTTTGAGGCTTTAAGCTAGGCTTTTTTTGAGTAGACCTGTTAGACTTGTAAACTCTGAGTTTGTTCTACATGTTGCTATATTAAATGTAAAGTTAGCTTTTGTTGCTATCAGATACCAGTATTGTAATAATGCTAATAGTGCTTTTATAAGTAGAAAATTCATGCTAGAGTAATGCAAATGGCAGAGAAGTGTTGAATAACATAGCAAGAAATGAAGAAATTGTATCTGCTGAGCACTTGTACTATGGCCCACATCATCCTAGTAGGAGACAAGAGCTCTCCTGACATACATTGACTCTATTTGATTCCCCCTTGCAATGGGCTCCAAATGACGTGATTGAGTGCAGGTAAGTTGGAGTACTTTCAAGGGCAGAAAGGCTTAGACAAGCTAAGAAGCTTGACTGGCCTTGCTCTCAAAAGAGACTGCACTCCCAAGTGAGGTGGACTGGACTTTTGGTCAACTTCTGCCTTGGTTGTTCAGGGAGAAAATAGCAGACAAGCTAGGATGCCTTGAGAAGAATAAAGAGTCTCCTAAAGAGGATTTCACTGGAAAGCAACTAAGCTTTACAGTACAAGAGGGAACAAAGAAGCTGAGAGACACAGGAAAGCTCTACAGCATCGAGGGGAACACTGGCTGACTGACAACTAACCAAGGACAGGAGGGTAAAGTAGCAGCTAAGCTCTGCACACCAAAGATACTGGCTATCTGACTAACTGATTGACTTTGGGAGAAGCAGCAACTAAGCTCTTTAGATGGAGGATACCAGCTGACTGACTAAACAAAAGAGACTAGGCTATCACATGACACAGCAGGTGACTAGGCTAGGTTCATGTAGGACATACAAAGGCTGAGTGTAAGGCGCGCGACATAGCGCCCATTTACCGTAGACACCTTCCTTTTTTGTAACTTGGTGCTCTTGTCGATCGAAAACACGTCCTCCTTATGCTCGCTCATGTATTTGTTATTGGGTAGCATTCCAGCCTGATATAAGGTTGGGATGCCCCTTGGTTTCAGCCCCAGACTTTACTTTTACCCCACTGTTGTAGCTACTCTTTGCAAATACAATGCGGTCTGGCTCTTGCAGGGTGATTTCTAAGTCTACAACTTTACAGATCTTACACTGAGACACTTCAGACACACAGCACAGAAACTGACACTAAGGTACATCCAGTACACATATGGTTACATCATATGATCTGTGATGGGAGTGTAACGGCCATGTGCACTAACATGATTTGGCTGTGAAAATGAGGGTGAATGTGTACAGCAGCAGAGGGAAGTACCAAGAATGCAATTTAATATTGTGTTAATGGCAGAGTAGAATAGCAGCAAAGCTAGATACCCGTGGAGTGAGCTTTCACACACAGATCTCCGGCACTGCTCGATGGGACTTAAGCTTGCAGTAAGATTTAAGCATAACAGTCACTTTTGAGGCTCTCTTTCATATAAATATCTATGCTGTATGAGTCCTGTCTGACTTCTAACCCATTGCCAGCATTGGTGTAGCAAGAAATGATGCAGTGACTGTTCAAGGAGATGTCCAGCATTATGTAAGCACCAGATCTGCAATGTCATTTCATTGTCTTCTCTGCCCATGGTCTGCTTTCAAAAAATGTGAGACTGTCAAAAGTTAGCCAGAAGTTTTCTCTACAGACTGACAGTTGCAGAAATTGGGGTATGAGGGCATAGCCAAAGATAATAGACATTAAAGTGTTTTCCTCTGCCAGACTGGTTCAAAGTGTGACAGGCGCAGGTCATGTGATGTAACCATATGCGTTCTGGGCATACCTTAAAAGTGAGCAGATCATGATACTAGACCAACACTAGATACAAAAAGCTGGAGTTTTACTCTACATAAGAGGGGCTTTATATACCTGTCCACAAGGTGGCAGGGGCCCATATTCTACACTATTCTACAAAGTTCCATAGTTCTGAGGCAAGCAGTTTTTATCCTAATTTGTCCTGTCCATTCTTGCAGTTTGTCCTTTCAAGTTTCAGTACCTTCTGTCATGTTTTATCTAAGTTCTACCCTGATCTGGCCATATTCCAGTTCTTTCCATCACTTTCTGCCTAGTTCCCTAAACTTCTGGAGGCTTTCCTAGCTTGGCCACTCTGTTGCTTTGCTAAAATGAGTGAATCAGGCTCTTATTTGTCTGCATCTTGTGTCAACCCAATTTGACGCATGACACCATGTTCAGCCACAACAAGTACCCACTCACTTGACCTGCAGATATGAGTAACTCACAGATTTAAGCCTGTCCAAGTAGCAGTTGATGCTGTGGTGTGGCAGGTACCTAGACTGATGGGATGGATTGACCTGTGGGTCAACTCATGCAGATCGTTAAATTTACTGTTACTGTAGTGTAAAGCTCTGCATGAGTCAGAACTACTTGCAGGTACTCATTGAATGACCCGGCAAAGCACCCGCAGGTCTATCGACTCACAGGTCAGGTTGTGTTTCCCACGGATTAATGGCAGATCCCAGTCATAGCCTTTGATAGTACATTCTACCTGTGGGTTTGACCCACCACAAACCTGTGCATTCAGAGCATTGTATATTCAATAGTAAACATGTACAAAACTCTATGACAGCTCCTCTACATCAGAATCATCACAATAGACATTGGCTGTAGATGTCTTCTTTGATTGCTTACTCTTATTGCGCAGCACCTCAACTATTGAAGCCTTGGGCACCATATTGGAGAACAACGCCCATGAGCCAAAGACTGTGGATGCACGGACAGACTCATCAGAGAGTGCATGGCGCTGCTTTGACACTGTAAGACCACTCTGGGAAAATGCCCGTTCAACATCGACAAATGATGCAGGGGCCGACAAGAAGTCTAGCCCCATCCTTGCAAGTGGATCACCCCCAGTAAGTTGGCTTTGCCAGTACATGATGGGATCTCCAACCTTCGGCAGTGGGGGTGACGATAGATATGCTTCGAGGGCATCAGAAGGCTCAGATGTGCTGAAGTTGTCGATCTCTGCAAAAAGATCCTTGTTTGGTGCCGGCTCAGATGCCTGAAGCATGCAATGTGTTAGCACAACGTCGGTTGAAATGTAACAGGTGAATCACTGGAGACATAGATGCTGCAACATTAGAGGTATCGGGCTTGTAGTATTCCTCCCAGTGTTTGCAAAGGATACCCTTAGCTTTTGTGATCCATGAAGCAGGCCAATCGTTGCGTGCAAAATATTCGAGCTTGTATCAGGGATGTAACACTGCCAGCTTTTTCAGTAGTGAGCACAGAAGCCTACAAGTAACAAGGAGCAGCACTTACCCATTGCCATGCAATACATGGAAGACTTGTCTGTAGATGCGTAGTACTTGTGAAGCATCTCTTGGCCCTGGAATGCAGCAACACAAATAGGGATGAACAGCTTGGCATTGTCCACAGCATTCTCAAAACGAGTAATGAGTGCATCGATGAATGGTATCACTTGATGAAGAAGTGCAACCTTTGACTTTGAAATGCGCTCAGTAGCGCGAAGAAAGAACTAATTCCATGTGTTAATAGTCAATTGCACACCGCGCAGGATAGTGGCATATCTGAAGTAGAGGCCATAGCTGCTCTAGCAGCCGCCACTCCTTTTTGTTCAGCTTGAAGCGCTGCAGGCTGCTCGGTCCCTTCTTATCATACTTCTTCAATGAAAGAAGCTTATCAATAGCAGCATGGAGGTGGAGAGCACGCTTAATTGCCGCTGCCATAAAATTCCACCGAGTGTCGACTGAGCAGACCATCTCCTTAGGCTCAATCTTGACACTCTCGCAACACTGCGCGAGATCTTCCCGGAGTGTCAGAGAGTGAAAGATTCGCTTCACAAGACCTGTAAGCTGTATAACAGATGTAGGTTAGAGTAGCTCGACCATTGTGTGTGCACCTTGTACGTACCTTGGACACAGTGTTGCGGCCAAACTGCTGTTCATCAGTGGCTAGTGCAAGCTTCTCCTCGACCTCCTTGATGATCTCCTCAATGTCACAATCATCTGTGGCCTCACGGTCAGCATTGAGCTTCTCATCATCGTTGCTGGCGAGGCCATCCGTATCACCGTCAGTATCATGGCCAAGTTCTACCATTTCTGCATTCTCGCCCTCATCCTCATCATCAGATAGGTGGCTGTCTATAGCGTCGTCATTGGCTACAGTGTTGTCCTCAGGTTGGCCGCTCTTCGCAGCCAACTTCTTCTTCTTCTTGACAAACAGCGATAACATAGCCTATATTGGAGTTGTGAGTGTAGCATAAAGCTGATAGCATAGGTGCATACCTTTACGACAAGGTTCCATACATGTGCGAAGCACCGTATGCGTGTCTGGTGGCTATTTGCACCACCAAGAGACTTGAGCTCAATGACGGCCGTGTCGTTGTTTGACATGTTGTCCGCAGTGATAGCAAGAATCTACAACCATCATTTGAGATCAATTGCGTCAAAGAAGTGAGGTAGATTTACCTTTTTCTCTATTCTGAACTCCTTGAGGCATGCAGTCAGTTGCTTTGCAAGGTATACACCTGTGTGAGCTTGCGTCAATCTAGCAGATAGAAGTTAGCACGGTGATACACAATACAAGACTGTACATACTTTATGAAGTCAAGTATATGAGAAACAATCTTTCCTTCGATGACATATTGAACGACAACTCTGAGGAACAAAATAACATTTGGAGACGTCCATCCGTCCATGCAAAGACTAAACCGTCCTTTGTACATCTACCAAAGCGATATAAGTGTAAGTCAACTGGCAAACAATGTGACGTACCTTAAATGTCCGTGCAAGGTTCTCTTTTGTGAGCTGGTATATCTCTCGTACATCGCAGGATAGTTTAGTTGGGTGAGGCACTTCTATACGTGCATAGAGCATACGGAATGCCTCCAGAAGCTCGTCATTCTTGATGATAACATACGGCCGTTTGCGTCTAGTGACCCATTTTGCCAAGATATAGTGAAACCGAGACTTATTGTATGTCGATCCATGGGCAAAATTCTTGATTTGCTGGCCCTTAGATGCGAGCTTTGCAATGCATAATGCAATGTGCCGGTTCAGGTTGCTGGTCGAGTCGTCTTTACAATCCTGTTCACAGTCCTGGTCTCTATTGAAACCAACCCAGTCAGCGATAGCCAAGCAATACAGTAAACAGATAACATACAGATGGTTTTTGCACACAAACTTATACTTGATGACACCGCCAGCATATCTGACAATAGTCGGTGGATGAAAGAGGTCATACGCCTCTGGCTTCCAGGTCTTCTTCTGTTCCTCAAGGACTTCCTCTGATGTGTGTTCATTTGTCTTCCAGCGCTCATCGTATGTCAGTTTGCCTTTCCTTTTCTTCCTCTTGCTTGCACCTGATGCATCAGGTGCAGGAACTTTGACAACCTCCGGGTCCACACTGGATGAATGAGCCGAGGGAGCACCATCTTCTGCTGGTGCAGAAGAGCCTCTGCACTCTAAACTACCCTCTCATATGTGCCTCGCGCCTCGCGTCATGTGTTGCTCAAGCTTGGGGCGTAGACAGAGGATAGAGGAGAAGTGAAAGAGTGAGGAAGGCGTGCTGGGAGCGAGGGGTCGTGCTGAGAGTGAGGGGCGTGCTGAAAGTGAGAGATGGATTGCCCTGGCATCAAGACAATGCCATGGCGCAATTCTAGTGCCAACATTAGCCACATCCAGCAAATTTAGGAGGCTGCACAACTCACTGGCCAACTGGATTTGCTTCCGCTGGTGGGGATTGTGCATGCCGCCAGAGCACCGACACCCAGGCCAGGAACAAGACACCTCACGGCTGTTGCAGAGCGGATTTTACAGCAGCCAGTTTGAAAGAGTGCGGCTTGAGCAGCAAAGCATAAGCAAGGGCAAGGAGAGTGGCATGAAGACTGGGGACAACATGGAACATTGAACGCGCAGGTAAGTAGGATATCTTTCACCGTGTGCTGGGGACATTGAAATGGAGCTTGAAACCCAGCGCTCAAGCTCACTTCAGTCCTCTGACCCACTTCAATATTTCCTCGCTGTCTCGAACATTGCTTAAAGCATGCGCCATGCCCCTTATTGACTCTCGGAAATCATTTGCTAGTTCAGTGGGCCTTTAAATTTTGGCCGACGGTCTCATCTTGCTGACTTTTCTTCCAGCATCGCCTTCCTCCAACCTTGTCGTCCTGCCCTCTGCTTGCCACCGATGTCAAACCAGGACTCTGGGCCTCTGAAGCCGGCTCAATTGCCCAGCCAAGACTTCAGCCAGAGAGACTGGCATGTGCATGATACCTGGTGCAGCCCGCATGACAGCTCTGTTCTGGAGGTTGACGCTGTAGAATCTGGGGCTCCTGGAGCACACAGAAACATTGAACCTGTGAGTACATGCAATAGTCTCTTGTTGTATAGAGTACTAATGCATATCCACATAGCTCCATATTTCTCGCATCAAATACAAACTAATAGGTCAAAGAGCACTTACAAGATGGAAGAACATCCTATCCGCCGCACTTGAAGATGCTGTTGCTCGTAGTGCTGTCTCTGAACCTGGTGCTCAGCAGTTTGCTGAACTTCTTATGGACAGGCTCAGTAGACTTTCAACAGCATCTACATCTACTGGAGCAGCTAATGGGACTATTGGGGAGTCGAGCCAGAACATGATGAGCAGTGTCATCTTCACTGCTATATTTGTGACTCTACAAAGGCAACGACTTATTGGTTGAGTAGAATGCCGTGACAGAGCCACTGGGCCAAGCTGATGAGTGGATCCAAGCTGCGGAGGAGTGTGAGTACTTGGATATGCCAGAGCTATCGTCTGACTTGGAGGGACTGGATTCAGATGAGGATGAAATTGTCGAGCTGTAGTTACATATGTATCTGCTCTACGAGTCTATGTACAGCTGTCAGCCTGTTGTGGCAGTCTCAATGATATCTGAAGTATGGTTCTGCTAAAAAATGCGTGGGAATTTACCTAATAATCATGGCAGGTACCTGCCTGTATGACTCATGAGTTTTTTCTACCCACGGGTTGTGACCTGCATGAGTCTGGGTCATGATTTGAAGTGACAGGTACCTTGTGCAACAGGTACGAGTTGACCTGCAGGTTAACTTGTGCAGAGCTTTACTGTAGTGTTAGTGGCTGCTGCAACTGCATAGCATACAAAAGAACATATAGTATTATCTTAGAGATTCATCTTTGATTACTTGTAGATTCCCCACCTGTGCAATTTCTTCACAACAAGAAGAGTGAAGAGAAGAGAGAGGTGAGGTGTATGCAACTGGCACTTTGATTTCAACTGGCTGCACTTTGTACCATTAGCCGCCTTCTCATTGGCCAAGCCCAGCACTCGGCCAACCGTGTATTCTGGGCTCAACAGCATTGTTGTAGCATAATATGAGGTCTCAAATATGTCAATAGTATTCATTTCTATATAAATGTACAGTTTTATTAAGATCGGTCAAGGGGGCTCGAGCTATGCATGCATTACTGCACTGAAACAGCTAGGATGCCTAAATTTGGTAGCGCGCCAGGCCTTCCCCTCTCATTGACAACCATTCTTTCCACCCCATCTCCATCTCCACCCTGTACAGCTGCCTCCATCATCAACATTTGGGTATGTACTACTCAGTAACTACTGCCTCCCAACTTTTTGCAGTCTAATTCCGCTTCTAAGGTTCTCTGGGCACAGCTAGAATAGCAAGGTCACAGCTTGGGTGGTTCTGGAGATGTCTAAGGAAAAGGACATCACTACTTGCAACAAAGGGTTGAGGGTGCAGGGAACACATAGTATGGCTTCTGTATATGTCATAATTTGCTTCTCTTGCGCTCTCTTAATTTTATCATTTTATTGTTGCATGCCAAAGGCACATCTCTGCTGACCTGCTATTTTCATGCCTGCATAGGACTTTGTGCCATAGAAACAGAACAAACAACTTTGCCAACATGTATTTACACCCAGAACCCACCCCTACCTATATCTAATGTAATGCATACATTTCATTCCTAATCTACGCTGTGCAACGACTATGGAAGGCCGGATGGCGACCTGTATGCTCTCTCGGCGGCTCGGCCAAAGTTAAGCGCCCTGCTTGAGCGCCTGGCCGGCCGAGATCTATGCCAAGCGCTGTTTCTGCAATCTTTTCACCAAAATATTCATAGCATCTATAGCAGCAATGGAAAAAAAATTACTGCTTGGTAGAATTATATTTTATATTTATTCTAGTGGATCTGAGGTGTAGCGATTTCCTTATCTTCACGCATATACGAGTATGGAGCAAAATGCCGTAGCTGGGCCGACTTCGGGGCACGTGACAGTATCCCCGCGGCTTTTTCGAAGTCCGCCGCGATCCCGCTCGGCTTTCCCCGAGTGTTGGTAGGAACGGGCTGGCTTGCAAGACTAACTCTTGTCCACCGACGTCGCACACGGTATTTGTATTCGCGTCAAGAATGGCAGCCTTTATCGAACGAGGTGTACCCCTTCCTTCGACTACCGATGCTCCTTTGGGATCTCTTGTTTATATAGCATACAACAAGTGCATTCTATTCGAGTCCCAAGTGGTCGACATGGAGCTTGCTCGCCCTAGGCTACTTGGATATCTACTGCGCGAGGCCCCTTCCATATCCGGTCAGGAGGCACTTGCAAGAGAGATAAACTCATGCACGAATAATGCGGAGCTTAAGCAGCTCGCTGATCTGTACATGGGTCATCTCATTCGAGTTTGTGAGTTGACGCTATTCGTCGCTATGCATATTTGAACCTTCCCCTTCCTAGTCAGAGGCTCGAAGGGTCGCACTCCAACTCCTTCCGAACATCCTTCCAGACCGTCCTTCGGAGCGCTACAGCAGAAAAAGGTCGCACTAGCCGCGGAAGCCCCTCTAAACCACCATACGGCGAAGATCAGGGCGAGTTGAATGATCGACTAGTAAACTCAGTAGTCCACAGCTGACTGCAGTTTATCTAATTGTAGGCACTGAATAGAGACGACTATAAATGCATGCTTACCGGCTATCCCGATTACCACTTTTTGGACCCGTCGGTTACGCCCCAGTTCGAGTCGGACACACATCTCTCTCATATCATCCCACGGTCCCTCAACCAAGGTATCTCTTCAACTAGAACAAAAGCTCGTAGTTCAGCTGTTGTGCGGGTGTGGTTTGATTGGCTGACCGGAAATTTCAGCTAGAGTACTCAGCCACAGTTTGGACCATACTGGAACGCTACGCCAATATCAGCTTTACAGAACTGAATGGGCCTGGTCTGCATCGTCTGGAGAATGTTTTAACCCTCGACTCCAGGTTACACAACAAGTTCGATGAGCTAAACTTGTGGTTAGAGGCTGTAGTATGTTACAATTCTGAGGCGTCTCCCTCTTACTCACTTGTGCGCAGCCCGACAGCGAACATGCCTACTCTGTCAGATGCTACCCGGTGGGAGACCCGCGTATCCAGAATCCGGTGCGGTTTACAACGCCAGACACGCAGGAATACCCTTTTCCGGATCCTCGCTACCTCAAGCTTCATGCAGCTTGTGCTCGGGTTTACCACCTGTCAGGAGCCGCGGAGTACATCGAGAGCTTCCAGAGAGAGATAGAAGATACCATGGTCCTTGCAGACAACGGGTCTTCTGCAGAGATGCTGGCTTTCGCTTTGCAGCCATACGAGGACGTTACAGTTCACTGAAGTATGTTTATTCTCCTTGTACTTTTCTCTCGCTGTTTGTACGTTAATTACACGGGGCGGACGCAGGCATGGGAATCTAGCGGCTGCATTGAGATACCCCTTGTAGGCTATATGACAACGTCCCGTTTGACTAAAAATCGAGAGTACTTGCTTGTTGTCAAGCTTTTCGCCCACCATTTCTGTGAATGTGAGAGTATAACAAGGACAAATTCGGAGCCATCGTTCACGATCACAAAGAGCCGAATTGCTGAAGTAGCGCAATAGTTTTCATTGTCATGGCTGAAAACAATCTTCATAGTTGGTATAGATCACCGCGTTGAATGCATGCACCTCACGTAACGATCCCAGCCCCTGCCATCGCACATCAGCAACATGTAACTATGCTAACGAGCAGCAGCAGCACTCACATCGATCAGCTCGTTCGGGTTCGCCTCCAGCGCGACGCGGCTCCACCGTGCGAGGGGCGGGAGCATATTCGCGAGGCGGACGCGCGGCTCCTGACCGAGCGCCGCGTTCGGATCTTCCCATGCGGCACCCTGCGCGTCAGGATTCCCGAATACGTTGGATTCAACGCCGGTAAGAAGGACGTCCGTAGCCTTGTCGAGACATGTCGCGAGCACGCGCGCAAACGAGCCCGAGGCAATGTGCATACGCGTTTCAGCGAGGAGCGCGTCGAAAGTGCTGTCGGGCATGAGTGCGGACCGGACGTGGATCCCGCCCTGGATGAGTGCGTGCCGTAGCATCTCGTCTGTTGGTGGCAGGAGCGTCGAGGAGAAGCTACAACTGAATTTTAGTTCTGGAGCAGGGCAAAAGGGGTGGAAAGCGTACTTCGTTTGCCGCTCTGTGCCCTCGAAAGTAATCTCGAACTCTACTCTTCGCCGAACGTCGCGCATTAGACGATGGAGCTCGCTCGCAGATAGCTTCTGCTTCAGACCAACGCTACGCCAGGATCAATACGCATGCTGGCGGAAGTGATCGTGAAGACATACTCTTCGAATGCCTCTTCTACTGCCCTCCGCACGCGCTCACCAACATCCTTCCATCCCACGTGCAATAACCACCAACTAAGGGTAAGGAACTTCCTTTCCTGCTCTTCTTGTACAGGTGAAAGGTGGCGGATATCCTCCTCCTTGTAGACATCATCTTCTTTCAAGCCACAGACGAGGTTGAGTAGCGAGGACGCATCTTTAGCTGCATCTCGTCGTTTCTCGTCATGTGCCATTTTTATCACGTGGAGAGTGTATTTTCTACGCCCTAAGATGTTCAGTTGAATGTGGACAAGCATAGACAGCAATGTCATAGAGTATAGGGTAGTTAATGTCCGTGTAAGGGCTAGGGCGTACTGTGAGCGGTTGTATGCGCGTAATCAGTCGAAAAAACATACTCAGCATCTTGACTTCTTTCCACAGTTCCGCTTTGCTCCTCGTGAACGTTTGTGGCGCGGGCTTTTCTTCATGGGTGATCTGGAAAAATAGGCGTAAGACGCGGACACTCTCTAACTGATGATGAACGTACCGCAATATCACCGTAGCTCACTGAGCTATTGCTTATAAACGATTCTGATAGGTCTGTTCCTATATTCGACGACTCTGGGGAAGAGTTGCGTTGATATTCATGTGCGCTGGTGGAAGTCGAGGGCTCATGCGGCTGCGATGCCTGACCAGTCGACATGTTGTCCACCCAACTGGCTCCAAGCTCCGAGGTTGCTGTTACATCGCCCTGGCCAGACGAGATGACCGACACCGAGCCGCTCTCTGAACGGGCGTCGGTTGGAGATGTGCTCGAGGTGGACGGCTCGGGGGACGCTTCTTGCTCTGTTGGAGCAGCCTCTTCAGCAGCCTTCTTCAACTTGACCATCTCTTGAAGCTCTGAGGTTATTGCTTCGACATCCATGCCATCCAGGATCTGCTCGTTCAGCGTAGGCAGCAGTTTCATAATCGTGAAGTTGATGTCAGACTCATTCCGAATAAACCTCCGGTGAATGCTAGGCACACTATGAGCCTTACTCACGAAGATATTTGATTGTACGTGACGCACCTATCTTCAGCAAACTTCTGTATCAGCTGTACATCTCGGAGCTCCTTGATTCGGCCTGCTATGTGCTTCCAGGCGAGGTAAGCCCCTCCCACGACGTACGCATTGCGTTGTATACTATCCTTGCGCTCCCGAAAGTAGGTTGTTACGGATGTAAGCATGTCGGGGAGAGAGAACAAGAAGACATGTCTTCATGACAGGACGAGGACAACCCAGGCGGTACCAAACACGTGCAAGCCAGCAATTGACGCTCCCCGTTTCGCTTTCCTCCTCCATCACCTTCGAGCACGCACTAAATATGGTTTGTCTCGGTCTGCCTCTTTTTTCGTCGCGCATACTGAGGGCAGCGTAATCCACAGGGTGGAGGCTCAAGATATCCGTACCCCAAGCATGTGTGGTCCCCAGCGGGTGCGCACGCTTTCTTCCGAGTCGCACCGGCCGCGGGTTGCTGAACGCTTTGACCCGCAGGTGGCTGGTGGACGCGACCGTCGAACTGGAAGTCTAACACAACCATTGTGTTCGGGATGATATTTGCTATCACGTACGGTGTTTGGCGAGTCAGTGCGGACAAGGAGGTGCGTGGCCAAGTGATGTAGAACTGCTCGTCCCACTCATTGCTTTCCCGTTGCAGTGGCGGCATGTCGAGCCATCAAGGCCAATACCTTCTATGATGGTACGTAGCGCATAGATTATGCCAGTGCTTGTGATCGACAAGGCCGTATAGTGGGCAAAGCAGTACACGGAGAAGAAGCAAGAGCAAGAACAAGAACAATAGATAGCTTTTCCTGTAGCCTCCAATGCTATAGAATCTACGAGGATTAATTGAGTTTTTGTCTCGCGTCATGAAGCTGGCTTTACTGAGAAGCACAACAAAGAACTGTGTGCTGAAGCATATCGTGCACTACGTCGCACACATGGCTTGAAAATCAACCATGGATCTGAACCTGGCATGCGCTGTGTACGGCGCATCATCACAAATGACCTTTACTTCAGCGGAGCAGATCATTCACCAGATATTGTTGAACAAGCATGATCATCCTTCTGCACGAGAAAGAGATTTGCTGCCACAGCAGATGCTTCACACATTTTACGAGATATGCGCGGTTGAAAGCATGCTGCGAGTGCCTCGATGCCGCTCCGCTCTGCCAAGACATGGCCGTGGAGTAGTGGCTGGAGTGTCCATCGCTTGTCGGACGCGAAAGTGGGGTCAATCGCGATGAAGGCCTGGTTGTTGTGACCCTGATCAGGCTAGGTGGGCTCTTCCCATTCATGGCGGATTATTTACGTTACTGGCCACAGTTTGTCCAGGGCACTTACTCGTAGTGGCTGGAGATCACCCATATAGTTGGCTGTTCTTGATACTAAGAAGATGTATGTATGCGTGTAACACCGTTAAAGGAGGGAGACGTATTATGCAAAGCGGAACTACTAGCATATGGGCAAGTCTTCAGTCGTCGAGCGCAAGAAAGAGTGATTGGCGTTTGCGAACTGAGATTCACGAGATCGGGAGGATTCGCGTGGTCACAGCCCCAGATACTGGGCGCAGATCTCATGAGTCATGACATAGGGAGCAGGGTTAATTAGTCAGTTATTCTCGGCCTTAACGGCAGTGCAGTGATCCTCTGGAACCCGCCATAAGCGGCTAGGGTGCCTTGCGGCACACCGTTGGGCCGCCAGCGCAGGGAAGCGGGTGCAGTGCACACCCGTTGGGATCTGCTGCAGTAACCTAGGCATTACGTCCCGAATGACTCTCTTGCACTGATGCCTGGAGCACCTCGCGGCCGCCGGACTCACTTGATGTCGTTCGCGAGATCGAAGATGCTTCCCCTCGCTGGTCAGCGTGCTGAGTATCCTTCGCAGCGAGTGGCACGGCGGTGACGCCCTCCTGCCCCCGCCCCGTCTGTGCAGCATCCTTCTCGCCGCGTCGCCGCACATGCGTGCGGTCCGCGCGGTACTCGGCGCGGTACTTGTACGCCGCGGCCGCGGTGTTCCACGCGTTGCTCGCAATGTCCTGTATCGCATGCGCGCGCGGAGCGAGGAGGAGCACGTTCCGCCAGAGCCCGCCGTTGAACGCACGGTGCGCGCGCAGCTCGTCGTCCGTGCACGCACGCGCGAGCGCCGCCGCCTGCGCGGGATACGCCGGGAACTCCTCGAGCACCGCCGTCGGCAGGAGGTACGTTGCGAGCTGCGCGGTACACACGAGCGGCCGCTCGGGCGGCGGCGGCGGCGGTGTTGGGGCGCGATCGCTTGCGATGGATGACTGGGAGTTGAGGCTGATTGTCGTCGTCGGACTCGACGGCGGCGTGCGTGGGTTGACGGGAAGCGTCGTCGCGGCGCTTCTGAACGGCTCGGGAGACGGTGGTGGAGTCAGCTCTGCGGGCGGCTTGTTCGGGAGGTGGTCCCAGAGGGAGTAGAGCAGAAGGAGCGGTAGCGAACGTGGGTGCGGCGCCTCGATGACGAGGGTAGGAAGCGTGACTGTCCAGCCGTCGGGGTCTCTGTATGGCACACCGTATCGGTGGTTCGTGGGAGGCAAAGGATTTTGCGAAGGGACCCGTAGGTTGTTGCCGTTTTGAAAAGTGGCATTGAACGCTGCGAGGTCTATGGGTAGGACAAGTGGCTCTTGGCCGTTTCGAGACGCGTCGAGGACGATGAGGGCGTGAGTGGGTATGTCGTGCGTCTGTAGAACACGCATGTCGATGACGCGGGGTATCTCGGCGTCGACGGCGAGCCTCGAAAGCGGTGAATCGACGTTGTACGCATGGCATAAGGTCCTGCGGGAGGTCGTCAACGCGTACACATCATGGATGCCAGCAGGGCAATGAAAACTCACTTGTACGGATTCTTGAACGGGCGTTTGTACCAGCGGGGGTACTGCGTCATGAACGTCGCAGACATGTCTGCGCTTGCGCAGCAGCAAAGACCGGCAGGGCACGCTTGCAGATCGCTCTTTATGTAGCGCGTCGCGGAAGAGCACCCGAACGAAGCACGGACGCAGGTGGTAAGCTGCGGCAGCGCACGCGCGGGAGGAGGGACATGCTACGAGTCTGGAGAGGTGGGACCGCGGAACGGGGCAGAAACAAACAAACAAAGAGTGTTATATGGGCATACACGGCTCCTTCAGGGAGCCTCGCGCCTCTTTGCATGCCCGTGTGCGGTGGCGGCTGGCGAATCAGCGAGAAAACAGTTAAGTCCGATAGGCTGCCTTGCGCGGCGTACTATGACAAACGAGCTCAGGCAAAACCCCTCACCAACCCCGCCTTTGAACCTTCCTCGAATGCCGGCGGTACTCACAAGAGCAGAGCAAGCGTTTTCCGAGCCATGGCAGACGGAGACGCAGACGCTCCGCACCTTGATCTTGATCTACGGTCAGTGTCTCCGTTGCGAAGGCCATACAGGGAATAGTCCACGTCCAGCTATCAACGTTCCCTGTGGTTTCGCTGCGGCGGCGTACCAGGATCCAGCGCGTTGCGAGGCTAGGCTGATGTTCGCTGTCGAGCAAGCGTGCAGGCTTGTCCCGGTCGCCACGTCTCGTATACACGAGGCCGTCCCTCCGTTCAGTCAAATCTCCGTTATCGACGATCGTCGTGCTTTCCCAAAACCAGAGTCCTGGTCCGCTCCCATATGAGCAGCCCAGCCAATTGCCTCAAACTCACTTCAATTGATGCTGTCCCTCGCTGTGGGCAGCGCCCAGAGGATGGTGGCAGCGCGGCATTCATACAATGTTATCGGAACCTATTGCCACATGGTCAACAGATGTCATGTTGTCGTCTTAAAGAGAGTTCGCAAACGCACGTCTCTGGCATCCCGGATCTGCACATACAGAGACTCCGAGTAGCGCCGCCTTGAGAGAAGATTGCACCTGAACTTGACTGTTACGAGATGAGCTGGGCAAGCTGTGCAAATACTGAAGTTAGATGTTCCCCCATCGCGTTGGCCGTTGACGTTGAACAGCTGTCTGATCATCGTGCCCGCCTCGGCCGGCGCCCTCGTGCATCGGCCGGGCCAAGCCCGCACCGAGCCTAGGGTCCTAAAATCCGCAGCCCTCCAGGAACGACGATACCGTCTCTACAATCTAAGAAGCCGGCTAGCGAGCCTACCGCTGCCGTGGGTGGGCAGCAAGAATATATGGAATTTGCGAAATGTTTTGGATTCAATTTTCTACTTTATACAGGGTTTGTTTACGAATTATTACGGTATTCTGGTGCGAGAGCTAGGGGTCCTCGGAAGCTGGGGTGTCGCAGGAAGAAAAGAAGGAGCATAAACGAGGACCAACGCAACCATATTAGACATAAGGATACGGGGCATGTACAAGTGGTAAACATATGCGCAGAATCATGGGTGAAGGTGTCGCAATTGAAGACGTGCCAAAGGGCTTTACACGTGCGCAAACTGCGCACGCTGAGCCTGCTGCTGCACGAGCAGTGCGCCGCGCAGGACGGTCCACGACGCCTGCAGCGCATGCCACATGCCGTCGTCTTGGATGCCGAGCGCGCACATATTGGCGTACGCGCCAGCCGCAAAGGCGAGGTGCGTGATGAGCACCTGCTGGCTATACGTCACCGCGAGGCGGCTGACCCAGCTGGCGTGCGTGTGTGCGGGGTCGGGCGTCGAGACGCGCGTTGAGGGGTATGGCACGATGCGCGCAGCGAAAACGGCCCGATCCTTGGTGTAGAGGTATTCGTGGATCGCAGTGAAGGATTCGGGGTGTGGGACGGCCATAGCGAGCACGGGAAGCGTAATGTTGTCACCGGGATATGACGCTTGTGGCGTTGGCTGCCCAGTTGTGAGAACAGGGATTGACGCGCAGTGCGTGGCGAAGATAACGTTGTGCGTGGCGTGCAGCTGGACGCCGCGTGCACTTGCCTTGCCGTGTGCGGGACGCTTGTACACCGCGAGCAGATGTGTGGGCATTTGCGCGTTGACATCGCCGACTTTAACAGTGGTATATGTCTGCTTGACATCAAAGGGTGGGATACGGACGCTCTGAGCGACCCTCCACATGCTGCAAGGCACGGTCAGGAGCTGATGAAAGGTACAGTATGATAGAATACATACTGCGGGCCCAAGAGTTTTAGACCATCTCGAACATACTGCACAGGCACCTTTGCTAGGACAGGGTCCACATCGGCCACCTTCTCCTGGCTGATCAACCGCGCGGGCGGGCGAGTGAGAGTACGTGGGATCGGGCCGGTCCTGCTATCGTGGATCTGCATTCTCTCAAAGTGCCGCACAGGCGTGCATGGCGAGGCAGGAGGGGTGGGGAGATTCACTCGGACAACAGGCTGAACGAGCTTCTGGCGCTTCACAGCGTCGTCTGGCTTCGGGGCCTTGAGTCCGCTGAGGACACGGTTCCGACGGCGGAGGGACGCGTCACGGAACACGGTCTGCGAAACTGCGCGCGATACTTTCTGGGAGGTGCTCTTCACACCGACCCCGATGTTCTCGAGGTTCGAGGACTTGCGAATGGGGCGGACTGCAACAGCCATCTCGTTGGTTGCTGTGTCTCGGGTGGGTTTCTGGTCGTCGGGAGCGTGTGGAACTGGCAGGGCAACGCGGCTGGGAGCTGGGGAAAAGTTGACTTTGCCCCAGCCGCGGGTCGGTATATATACCCTTGTCGAACATGGCGAGCAAGGGGAGAAGTGCGTGACGAATTGGACTGTGACCAATCGTCTCTGTCACGATTGCTGCGACGATTGCTCGATTGCCGTCTTGCCCGGTTTGGGAAAAAGTGATGAGGATCGTGGCCGCACACACACGCCCACAGACCCATTTGGCCAAGCGCCTTGGCTCGAGGGACCCACAGACGAGAGCCTGCCTCTCGCTGACAGTGGTTCGGACTGAAAGAAGACCACCAAATGCATTTCTTAAACTATACATCCCCATTGTCGAGAATATCAGTTTTTTGGTCTCGGTGAAAAGAGCTTTCAGGGACAAGGAGCCGTGGGATAGTAGTAGGTCAGTATTTTCCCACAGGCTGAAATGTCCACAGAGCTATCATATGCAAAAGAGTGCCAGCGCACGCGTACGGGATGCATAATGGGCAACAATACTGTGATGCAAGCACCGCTGTCAATTGCATGACCTGTATCCGCACCTCTATTTTGAGTACTGGTGGACAAAAGTCGGGGGCAGACATGTAGGCAAGTGGCACATCCTGCCCACAAGCCCATGGAGCTCCTGCGTCCAGAAACATCAAGAAACGTGTTTTCATTGCGGCAGGTTGTGTGTCTCTACTAACACGACCCACGCTACAACTCAGACACCTGCTAAACATGCACAAGCATACGCACCGTTACCCCTGGAGTCACGTTCTCCGCTTCGACTAGCTTATCCAACGATTGAGCCAATATCGGGCGCATTCGCAGAGCAGCAGAACGCCAGACGTCCTGCTGCAGCCCGAACGCACTCGGCACAACACAGTGCCGTTTCTGCTCAGAAAAATGGAGTGCTGTCAAAAATGCACATACCGAGCTCTCTCTCGCTGTTAACTTGACGTATGTATGTCAGATCACGGCAATCAGAAAACAAGCTGCCAACAAGCCGTCGCAGAGTGAATAAGAGTGGCTGTGGCGTTTTGTGGAGGGGCGAACTCCCGATCACGGCGTTCTCACCTTGCGCATGCGTGAAAGACAGTCACGACTCGCGGAGAAAGCCGGTCAGAACGGGGATAACGCAATGTACGTGCAGAGGGTGGGGTGGTGGACGAACGTCGAACAGGGAAGGTAGGGGTGATTGTTGAAAACGCATATCGTTGTATGAATTGGTTTGAAGAACATGCCAGCGATGACATCAGTAAGCCTATGGCAGGGCCGGGGGATGAATGGTTAGAAGGTGGGGGAAAAGTAGACAGCTGAGTAATCGACAGGGAGAATAAGAGGCTTATATGTAGTCCAGGATAAAGGACCTGATGGCGGTGTTAAAAATCCTAGGACATCGAACAGCCCCGGGCGTGTATTTGAGACGTTTGGAGAACGATCAGGGTCCCTCAAAGCAGCGAACCCATGCTCTGCAAAACGGGAGTACGATGGGCCGTCCTGTTAGAGCTGTTGTTACGGCGCGATAGCTAATGCAACCAGCGAGTCGGATAATGAATGGGCGGGTGAATAAGTAAATATCCCCTTGGATACTGCATCTCAAACCAAAGTACTGTGAGGTGAAGACCCTGGAGGGTCAGCTTGTGCGCGATCCACGCTGAGGCCATCATCGCGGCAAAACCACCGCGACCGAGAATGGGTTGACAGTGTAGACTCACTCATACACGCCACATAGCCTGGTCAGAAAGATGGCGAAACCGAAGAAAGCCGTATTGTCGGAACGTGCATTGGCTAACACGATGGCTTGCTTATACCGGTTCGGCGTGCGCGGTCGGAGAGCACCGCATACAGGCCACTGCTTCAAAGAGAGAGAAATATCCATCGAGCAGCCAGGTTTTCCTACTGAAAAACCGAGGCGAACGCTTATCCTCGTACAGGTCGTTGCGCCCTCGCGTGATATTGAGTCTCTAACTGTTTCCTCTAACCCTGAGGGTATCATGCTTGATCGAGTATGTGCGCAGACAAGGGATCCTTGAAGTTTGTAGGCCTAGATCTGTCCGCAACCAGTGCTCGTGACTGCACGTGGTTGATTGCAGTCACCTGATCCTGTTTCCAACGCGTCGCGCCCGTTCAACTTCAGCAAGTTCGACTTTGACTTCATCGCCCCAGAGTCCACCGCGAGCTTACGAAAGACGGTGTATTTTTGAACATTTAGCAGCATATACAGCGGCTTAGTGGCCCACAGCCTAGAAATTCTGAAAGGAGGTGGTCCGGTCTCCAGACGAAGGTGCCTTTTGAAGCTTGAAGTCCTGCTCACCATCAAGTCGGTATGCTCTTGGACTGCGAGCTGGCTTCACTGACTGCAGTTCCTCATTATAGACCGCCTTCCGACTGTAGTTTCTGCTCTTTCAAACACTTCTGTTATAGTTCGCGACATCTACCAGCTACTCGCCTAACGACCTCAGACAATAACGCCAAGTGCTGTACAACACCTTTGCCTACAATCAGGAATGTCTTCTACGACACAGATACTGTTCAATTCTCCGGCTTTGAACTCTCTCAAGCGTGATCAACTCATTAAGCTCTGCAAACATCATGGTCTCAAGGCAAACGGGAAGAACGCCGAGCTCATCGAACGATTGAAGCAGAAGGCTGACGAGCTCCCACCTGAAGCCGTCACGTGGAAAGACTCCGACGAAGAAGATGAGGACGACCTCTTGATGGACGACAGTCTCATGGCGGAGCAGCCTCCCCGACCGAGCGAGCAGTGGGAGATAGTCATGGACGATATTGAAGAGATCGACGAGGCTGTTTCGAAGTCGAACACATTGACGTCATTGCAAAGCGTGCGCTCTCCTGGCACACCTGGAGAATTTGGAACAGCAGGGTCCAAAGGTACGTAGTGCCGCCGCATCCGTGCTCCCTGCCACTGACATTTCTACATTCTCTCCCAAGGTACCGTAAAGTCTAACCTGAAGGCCGCCATCGCGAACTCTTTTGGCCTGAAGCGTGCAGGTCTGATCAAGAAGGATCACAACGACATGGGCACGACTCGCTCCCTCCCGAACCTGCCTTCACGGACCGACATACCCATCGCTGAGGAACACCCAGTAGAGCCTATCCCAGGAGCCCCCTCCAGGCCGGGCATGGCCGCCCCGGTCAATGCGCGCCTGAGTACAGGCTCAAGCGGTGGCATTACCACAACCATCCGCCTGATCTCCCCTGCACCTAAATCAATCACAGACACCCCTCCGCGCCTTGCACCGTACTCAACAAAGCTTGAACTCGACATGAGCACGCCCAGTGCCGCGAAGAACGTGTGGCCGCCGACGCCTAACGCCAGATTTGACTCTGGACGACTGTATCCGACTATTCCTTCAGAGGATCTCAGCCCAGCACATGTATCGACGCTGAAGAACGCTGTCGTCTCTAGCGTTGCTGCTACTCCAGCGAAAATGACACCATTCAAGGACACTTCAGCAAAGTTGACTCCGCTCAAGGATACGCCAGCGAAGATAGCTCCATTCAAGAATACTCCAGCCAAGGGTACTCCCGCCAGAAGCGCTTCCGGGGAGTCTCCCCTGAAGAACGAAATGCCTTCGGACGCCGCCATTGACATCTTCTCCCCCACAAAACCTATGCCAGCTAGCGGCACTGCCAAACTCGATATACCTGCAAAGCCTCACAGCCGGCTCAGCGTTTTGCAGAACGACCCCTTCCTCTTCGGTTCGCCGCTTCCGCGCAACAGCGTGACGAACAAGCAATTCGATAATGCCGCACAGGAGGTGCTTGAGGAGATGAACCGGCGGCTCGCCAAGGCGGGCGTGCCCAAGGTCGAGAAGACCGTGCTAGATACCAAAGGCAAAGGACCGCTACCGCCCGTCCCTCCCAAGGCGCAAGGCAAGCTTGCGAATGACCGCTTCAAGAAGACGCACGAGAAGGCGTTCGACAAGATGGATTCGATCGCGAACCACTATGCCGCGCGGCGCCCTGCGCCCGGCGCGCCTGCGAACGAACGCGTAGCGATTGGGAAGAAACGCAAGAGTGAGGCGGTGGCGCCGCCGCGTTCGGGCCCTGCGGCGAAACGGCAGAATCACGTCGCGCAGGCACGCGTATTTAGTAATGGGAGCCAGAAGAAGATGACTGTACCTGGTGGATTTGGCGAGGAGAATGAAGAGGACGAGGAGCCAGAGAATGTGGGCGACCGACGTTCATCGAAGCGAATTCGCGTCGCGGAGGGTGCGGACGTGCACAAGGGTCGTCGCGTGTCGCTTCTGCCTGACAGAGGCGAGACGGCGGAGGAGAGGGTGGCGGAGCAAAGGAAACGCGAACGCGAGAGGCAGGCGCTTAAGAAGAAGATTGAGGCCAGGAGAAGGAGTGGCCGCGGTGGCCTTAGTGCTGGTGGTAGAGCAGCTCTCGCAGCTGAAAGTGAGTGTTCGGTGTTTGAGTCTGTCATGAATGATATCCCGACTTTCCTTGATAGAGCCGAAACCCTCACGCCTCGGATTTATTGGCACTGCCAAATCGCTGGTGGGCAAAGTGTGGAACATGGGCGCTGGTGTCTCAAAGCCGGAGACAGCCACGACAGCCGCGGTCGCTAGACCTCCAATTATGCCACGGACAGCAACGGCAGACAAGGGTCCTGTTTCGCAGAAGCCTACTGCGAGCAGCCTAGCGAAGACGGTGGGACCAACTCCGTTGCAGCTCAAGATACCTCAGAAGACAGATAATGCTAAACGTTCGGCGCGTGCACGCTCACCTATTCCATCTTTTAACCCTCCAACCAGCCTTGCGGCGCCGCCTGGGAGCACAATGCCAATGTACCTGCGAAAGACGAGCAATCCAAAGCTGCCTCCCGGCGTAGGCGCGTCTTCTCTAGGTGCTCGGACGAGCACAGCTGCAGGGCCATCCAATGTTAGCTCCCTAGGCTCTCGGCATCCCACAGGCGCCAACGTTGTAATTACACACACACCATTGACACCCGAGACGAAGCCCTCCATCCCAGTGCGCAAACGCACGATATCGACGTTGATGGCGCCAACCGCAAGCTCCCTCGCGAAGCGCGCTGCGACAAGCCCAAGCACCGCAGACCCGAGCCGCGCGACGCCTCTCGCGCTCATTGGCGAAAGCAAGCTGCAGCAGATCACGAACAGCGCCAAGACGCCCCGTACGCTCCCCGCACGGCCGACAGTACCCGTCTTCAGTTCGCCGATTGACGCGCCGTCGAGTCCTACGACGCGCCTCGGTATAGACGAGAACGAGCACATGTCGCTCGGTGCGGGAGGGCGGGCGCTCATGGCGAGCCCTGCCAAGGCCAGAGCCAAGAACGCAGACGACGCGGAAGGAGAGGTGGGAGGTGACGGTGACGTGGCGGTGCCGCCGAAGCCACAGACACTCGTCGCACGCAAGCCCCACATCTCGCGCACAAAGGTCGTCACACGCGTTGGACAGCAGCGCAGCGTGAGCAACTCGTCGCGTGCGAGCAGCACCGTCCCAGGCGCGGCGACGCCGGGGCGCACGCGCTCCAGTGTCGGTTCCACCCCGCGCCGGTCCATGGGTGTGGCGAAGAACCTGCGTACGCCATCGGGTGCGGGCGCGGACCTCATGATGAAGAAGCGGGTGCGCCAGAGTGAGCATGCGCGTCGCACAAGCGGGGTTGGCGTCCCCGGTGCTACTGAGGGCGTGCGGCCGAAGGCGCGGGTGAGTGGTGTGGCAATGGATGTTGATGCATGAGATGGCTTTGATCTTCCTTCTTATCTAATATGCTTCCCTCTTTTTCTGGAGATTAGTGAGTTCGAATGACTGCGGTATCGCACAGTGTATAAACAGTTTGCTTGGTCAGTTTCCTTGCCTTGATTTGTTTGTCTGTTTTTATGATTTTCTTGTACCATTAATTTCTGAACTGCACCAACCATCGACGTGCGGCGCGGTTTTGGCCAATGAAATACTGTTAGCTTGTGTAGTATGCCTATGTATCTAGTCCTAAGACCTGTATCTTCTTCGAGCCTCGTCTTCGCCTCTACTAGGTGCATATACCCAGCTATTTTTCTCAAATCGAGGTCGCCCTCTGCTCGAGGCCTATAACAAGCATCTACAGGTACCTGCTCGGATCCAACGCCTTCAGGTTCGCGCAGGTAATCTTTCCGTCCATGACGAGCTCGGCGATGGCCTTCGCTGTTCCAGGTGCGTTGCATATTCCCTGCATCTTCAGTCAGATAAAACATCTGCATCTGCATCTATGGAAGCTACTCACCCAACATGTATGCCCAGTTGCAATGATAAGGCCCTTAGCCACACTCTTCGCCTCTCCGACGATGGGCCCGCCTCCGCGTGCAATGGGCAAGAAGCACGCCTGACGCTTTTCAACGACACCCTCGCGCAACTGCGTTGAGATGCTCGCGACGTGCTCACGAATGTCGTCACACGCGTGCTGGTCAACCATGACATCGTCGACCGTGTCCGGCACGGGCGAGTTATCGCCAGGGCCGCAGCAGTAGACCTCGTTGTCAGGGCGCGCGTAGATTTCGGGCGACGCGCGCGCGGTGCGGCGAGATACACCTTGGAGCTCGATCTCAGTGAAGAGGACGTAAGGCGAGATGGTCGTGTCGGGTGTGGGGCGAATTGTGATGCTGTGCGCGCGCGTGCCCTCGATGGGAAGGCGCGGGATGAGCTTAGGAGACCACACGCCTGCGGCGACGATGACGTGCGTCGCGGATATCGATTTTGGCTCTGACGAGTCCGCAGGGATATACGTGACACCGGAAACGGCCTTCGTATCCTTGTCGATGTTCACGGCCGTCGCCTTGCCTTGCACGAACTGCACATCGCGTTCCTGCGCTAGCGAGAGCATGCTTGTTGTGAACAGGTACGGATGCACTTGAGCCGTGTCGCCAGGTGGCGACATGGGAGAATACGCAGTAGTGAGCTCCTCACGTACCCAGTCCAGATCGTCTGGGAGTCCGAGCTGTTGGCGCGTCTTCTTGAAGTCGCCTTTGAGGCCGAGTGTCTTCTCAAGGCTTTTGCGCGCGCCACCCTTGCCAACGCCAGAGTCGGCTTCTCCAGAAAGCTCACCATGGCCCTCCCAGCTTCCGCAACCGACGAAGCGCCATCCCCATCGGCTTATACCACAGTGTTTCTCCGCGAGGCGGGCGTGCTCGGAAAAAGAGACGTCGACGAGCTCACTGGGGTAGGCCCATTTAGCGACAAGCCCTCCAGCCTTTCCCGATGCTCCTTGCGCTGCGCCGTCTCGCGACGCCTCGAGCAAGGTTATCTTGCTTATGTTAGAGTTGAATAATGGATGCGAAGAGAGGTAGTAGGCGGTCGTGCATCCTATGATGCCGCCGCCAATAATAACAATATTGCGCTCTGGTGTTGTCGATAAGGACATAGTATATGCGTGAAAAGATACCGTGCGAGATGAAAGAGACTCGAGAGGCAGAAGTGTGTGACGTCAGCAACGGCAGGATCGGGCCGTGCAGCCGCGGCCAGTCATCCAATTAGAGAGACGCGTACCGAGGGTCTATGGGTTTAACGGCCGGGGCAGCTGGTATCAAGCCTTGGCTTTGTCAGGAAATTTTGAACACAAATCGCGCGTCATGCTCACCATCTAGTCGGAGATTTCAATGTATTCAGCTTTTCGAGACACAGATGGTCGTCGTTGCAAAGCACCCCCGAAGACCTCATTCTCCATCCCTGACAGGTCCGGCGACGAGATAGATAGCTCGGACAGTGCGTCCTCGAGCTCGCCGTCCGACTTCACGTCGAAGAAATCGACCTCTTCAGGACGCTTCATGAGCCGGCCAAGCTTCCTAGCTGGCGGCGATGCAGGTGCAATTTGAGAAGGCGCGACACTTTCTAGTTCGACTATATGCTTTTGCGGTCGCCCTCGCTTCTTAGCGGGTAGGGGCAATGTTGAAGCTGGCTGTATTGGTGCAGCACTATTTGTGACTGATGTTATTGATTTCGGCTGTCTGCCACGTCCCCTGGCCGTGGGCTGTGGTATTATATCGGCTGTACTTCCAGAGTCGCTCGAACCGATGTTGTCAATATCGAAGAATTCGCCTTCTTCTTCTATGGCCTGCAATTTGACTGTCAGATTGTATCCCGCATCATAATTCTAGCATGATACTTACTGGAACTGGAACTCTTGCTGGCTTGATCCTCGAATCTTTTGCTTTAGGCTCTTTCGCATCCACAGCCTTTCTGGATCTTCCCCTAGGCTTTGTCGTGGCTATTACCCTTGGTTTTGCCTTTCCTTTCTCTTTCGGAGTCTTCAGCTCGGAATGCTTCTCGGAGTCCACGTCCATCGCATCTGTATCCGCATCGGTATCCATGCCCTCGTCTTCTTCAGACATCTCGTCCTCGGAATCTTCAAGCACCTCGACAGCCCCGCCCTTGTGGATACGATAGCATCCACGCACAACATCTCCCCACAGCACGTAGATCTTGCAAGCGGTGCAACAGCCACCACGGGGAATCAAGGGAGCGGTCGAAGAGACAGAAGTAGAGGGAACAAAGGACTTAGCAAGGCAGGTGAGGTGGGAGAGCGATTTGCATCCGGGAGCAGGGCAGAGGGCAATATCCAAGGCATTCTGAGTGATTTTGTGGCATGTCAACGCAATATGGAATAGGAGAAAACGGCATTACTAACTGAAGGGAAGTCTGTTATAGGCTCTTTACATACAGAGCAATAGTACGGGCCGGCAAGGGAATACGCCTTGTATAGATGCGATGTAGTGAACTGGGCTGTGCACAGTACTTCAGCATATAGTGGTATTTTTGCAAATGTTAGAGAGCATACCATCTGTGACATCTATAGGACCCGTTCTTCCAGAGCCGGTCTTCCCGCTTTTACCGTCGACACCCTCGAGCTCGACTGCCGACGTAAAGCCTAGGGGTGGAGATTCTTTCCGGTACAAGACATTCCATGTTTTTGCGGCTTCTTCTGTGAAGAGCTTTACGTGCAGGGCCCAGGTATTGTATGGATGCGAGCAGATCATTCCGTGCGCTACCCTGACGACGATATATAAAACTCTTGGGCTGGGACCATACTAGCTCTTGTGCTCACCGTATTCGGTATTTCAGGGAGTTTGATCTTGCGAACTTCGCTTTCCCATCTCCGCGCCGCAGATGGCGGGAGATGTGCGGGTGCTGCCACGCCCATTCAAACTGGAGAGCGGCAAGCTTGGAGGGAAAGCCGCACACGATCATCTGCATAACCCATGGACGATTGCGCTCAGTCTTCCGCGCTCCCTGAGTGATTTCCCCGTTATGCTGGCTGTGAGAGCCTGTGTAGATACTCACTCCCAGGCAAGAGGAAGTCAGGGCGGCTTACCGTATCCGACGAGGAGGACTAGGAGTACTCCCTATGTAGGTCCTAAAAATATAGTAAGCAAGACATGAATTTGTTTTGTGGACAAAATTACTTACGCCATCGACTTTGATGTTTTCACGCTTCTCAACAAATAACAAGCGTAGAACGGTGGGACACAGTGATTCACAAGGGTTGATCTGGTCACCGGAGTAGCCATTATTTGAAGTCAATGAGTAGTTCCTAGAGTTCAGAACTGTCTATGATGTATCCAAGACTAGATAATTTGAGCACCGTTGGTTTATCGTCATTGGATGAGAGGCAGGCTCGAAAGGACCTGCAGGTTGTGTTACGCGTGATGGTCACGCGCATGACGCGCGAGTAGTCACTGTGACAAAGCGTGTCAGTGGCGTCACGTGCGCTGGTTCGCCTCTTCCAGACTTCCACTGTCTCCTTCCATATTTCTATCTTCGTCAGATCTGGTACGCTTGAAGGCGCAATCTAGCACTTTGCTTGCCGGAGCGTTTGGATCTCAACCTGAACCTGGTATGTCTCGTCGCACAATTTCCTGGGAATTACGCGCGTGTTGATCCCAGACACAGGTTCCCTTGGTCTTTCCTCTGCCCTTTTCTAAAACTGAGCGTTGGGAAAAATGGATGTCGACGACGTGATTGACGTCTCCTCAGGTGACGAGAGCGACTACAACTCGCGACGCGCCATTCTTGAACCTGCCATCCGGAGTGTTATAGACGCATTAGGAGGATATGAGGAAGGTCGCTATAGACTCGGAGACGAATGCTACGGCTGTTTGAAGGACCTCAAGAAATTTTGGAGGCGAGACGATACCGATGACGAGCGAACGGTCGCGAGGATCTTCTGGGCGACACGCGTGCTGCCGAACGACCTAATACCGATTCTGCTCGAGACCGCGGGGCGCGGAATGTTCGAGGACAAGAGGGCGATTGCGTGCGCGGACTTGATGACGGCGATGACCTGGCCTATAGACGTGGCAGAGGAGCTGAAGGAACTCGACGAGGTGTTGGACAAGGGCACAGACTACACGCAGCTCCTCCAGAGTCACCTGTACTACAAGGCAGCGTTACTCAAGTCGGGAGTTATGGAGGCTCTGCTTGGTATTGTCATGCCTTGCTTGGCGAAAGACATGAAGGAGAGGACGGAGCGCGATGTGCAGATTATCGGCGTCATCCTCTACCTCATCCGCAACCTCGCATTCATCAAGGACCTTCCGTCGAACATGTACCTGAGCGCGGACCAGGCCGAGTTCTCTTCCCTGCAGAGCAAGCTCGTCAAGATGCTCTCCGAGACCAATATTCTGGACCTTCTGCTCACCATCGCATCGAACGGGAGCGAAGACACCATGTTCAATCACTGGAACGTACTAATCCTCGAGATATTCTACTTTCTCTTCCGAGGTATCAAGCCAGTGTCACTGGCAGGAGATCAAGGCGAGGCGAGTGACAACGTGGCTTTCGTTTGTGTTGTCCCTAACACAGGATGCAGGAACCCGCAAAGAATCTCCGCCGTCTGCTCGCCGTCGAAGACAGTATGAAGCGCAGCTTTGCGCGTAACGCGTCCTCGCGACACTCTCGCTTTGGAACTACCATCTCCGTCACTCTGAACCCCAAGTTAGCGGCGAAGCAGAACGCCGCGACTAGCACAGCAAACGCTGAAGGCGAAGCGCCGCCACTGCCAGAGGCGCAGGCAAGCACTTCGGGCCCAGCGTTTGTACTCCATCGCCAGCAGGCATTACGGAAGGACGCGGGAAGTATGTTACATGCAGGAAAGCGGGCCAAAGCACAGAAGGTCAAGAAGATGGACGAGCTCGCCAGGGAGGAGAATCTGAACCCGGAGTCGAGAACGATCCTCCAAGGTCTGGCGAAGACTTTCCTGGAGAGCTGCTTCAACCGTAAGTGTATTCTACATGCTGTCTGACAGATATACCCAATTAGAATATAGCGTTCCTCGCATCCCTTCTGAAGGATATTAAGGCCGAGCGACCAAAGATTACGGAAAAGGACCATCTCCGGCTGCTCTATATCACCAAGTGGTTCCTCGAGTTCCTCCTCTGCCTGCGCTCAACCGACAAGTCGCGCACATGGAGCTTTGGCCTGATTGCGGAGGTCACGGAGCGGAATTGGATAGTCTGGGTCCTGCGACGGATGCGCGAAGCCGTCAACGAAAAGGTGCGTCTTCACAGCTTTCACCTCCACCTTGTATCGATTTTTTCCCAGCCAAAACTCTGGACAGAGCTACAGGCGGGCGTCGAGTGTCTGACGCAGCTCGTGCTGCTCATCGATGCGATGAGCTCGTCGGGCGTTGAGGACGCGCAGCACGTGTCCGAGGTGCTGCAGGTGCAGATCGTGTACAACGGCGAAGTCCTCGACATCGCGTTCGACAGCCTGAAGGTGTACAAAGAGGGAACACAAAGCCTTACATACCTCGACTCGAGCGTGCATCTTGCCTATGCGCTGCTGCGCCTCCTTGAGCGGTATGCGAAGAAGGAGGGATCTGGGCTGGTCAGGCAGAAGAAGCGTAGGGGTGCATATACGCGTCGACTATACGAGAGGAAAAGGTGCTGATTTGTTTACAGCCAAAAAGAAAGAGGCAGGTGGTGGTGTGCCTGACGATGAGGAGGAGGAGTTCGATGCTGAAGAAGAAGAGATGACGGAGACTATGTTCACGTTCGATGCCTTCGAGCAGGTGCGCATATAGCCACTTCGTCGTTGTTTCAACGTCTCACAACGCCCTCCAGAGATTCGCCAATCCAGACGTCACGCAGACACTGCTCATGTATCTCGCACGCTACAAGGAGTTTAGCTCTTCTGAGGATATGAAGCGCATCGTCAACCTCCTTCATCGACAAGCCATCAAGGCTAAGGCTGAGGGGTTGTTCTTTAAGGTAGGCACTCTCCTAATATATCGGTGTTCGCCGCATGCATGTAATCACAAGAAAATACGGCTTACGCCCTAGCGACACAGGTTTCTACTCTGGAGCTCTTCAAGTCCATCCTAGATGAAGAGAAGTCCTTGCCGCGCGAGCAGCCCTACAAAGACCTCGTCGTGCTCATCCACTATATCCTCCGGCAATTCTTCAAGACTGTCGAAGAAGACTCGTTCCTTGTCGTTGAAGCTTTCTACTCAAAGAACCGCGGCAAGTGGAAGGCGCTCTCGAGCTGGGAGCCCCCGGCCAAAGGAGCAAGGGCGCTCGAGCCCGAGAACGATACGGTCCTCGAGAACCGGTGGCTTACCGATGTACATGTTAAGAAAGGGTATACCTGGGAGCAGCAGCTCGCGATTGCGGTCAGGATACTGGTAGAGGACGAGAAGCAGGTGATCGTTAACTGGGTTAAAGAGGTAAGTGTTGTGCCAGGTTTAAAAGTGCCGGGGGCTGATGAGGTCTGTAGACCTTGACAATGGTGATTGGGATCAGGCAGAGGATTGTCGAGGATACGGACGGGTCGAGCTCGCAAGCCGCCGACCTATCGCAAGACGAAGACGAAGAGACCTCGGCTGTAAAGCGGAGAGGCCCGTCCAAGGAAGCGATGGAGAAGTTTACTGACTATAGTACGTCCCGGAATTGCGCTGAGGTGCATACACTTATGTCACCACAGTGATTCCCTACGTCAGTGACGAGCAGGCAGACGCTGCGACCAAAGATCCGCATGTGAAGCTCGTCTTCCGGCTCTTGCACTTCGCGATCCTTGCTGAAGGCGAGCATGTTCTGACTTACTGTTTGGCACTCAATTGACAGCTGTACAGATACTGACGAGCTGGAGTGGTATGTTCCCGCCGCGATCGTCCCGGAGGAGCTCCAGCGAAGCCTCGCACTTATCAACCAGTTCCTCGAGAAGCCTATCGATCTCGGAGACAAAAGCGCTTCAGCGCTGCTGCAGCGCGACAGGCGCAAACGGCGCCGTCGCCGACGTCCGTCCCCGACACCAGAGGCAAGCGACGCCGAAGACGACGAGCCGCGGCGGCGGCGACGAGAGAAGAAGAAGAAGAAAGAGACGCGGTTGTACAAGAGCGCACAGTTCGTGGAGGATAGTGACGTGGACGAGGCGGAGTGGGAGCGCTTCTTTGCGAAAGAGAAGGAGCTCCGCGAGCGCATGAAGCTCAACGCGCTCAAGGAGGGCAAGGATCTCGCGACGATGAAACAGAACGGGACGAAGAAACGGAGGCGCAAGGGCGAGAAGGCGGGTGAGGAGAAGCGCAAACGGATGCGTGTGCCCGGTGACGACGATGGTGTTGACGCCGGTGACGGCGTTGGCAGCGAAGACGAGGATGAGCCTGCAAAAGTGCTTGTCACGATCGACTCGGACAAGGACTCAGATTCGGACGATGGTGGCATCTTCAACCCATTCTCGTCTCCCAAACCAGGTCCGTCTTCGCGGACATCCCCAGAGGACAGCTCAGAAGCGGCCCAACCACAAAAGACAAAGCTGAAGCCGAGGCCAAAACCGAGACCGCGGGCCAAGGCGAAGGCCCCGACACCAGAAGTTGAAGAGGTGCAAGAGGCTTCAGCATCACTGCCGAAATCGAATTCTCCGCCAATGGAGGTGTCTGATGGTGATGATGACGAAGTTGTGACGATACCGCGGAAAGTTGTGAATAAGCCGCTGTTCATATCTTCCGACGAGGAAGACTGAAGTTGTTTCGGGACTGTTACTTCTCATATAGTTGTATACTCCACATTTGCGTGTATATCGTACACCGTATTACCCGGGCCGTTCGGATGAGGTGAGTGCCGATAAGAACCTACGCGCCGAAACAGCCGTAACATTGGGGTATGGAAACATTGTGTATTGCGCGCATGAAGTCGTAACTATACGCATCATGTGCCAGCCCGGCCCGTTGCCCATGATATGGCAGTTCGACTACCAATGGGAGGGACGAGCAAACGAAGACTTGTTCCGTCGCAGTTAACTGTAGCTTTATAGTCTATCCCAGAGCTGCCGTGTCAGAATTGAGAACTGAGTACTGAGCGCTGAGCGCTGAACTCCCAAGGGGAGCGACGACGTCAGATTATCAACTGGAAGTGGTGGCGGGCGCGGCGGGCGTATCTCGTCCACCACGGCACACCCATGTGGAAAAAGCGACCATGAAACGCGCACTCCAACCGCCTTGCAAAACTTAAGTGAACATTGCACACCATCTGCGGAGCGACCGTCTAGAGTAACCGTCCTGATTGCATTACAGGCTAACGGCGAAACAGGGGCTTAGATGGGGGTCATGGGAGCAAAGAATATTTGCCACCATCGATTAGATTTCGGCCACCGGTTCTGTTAGAACGGATGCATATATGGCCTGTGCGGTGCCGAGTCGCCAGGAGGAAAGTGTCTGCTGGTTAATTCGAGCCGAGCTCAGACCATACAGTACCCGCCGATTCGAAGTCAATAGTGCCAAGCTAGCCAGTTCTTGAATTTGTGTCTTGAGAGTCAGATATTCGTGAAGTTCTGAAGCGCGCTTGACACATAGCTTTCTACCATATGCATAAACTTATCGGCTAGTATATTTTGGTGACTACTGTTTCGACGCGGGACGAATTGCCTGGGGAGCAGGCCACTTATCAAAGTGACCTGCAGACTTGTGTATACGATTATAGTCGGATCCATCGCCCTGAAGACTCCAAGGTGAGCAAAAGTTCAGCAGACGAGAAGTATTTGCACTCACAAAGCCGGTGAAGGGGAAGCCTTTGTTGAACGGCACGATATCGTCAAGGGCCTTGATTTGCTCGGGAGTGAGAGAAATATCGAGTGCCTCCAAGTTTTGGTACAAGTGTTCGATCTTGCGTCCGCCAATGATAGGGAAAACATATGGAGCCTTTTGCATAACGTATGCGATGGCAACTACAACGCAAGAGATTTGTCAGACAGCTAGCAGCGACCAAGACTGGATGCGCACCAGAGGTGATGCTCTTTGCGCCAATGTCCGCGGCGACTTTCTCGAGAGCCGAGCAGACCTGTCGCTGATCCTCGGTACGCTTCCAATCACCGGATAGCGCGCGACCACCCTCGCCTGACTCGAGGCGATGCTGCTCTTCCGCATCTGTGCGAATCTTGCCGCCGGCAAGGACATTCCAGGGCGCCAGCGCCATACCTAGGTTGGTGATCAGACAAGGCACATTCCCCGAGCTCGGACCCCATACCTTCTTGAACAGCCATAGGCAAAATGTCGCGCTCGAAATCGCGTTGCATGATGTTCCACGCTCCTTGATAGATGGAGAATGGCGTCTTGCCAGTCAAGCGCGCATAGGTGTTAGCCTTTGAGACGATCCAGGCAGGCGTATCAGAGACACCAAGATAGAGCACCTTGCCCTGTACGACAAGATTGTGCAGGCCGTTCATGACCTCTTCGACACTGGTGGCGTAATCCCACCAGTGCACATAAAAGATGTCGACGTAGTTCGTGCGTAGCTTCTTAAGCGACGCGTTCAAGGAGTTGTGCATCGACTTGAGGCTGTTGCCGACGTACTGCGTCTTTTGGGGAATCTCGCTGAGCGGGGCGGCGCGCTTGTAATTGGTCGAGTACTGTGAAAACGAAGATATCAGCCACACGCACTCTCATCAGTGCGAAACACGACGGACCTTAGTGGCGAGAACAATCTGTTCGCGGTTGTCGTGTTTTTCTATCCACTCTCCGATGAAAAGCTCGGACGTCTCGTCCTGACTATGTGGGTGTCAGCTCTTTAATATACCACGATAAGGGTGCTGTAGCTTACTAGCCGTTGGCTGTATCAATGAAGTTGCCACCAGCGTCGAAGAACGCGTCAAGCAGCTTAAAGCTGCTCTCCTTGTCCATGGTGCCCATGCCGTATTCCTGCCACTTATCGCCAATGCTCATGGCACCGAGCTGGATGGGTGAGACGTGCACGCCTGCCAGAGGTGCCAGCTGCCGGTGGCGGCCAAGTTTGGTGGGAGGCTCGGGAGGGGCGAACCAAAGACCGCTCATAGTGCGTGAAGAATCGAGTTAAGATATGTGGAGGAAACAACTCTGCGACTAGCACAGTGAGCATCTAGTGCCTTATATACTACAAACCGCGGACCCTGGCTGAGTAAGGAGGCGTACACATGACGAGAGGCCCGGTTTACTCACCGTCAGTCCGATTCTCAGGGCCTTAGATCTTGAGCTTCCATGCGAACCGTGCGCATGACGTGGTGAAAGTTGATAGTCGCTAATGCATGCGGTATGTGCTATCTCCAGAAGGGACAACTGATGCGCCCGCTTGCGAGTCCGGCTCTGGCGAGTGGTCCGAGAACGGTGCTGGCGAGCGTCCGGCAGCAGAGAAACGAGTGTGTCAGCGACAGGATGCGCACGAAGAGCGTATGCGGCTTGCGGCTTGAACGGAGTTGGACGGAATTGCCTCTCTCCTGAAGCTACTTACTAAGCTCGAAACAACGATGCGCGCCCCACAAGAACGTTATCGAGAGCCGGGGCTGTCGCCGTCCATGATGACGAAGGCAGCTCTGGAGTAGGACATCGCACCGCATCGCTGCCCTGACAAATCGAGGGGCTTAGATATACACCAGCCTACCCAATAGCGGCCGTAATGCTCAAGCCGCGTGGGACATTCAGCGAGGGCGGCGTCCAGTGAACAGAGTCTACAGCGAGCCGCAGGGTCACCTGATGCATAGAAGTAAGTTATCGCGGATCCCCTTCCATGGCATGACCTTATACACGGGCGCGGGATGCTGTAGCAAGCGGGAACAACAAAGATCGATGAATACACGAGCGTAAAGCCCTCTAATGGTGCAGCACCCGGCAATACAGCGCGGTGGCTTCGAATGCACATTTTTTAGTCTTGAATACTATCCTCTTCAAAATTAATAAGTATAGGACAGTCATGCAAACACATAATATCACTTTACCTTCGACCTCTGCTCATCATTCGACGCAGTCTCGACATCACGATGACCAGGAGCCAAGCCGGGAGCAAATGTAATTACCAAGGGTCGGCTTATTTGCCGAACTATTTCTATAACGAGCCAATCTGGCACGAATTGCTGGCTAATTGGGCTAATTAGTCCTAACATATCCAAATTTGGGTTATTTGGGCCTGGATAACCGCTGCTTCTCCGAGCTGAACGACTTGGACCTGGACAACTCGACCTCTCGATGCCAACTGAGGGCGGCACCGTGTTTCTTGTACAATTAGTGCTGTATCCGTAACGCGGCAGTCTATCGCCCCAGAATCAACTCGCACCTTAACGTTAACACTGAACTTCCAAGTACTGAGTAAGCACCAACGCAATGCCGCCCCGCCCACCCAGCGGACGACGAGCTTCAGCTCAGATAAACCTGCGTTAATCCAGCGGAGAGCAGAGGACGAAGAGTTGAGACCAAACGTTAGTATTTTCGACCTGGGGGGCAGCTAGAATGAGGATGTCGCTGAATACCTCTCAGGTGTGCAGGCTCAAGCTCCCACTTTGTGAGCTCCTGTTCATGTGCATGACTCATGCTCAAAAGAATGCACAGAGAGAGGACAGCAAAAAATATTGATATGGAGGGCCAACATGGAAGACACAACAGCAAAGCAAGAAACACGGCGCGGCCAGCACAGCAGTAAATAAGGTATGATGGCACATCACATGATCGTACCGAACGCGCAACGACCCCGGCAGACGCTTCTTACTCGGGGAGATCAACCGTTCGCCTCACCCAGTCGACCTGCCTCGCGAATATCATGCCTCTGGCTCGCCTCCTCCACTGCAACTGATGCCCTGGCCTAGTAGATGCTGGATAGCTGTATCCCGCCGTCGTGAATACAGGGCCCTGACGCAGCCTATGCTGAACTCGGTGCATAGCCCTCGCTTCTTACATGGGACGCCCATATGGCGGAGGCTATGGTGATGCTTGCATTCCGCACGTCGCTGATGGTTCGTGGGCGACGTGCTGCGTGATGATGCACTAGAACGGCTGTGTACTGACCGTTGAGACATTTCCATTGACTAGCAAAATGAACACCTTCCCTGCAGAGGCGTGCGTGCGGCGTGCTACCACTAAGAGGTACATCGTTGACTTGAGCCCCCCCCCAATTAACCGGTACATCCCCGGTCATGGGCACTCACCTTCCTAGGTATCTGGATGTTGAAGAGAAGGTGTTGGATGAGGGCCTTCCGGCCCCGCTTTGGAGATGTAGCAAATTACCGAGCATGTGGGGAGAACTGACACCTGTCGGCTGGATGTTCAGTTCGGAAGTGCTGGCAATCAGGGATATGGGCGCAAGTGCAGGTCTAATAAGTTTATATGCTGCAGATCGTTGTGTCGACCCGCGCTATCCTTGCTACTACTATGAGGCATGCATCGAAGCAGTTCAGATTCGTCACTCGAGGTGAGTCGAAGTTCCCTTTGCCATAGACTGTATTGACGACATCTGCGTACGGTATGCTCAGCATATGCATCAAGATAGGGTCTGTTTCCGCTATATCTGAGCTTGCGCCATCTGGTACTCAACGAGCCTTAATGTTTTTGCAGCTTGATGGTCGTACCGGAAGCCGAACACATGTCGGCGGAGCGACCATCAACAAAAAGGTAGGACGAGATATCAAATGATATAACGCAGCCTAGTCTGATATGAATGTTTTGCGATATAAAGCTTAATATCTCACTCAGATCTCTTCCCGAGGCACCTCAAGGCATTTGTGACAGGTCCATCCTTCTCGACGCCAACGGCCGGTACCCTAGAGTCCTTCGCAGGTGAACTCATATCGAAGGGCGCTATATTACTAGCTAAATATGAGGTTTGAAGCCGGCGACGTACTTGGGTGCGGAGTCTCGCGCATTGACGGTCGCATCTTTTATACCAAAAATGGTATCATACTCGGTGCGTCATGCTTGCAACATGTGTGCCGAGCTTGTGGTTAACGCTTAGCGACGACGGACATCAACTTCAGGTTTTCTACCCTGTAGCATTGACGAACTCAAGGAGAAGTTATGCCCTGTTGTGCAAGTGAGCTGCAAGAACCACTACTTGGAAGACCTGCCACCTTTCCTGCGCATCACCACCAACTTTGGGTGGCAAGAATTTACTTTCGACATCTGCCATTTCGCAAGGGAGGTCTTCAGTCAACGGCGGAGGATGTTTCAGCATGATGCCGCGTCACTACCACAGGAGATTGTGAACACGATCGCGGTCTCTGCCGCAAACTCCGAGAGATTGTGAGTAGTCTCTTGTTGAGACAGTTGAGACTAATTGACACAGCTTTCAATTAGCGATCTCGCGGCTTTGAGCAGATTCGCCATGGTCTGTCGCACATGGGGAAAGATCTGCCGTCCTTCGATGTATCACTACATTGACATCAAGAATGTGACTCAGCTTTCTCGTTTGCATGTCATCTTCCGCTCTCCGGGTGTCTTGCCCCTTCTGCGCGAGGTGCACGTAGGTGGCAAATCCACCGATTTGCATGACAAAGCCCCGCGCCCCAGCCTGGCACTGGCCCTCTCATCTTTAGGTCGCCATTTCTGGCAGCCTGCCAAGGCCATAGGCTGGTCTGAGGGCCACATCGGAGAAAACAGGATCAGGTCAAGTCATATAACTGAGCCACATGGTGCGTTACAGGTTAATATTGCACCGCCTTTTCTGTTGCCAATCGCCTGCCACAACTGGTACTTTGCAGTGAGAATACAAGAAGCACCGCCGCGGATTGAGACTGCGATCTCAGCTCTTCTCCGTCCGTTGCAGAATCTTCATTCTCTGCAAATAAACCGTATCATATTCCACTCCTTGACATCTCTCTTTCGTGTCATTCGCGGCCTATCCCAGGTCGAGGATGTTCATCTCGGCGATGTGACGGTCCTGCACGCGCCGGAACATTTATATTGGCCACCATCAGTCGTTCTGACAAAGCTGCAGGTTCTCAAGGTGACCAATTGCAAGATACCCACGCGCGCTGCCCCGGCCTTCGTCTCACTCGGAGTTCAAGGCAAGCCAGACCTGGTTCCTTCACCCGCTGGCATCTCTCGACTTTCCCGGCAGTTGAATGGCATTTTGTTGCACGCTGACGATGAATATGCTATGCAACAAATAGCTCAAGCTGTAGAGCGTATGCACACATTATTTGGCGACGACGCCGGGCAAACGCAATGTACCTTTAACCTGATGGAAGACCAGGAAGAGAAAGAAGGGCAAGCCACTCAGTACCTCTCAGGTAAGTTTTAACGAGACGAAGCACTATGAATTTCATTGTAATTCCGGACATTTGTGTAGTTTCGCGCAGTGACCTTCTCGTCAAGGTTCACGTGACGAGACTGCAAGAGTCGAATGAATCCCCTCAGCGCATCAAAGCGGTCACCGTAATACTCAACGTCTTACCACAAGATCCCACGTCCGGGCTGATATTTCTGGACACGTCACTTGCTGATATATCCCAACGGACAAACCCGCCACTCAAATTTGGTTGCGAAATACAAGGCTGGAATTTAGGTCGCACAAGGCTCAATGCCGCAATGCCATTACTCCATGCAGAGGGGAGACTCATAGTTAAATCACCTAGCCCCGGCCCCCCTTCTCTTCGTCGCAGTCGCATTTCAAATTTTACCGCGTTCCATTCGCGTCCGAGTCCTTCCCGCAGCCGCGTCCATGTTACTTTTAACGAACGTGTAGATGTTTTCGAATTTAGCTCCGATAGCTCCGACAGCTCTCCTCCCGGCAGCCCCAGTGGCAAGGAGGAATTCGAATGCGAAGTAGGAGACGCGAGGTGGGAGGCACGGAACGACGTGGAGACCGATGCGGGGTTGGACGCCAGGGAGAGCGTGGAGGCCTTGGAGTGATGGTGGACAGGATAAGAGTCGGAAGGCACGGCGTCTTCGGTGCAGAATTGCTGCCATGTGGGGTGATAAGGAGAGCGACAAAGGATAGACATGTTCTTGCTTATGTGTTATTTTGGATTTGTGAAAAAAATCGAGGGTTTAACTCACCATGCCATATTGGGTGCGACGACATTATTTACTGTATCTATCTAATTAGAACATCCTCGAAGGTAAGCCTGAGGAGGGTATCACATCCGTCTGTTCTACTGTTTCACCTCCTTCGTGTTCGATGGCTTCGCCTATTTACCACTGATATAGTGCTGCCATGCAAAAGCAGATGATTGCCATCGTCTCAGTCCAGTTCTCTCGGCAAAGAACAGGAGAAAACCGTTTTGTATCAGGCCTGGTCGAGCCTGCGGGGAGGCTTCGGTGTTGTGGCGCATCAAACTTGTGAGAACATATTACCTAAACTGGTACGAAAGCACAGCGAGGCGCTTAACACCGCCTGTACTTTTTCATTCACGAGCCCACTCGAGCCACGTTGCACTCATGGCGCAAGCAGGGCCTTCGTCGCTCAAAAAGCAGAAGAAAAAGCAACCTAACAATGGATTTCGGTCGTCAAAAGTGAGGAAAGTTCAGGCAGTGAAATCCATCGAGACCCTCGAGGAGGCTGCACTGCAATATGTACGTCCCTTCCGCAGGTCTGTATGTTCGTCTGTGCTCATAGGTTGACATAGCTCTAATTGCTTTGCAGGAGCCTCCAATAAATTTAAAGGTCTTTGCGGACCTCCCCATTTCAGATCTGACGAAGCGTGGGCTGAAGAAGGCTTCCTTCGTCGACATGACTGATATCCAGGTCAAGAGTCTGCCCGCCTCACTTAGGGGCAAGGACGTCCTTGGAGCAGCGCGAACGGGAAGCGGAAAGACGCTTGCGTTCCTGACACCGGTGCTGGAAGTCTTGTACAGGCGGAAGTGGGGTCCTCAGGACGGTCTGGGAGCTTTGATTATTTCACCTACCCGTGAACTGGTGCGTATCACAAACTTGCATCCGGCGATTACAATTGATTTGGACACTCAGGCGGTGCAAATATTTGAAGTACTACGTTCAATAGGAGGCTATCACACATTCTCTGCCGGATTGATCATCGGCGGAAAGAACCTCAAGGATGAACGCGACCGCTTGACAAGAATGAATATACTCGTCGCCACTCCTGGACGTCTATTGCAACATATGGATCAGACTGTTGGTTTCGAGTGTGACAATTTGCAAATGCTAGGTGCGTCTACCGAAGTTCCTTTGTACCGTTAGCGGTGCTCATGCCTAGCGTGCAGTGCTCGATGAAGCTGATCGCATATTGGACATGGGATTTCACAAAACTCTGACCGCATTGCTCTCCCACCTTCCAAAATCACGCCAAACTCTTCTCTTCTCTGCCACGCAAACCAAGTCTGTCACCGACCTCGCACGGCTATCATTGAAGGACCCGGTGTACATCTCTACGCAGGAAGAAGAAGCGAGCGGCGTAATGCCAAAATCGCTTGAGCAACACCACGTTGTGGTGGACCTCGACAAGAAACTTGACGTGCTGTGGAGCTTTATCAAGACGCATTTGCAAACCAAGACGCTGGTTTTCATGTCCTGCTGCAAGCAGGTCCGCTTTGTCTTTGAGACGTTCTGCAAGATGCACCCTGGTATTCCCCTGTTGCAACTTCATGGCAAGCAGAAGCAGATGTCCCGTCTTGCGACGTTCCAGCGGTTCACTTCGATAAGGCACGCCGTTCTGCTCGCGACTGACATTGCTGCACGTGGTCTGGACTTCCCTGCTGTTGACTGGGTCCTGCAAGTCGATGCGCCTGAGGATGCCGAGACGTATATCCACCGTGTCGGTCGGACAGCGCGATACGAGAGTGCAGGCAAAGCGCTGCTATTTCTGGCGCCAAGCGAGGAGGAGGGCATGAAGGCCGCGCTCGCCAAGAAGGGCATCGAAGCTGCGAAGATCAAGATCAAGGCGAGCAAGACGCACAGCGTTCAGAACCAGTTCCAAAAGTTGTGCTTCGAGGACCCGGACATCAAGTATCTCGGACAACGAGTAAGTATGCTACTCTTTCTCGTCAAGGTACCATGATTTGACCTGGCTTTTCATAGGCATTCGTTTCTTACCTTCGCTCTGTTCACATCATGAAGGACAAGTCTATCTTTAAGCTCGAAGAGCTACCTGTCCAGCGTTACGCAGAAGCTCTTGGTCTACCTGGTGCACCCAAAATCAAATTTCTTAACAAGGAAATTGCAAAGGCGAAGAAGAATGCATCTCATGCAGCTGCCAAAGCGGGGACCATGTCGCAGCTCGACAGGTCGAACGAATCGGATGATGAATCTGAAAGCGATGGCGGGTCAAGCAAGAGCTCTAGTGAGGCCGAGATCACCGAGGCTGAGGCTTCCACGAAACCTGAAAAGGTCTGTAACATGATCTTGCAGATGGTATGCACGTGTTGATCCTCACACTAGCCCAAGGTTCGAACGAAGTACGACCGCATGTTCGAGCGCAAGAACCAAAATATCCTCTCGGAGCACTTTAACAAGCTCGTCAACCACTCTGCCGACGCTAGCGACTCCGACGGCGACTTCATCACGCTCAAACGTGCGGACCACGAGCTCAATGAGGAAGAGCTCCCCGAGCACGAATTCACGTCGAAGCGCAAGCAGCGACTTGCACTCTCGAAGAAGGCGCTCGCGCAGCGGGGATCGAAGGGGAGCAAGCTCGTTTTCGACGAGGATGGTCGTGCGCACGAGGTATACGAGATGAAGAGTGCCGAAGAGGTATTCCATGGCGAAGACGATGTGAGGGAGGCTGGCAAGCGGTTTGCGGAGGAGGAGCGCGGGAAGCTGAGGGAGGCCGATGTCATCGATCGGGTGGCGGCGAAGGAGAAGAAGAAGGAGAAGAAGCGTAAACGCAAGGAGCGCGAACAAGAGGTGCGTTCGATCGGATGCTTCGTCTCTGTCTGTACTGACCCGTCATTGTAGGAGATGAGTGGTTCTGACGATGACAGCGCGGCCTTTGCCCCGGTGATCGAACCTGTGGAAGGAGAAGGCTACGTCAGTCCTAACTTCGACCTACCCCCTTCTTCAGACGAAGAGGATGCCCCACCACCATCGAAGCGTGCAAAGAAGTCGAAGTTTCCCCTCGCAGAAGAGGAAGAACTTGCGTTGCAACTCTTGCGCAGCAGGAGATAGTCGTGTTTATTTTTTTCCATCTCCGTGTCATCTATTCCGCCAGCATATCCATATGTTTGTGTCTCACCCAGACGTTCCAAGCCACACAGCGGCTCGATATTAATATTCCTTCCCGAGCCTCGTTCGGTCGCTGGCCATCTCGCTCGCTCTTGACTTGATCCAGGTACTCTTAGGTCCGCCTTAACTCGGTGGAGCTTCGCTGTCGGAGGTACGCTGATGCCGCCTTACCAGCGCGTACTGCACGCTCATCTCCCTTGACTACAGGGGCCGAGTACAGTATGCTCTTAGAGCGGGAGTATTTACCGCCAAGGCACTACGCGACGCTACAACGTGCGTAACATTGTGTAATCGATAATGAAGTTCGCCAGGTGCTGCGTCTTCGTGGTTGAATGGCGAGTCTGCTATTTACGTTTTAAACTTTATGATCGAAGTAAATCCTACCAGAGCTGAGTGACTGCGTACATGGCGCATCTACTCCTTCTGCACAGCCTGCCACGCTAGCATTGATGGCCCATGAACTGAAGCGATACTCGGTGTTTAACCTTCCCATTGAGCGCGACCAGATCGTGCGGCCCAAAAATAATCGGTCGCCTTGGCTCAGTGGCGGCCACAGCTACTCTCCTCTCGGTACCGTGTTTCTTCACATCTCTCTGCGGTTTCATGACTGAAGAGGACCGCGTCGGCAAATTTAGAATAGAATCGTACGCAGTGCTGTTTCGGCATACTCCTTTCGATTCGGTCACGCGTGCGCATAACTCTCGCGACCAATGGATACGAGGAGATTATGCTCTGCCTGGATGTTGACAGCACAGGTGGCCAATTCGTCATCAGACATATCCAAATTCTGAGTTGTCACAGTCAGACAGACGCTTGGGAGCCGTGTACAGAGCGACCCTGTGCATGAAGGTATAAGAAGAGGAGTCGAAGTTGGAGAAGGGACGTCGGCTCCCGTCCCTTAATCGTTTCTACAACCTAGTCTAGCAATCGCGCACTAATCTTCCCTTACGGCTACTCTTAGAAGCACTCTCGAGATGTCTACTTCCGTTCACGAGTTCGGCACTCTTACGGCCCTCTCTGGCGTTGTGGCGCTAGTCTATGCCCTCCTCCATGTCTTCCGCCAGGTGAAGATCAAGGCTCTCGGAAACCTGCCGCCTGGCCCGACCGGCCTCCCCATCGTCGGTGAGTAAAGCACTGCGACCCTTGCAGTAAGTGCGAGGCTGACAGTGTCCTTCCTAGGCTCTCTGCCCTTCCTGTCCCACTACCCCGAGATCACGCTCCACAAGTGGGCCAAGAAGTTCGGCCCGCTCTACTCCATGTGGCTCGGTAACCAGCTCTTTGTCGTCGTCTCCGACCCGCAGGTCGTCAAGGACCTCGTCATCACCAACGGCGCCGTCTTCTCGTCTCGCAAGGAGATGTACATGAAGTCGGGCATCATCTTCGTCCGCCGCGGTATCACCGCCACTCCCTACGATGACACTTGGTGTGTAGCACTTTACCCTTTGTACTTGGATTGTACTCACGGGACTCTGCAGGAGGAAGCACCGCCGTCTGGCAGCTCAGTTCTTGAGCAACAAGGCCGTCGGCAACTACGTGTCCGGTCTTGAGCTCGAGGTCCGCGAGATGTTGAAGAACCTGTACACCAAGGGCTCGGCCGGCGCCGTTCCCATCAACCCCCAGCCACACGCCGGCCGTACCTCTCTCAACAACATCTTGACCATTGCCTTTGGTACTCGTACTGACACCATTGACCACCCTCTTGTCGGCCACTGGCTCAAGCACTCTCGTGAGTTCATGTAAGCTTCTGTTATCATCTCTCGCTTTTGGCGTTTCTCACTCTGTATGCAGGAACTGCACTGGTCCAGTCTCCAACTGGGTCGACTTCGTCCCCCTCCTGCGCAACTTCCCCAACGCGACGATGATCAACCGTGGCAAGAGGCTCCACCAGGGTCTCGTCGACACCTGCAGCGGCCTCATCAACGACATCGACCGCCGCATGAAGGCCGGCGAAGAGGTTCCCGACTGCATGGCCAAGTTCTTGCTCAGCCTGAAGGAGCAGGAGCAGCTCGACGACCTCGACATTGTCTTCATCTGCTGCGCGTTCATGATCGGTGGTGTCGAGACCACAGCTGCCATCAAGCAGTGGTTCGCTGCGCACATCCCGGCCTTCCCGCTCATGCAGGCCCGTGCTCAGATGGAGCTCGACCGCGTCGTCGGCCGTGACCGTCTGCCGCTTCCCGAGGATGAGAAGAACCTGCCTTACGTCCGTGCTATCATCAAGGTACGCTTCTGACTGCATTTCTCTGGTGGATGCATCCACTGATCCCTCGAGCAGGAGATCGAGCGTGTCCACAACCCCTTCTGGCTCGGCACCCCTCATTTGAGCACCGAGGACTTCAACTACCGCGGCCACGTGATCCCCAAGAACACCGTTGTCATCATCAACGCTGTATGTTCATCTCTCTGCTCACATTCTATTCTCAGCTCATAGTTGCGCGCAGTACAGCATGCATATGGACCCCCAGCGCCACCCCGAGCCCGAGAAGTTCAACGTAAGTCATTTCATTTACTGCTGCATGGTATCCACCTGACTAGCGTCCATCAGCCCGACCGCTACGTCAACGACCACTACTCCAACACCGAGTCCGCCAACCTTGCCGACCCCTACCAGCGCGACCACTGGATGTTCGGTGCTGGGTACGCGCACTTCGATACCCGCGCCTCTGCGCCAGACTAACCACTATCTCTTCCCCTAGTCGCCGCATCTGCCCGGGTATCCCGCTCGCCGAGCAGGAGATCTTCCTCGCCGTCGCCGGCCTCCTCTGGGCCTTTAACATGCAGCAGCTGCCCGAGGAGCCCATCGATCTCACGGAGTACGACGGTCTCTCCGGCCGCTCGCCCGTGCCCTTCCGCATCAAGATGACCCCCCGCCACGCCAAGGTCCCCGAGGTCCTCGGCCTCACCACCAAGGCCTAAAGCGTCTGTACAACAAACTTTGCGTAAACTAGTGCTAGTACTGTAGTCTAGATCTGTAGACGGCGCCGTTCCTTAAATTCTTCTAAGTCTCCTGTAAGATTACTAGCTACACCTTAATAGCAAATTGTAATGTTTGCCTTGAACAATCTGTGAGCCTCACTGTGGCTCTTGACCCCAGACAGGCCCCGGTGTCAGACGAGGTTAGGTGCCGCCAATAGCGTATTATGCTCGCTAGACTTCGTCGGGAAGCAAAGACCTCTGCACCTAATTAGTGTATACGAGTCAGTCTTGCGGAAATAACAGTCTACTTATTCGCGAATCATTAAACCCCTGCATTACAATAACATTACAGTATTATGTCACTAACAAACCAAGAGGAAACATTAGTTCATTTACGATGCCTGCCTACAACCTTGATGAAGGCAGTTTTGACCACGCTCGCAGCTTTCTCGCAGTCTTTCTTGCTGAGAGCAGACGTGGCGGCAAGTCTTATGCTCGGGCGCACTTCCGTCAGCTCCTGGCCCCGAAGACGCTTCGCACGAGTGACCATCACGCCCTGCGCCAGCACCTCGTCAACGATATCTTGCAGAATCCCATCCTCCAGGTCACAGTCGAAGATCTCGGGGTCTCGCGGGTGGGGCGACGAGGGATTGGAAAGTCTCCCTGATGCGGAACTCAATGCAGGTGACGCAAGAGCAGCGGAGGGCAACAGGTGCGTCGGTGATGGTAGGCGGACATACAAGTGAATCATCGGTGAAGCAGGGTGTGCAGGGATCGCAATGCAGTCTACCCTATCCAGTATCGAGCGGATAGCGCGGATATTCTCTTGCAGAGTGCTGAGGATAGACGGTGTGCTGCGCAGAATGTTGATCCCCTCCGAGGCAGCCACGCTGAGCAATGGCGGCATGGCGGCAGAGAACACAAATGAGGTGCCGTTGATACGCTAGACATATCCGTTAGCGATTGCATTATTAGTTCCACACACAGTAGCCTACCTGGTGATTGACAACGATGTGCGAACCAGCACAGAAACCACCACAAGCAGTCAAGCCATTCGCAAGGGAGCCGACAAGCATATCCACTTGTGACGCCTATCCTTCATTGAGCAAGTGATTCAGCTTGGTATGCTGCATTGCACGTACCGGAACGTTGTAGAGCTCAGTTAAGCCGCGTCCTGTCCTGCCGATACTGCCGAAAGAAACACTCTCGTCCAAAATAAGACGATACTTGTATTTCTGCTTGAGCTCAACCTTGACACAATGCGAAGTAAGACCTTGCGCCTCCATGATGGCAACTTGCTACTCACGAGTTTAGGCAAATCAGACATAGCCCCGTCGTGATCGAAGATACCCTCCGTGACGATGAAACGGCGCGTGAGCGGACCTTTCTTCTTACGTCTCTCCTTCTCCGTACTCTCCAGCACCTGTTCCAAGCTCTTCAAGTCGTTATGGTCATACCACCTAATAGTCGAACGAGAAATTTGTAAGCCTTTCTGGATAGCGAAGTTGACTCCACGGTCAGCGATGATGATGTCTCCACGTTTACAGAAGGCCGGGATAACGGAGGAGATGGTTGAAAAGGCTTGAGCGTAAATGATAGCGGCCTCGGTACCCAAGAAGTCCGCGATGTCTTTCTCCAATTGCATGTGAACGTCTGATGAGATCGTACTTCAGTATAGGCCTATGTGATAGACGAATGACGCAATGACCTTGAGTGCCATAGAAACCTGGAGGCCCACAACTTCCAAGACCATACTTCACTAGAGCGTCGATAGAGCGTTCTTTGATGGTCTCGTTACCAGCAAGACCAGTAAAGTTGTAACTGGCGAGATTCGTAACCGTCTTTCCGTTCGAGAGCTTAGGCTTGGGTCCGACTGGTCCAACAATTACCGGAGAGTTGTCGATCTCTGCCTGCTCCCGCTCATCAAGAGGTGCACCCAGAGGTTCTGGAGTCCATTCGTCAACCAGCTCGTCAACTTCCTGCGCGCAGTTCAGCCAGAGCTGTAGGACTAGGCCGCGACACCACTCACTTTCTCGTCAAATTTAATGAAGTGTTTCCCTGAGTTATCCGCACGTGTTCGTGACTGTAACAACGTCCGGATCGCGAAGAGGATTAGGATGACCTCGAGGAGAGTGCGGCCGGGATCGTTCTGATGTGAAGACCTGACATAACGAGCAACAACAGCAGAACCGGGTATCTTGGAGAAGGTCGTCTCAAGGGTAGTATAGGATTGAGAAAGGAGCGTGAACAAAGGCTCTAGGGCCGTCGTGGTCGTGTTCATTGTGCCACGACGAGATGGTGGTAGTCGGAGGCAAAGACTTCGAGGATTAATCGGCAATAATCCTCTGAGCGCTTTGCGCTGCCCCCACGGCACGGCATAGGCAATGTTCCCGACCTCAACGCCTTAACCTCAACGACAACTAAGCACGCGACGACGACGGCGAGTCTGAGCTGCGGCATTTCGTGGTGAACGATGGCGACAGCTTCGACACACAGAGCCGCGGCCTCCATCTCTCAGACTCGCCTCGCTCCCCCGACCCCGGATGGTAGGCCTAGGCGAATGACATCTCCCTCGCTGCCCCCGCCTGCACCGCTCGATCTCGTCAGTAGCAGCTGTATGTCAACCACAATAGTCCCTCTAATATTGATCTGTACAGCCAGAGCCAACGACTCACAGCCGCCACCGCCCTCCTTCGCCGCTGCGCAACGCGGTGACCGCTGATCCCGATACAGGCGACATCAGCGAGAGCGGTTCTGAACACAACTCGATTGAGTCCCGGGATCGCTTCCAATGGAGCGATGGGGTCAACGCCCCGTCTCCTTCTGTTGCTCAGTTTGCGGCGAACTTTGCCCAGAGGGTCGGCTCGCTCATGAGTAACAAGTCGAGCACGCATTTACCCACGGACGAAGAGCTCCTGGCAGAGGCCGAACGCGAACGCGAACGAAGCAGGCGGGAGGCTGAGCGCATTATCACCCGTGAGGCTGAGTCGAAACGTCTGGAAGAACGGGTGCTGGCCATGCTAGACGGCGACATGCGAAAGCTGCCACCTCCAGTGACGCCGACAATGTCGTCCACGCCCCCATCGCCCTCAGGATCCAACAAGGAAGGCACGAGCTGGCTATCGGCCTTCAAGAACAAGCTGACTCCGACGAAGGAGCCCCTCACTCCCGCGCAACAGATCATTCAAGAGACGAAAGCGCGAGAGAAAGAGATTGCAAAGGAAGAGAAGAAGATGGGGAAGGAGAAGAAGGAGATAGAGAAAGAGATGAAGAAGGTTGTCAAGAAGCAGAGTCAGCAAAGAAGCGGCGACTGGCCATCGTCGCCCGAGGGAAAGTTCAATGATCCTGTGTTCATGAATCTCCACGCGCCTGGTCAATCATCGCAGCCTCCAGCTCGTCAGACGACTGGCTCGCCTATCTCAACGCCAGCTCGCCAAATCAGCTTGCCACCCAGTCTCGCACCCTCCCCTTTGCGTAACAACGATGGCCGCTCGACGTCTCCTGGACGCAGTGGTCCCCCGCTCTACGCTCAATTCACTCCGGAAGGATCTTTGGATATACCCTCTACTTTGCTCACAGTTGCCACTCGCTTCGAGAAACTGGAACGATGGACTGTCGGGCACGTCCGTGCCCTTGAAGAGCGCATGGATGATGTCGAGCGCTGGCTCGTGGATAAGGAGAGGGAGAAAGAGAAGGATAAAGAGTCCCAGGAGCAGTCCAATGGCACTGCCGTTCAAACCCACCGGACGGGAGAACCGGCCACTCTGGAAGCGGCAATTGGTGAGCTTCGAGATGAGCTCGCTGAGGTCCAAGGCCGTATCGGGGAGCTCGGTCGAGAGATGGCTAAGATGGTCACCGCTCCGGGCAACCTTTCTTCAGGCCCGTCTCGTGGCTCTGCCTCCATTGGCAGGTCGCCGTCTGCAAGCTCTTCAATTGCGTTGCGTTCGATGTCAACCTCGGTTTCTACCGCGCCACGGACCTCCACATCTCCGACGTCTGCCAAAGAGCCCAGCACGTCACCTATCGCAACTCCCAGTACCTCATCAAGAACTCGCTTGCCATACCCTACCGGCGATTATGCTACTCCTCCTGACAGTGTGCATATTACGCAGGGCGCATTCTCTCCACCTGCTTCGCCTCCTGACTCTGGTGCTGGTCGTCGGGTCTCCGTCTCGGGGCTCCCGTCTACTGGCTCAGACTACTTTGCTTCCAGTAGCAGCCCTTCTTCCGGACTTCCTACTCGCGCTCTTAGCCCGCCTCCGCTTCCCCCACCGCCTGCTCAGGCTGAATTGCGCCGTTCGAGCGTGAGCCCTACCCCGAGAAAGCGCTACACTGTCGCTCTGGGCGACTCCATCATGTCTGCTTCAGATCGCGGACGTAGCAGCTCTCGGGGCCCGTCTACCATCCGTCTGTCAAGCTCACCCGCGTCAATGTCCACCTTAGCCGATACTACCGAAGACTCGGACGACGCGGACGACGTGAACGACGAGACAATTGGTAAGACTGCCGCGCGACGCTCTGGTCTCACGAGAGCCAGGTTCGACGGCAATGACAGCGACCGTTCCTCGCAGCCGTCGCCTTCTCCCGCGCCATTGCGTCAAGGCCGTGCGCGCCCCGTGTCGATGTACAGCACGCCCGTCTCTTCGTTGCAGAACCTCATTGCACCGACAGCCGTGCGCCCGCTGAATATGCGTTCGCGCTCACGTTCACGTTCAATGGACAAATCCGCGATCGAGGCGTCCACGAGCAGCGTCAGCGTCCCGCAAACGCCGTCGTCCGCCCGCTTCGTCGATCCGCTGATCGTGCGCCGGCAGACGAGGGAGATCGAGGCAAGCCAGGCGCCGCCTGCACCCAAGGTCATGCCCGGCAAGTCCAAGGTGCCTATCGGGCAACTCGTCGCGTTCTTCGACCAGGAGAAACGGTAGTGCATTATGTTCTGTGAATTACCTTGGTATGCTTCTACTCTTACACGCTCTCGCACGCTTCGCTTTTCGTCCCGCAATACCCTCTCTTCGAATTCGCAGCTGTGGAGGTATTCACGCTTGGCTGGGGCACCATATTCTCATTTTCTGAGCTGGATTGTATTTACGATCGTTGCACGACCCTGTGTACGACCCCGTTTATGACCACATGCAAAACTCCGTTTGCCATCCCTGGAGGAACTGCATTCGGGACTCCATGAACATGAACAGCCCCGTTTGGCACTCCTTGAGCAGCCGCATTGGGAAATCTGGGGTCGTTCATTGTCGTTGCATACTGCATTCTGGTCGCATTCAGAACCTGTCGCCACCGCTGCAGCGATTCCCGAGTATCATGAGGATTCACTGTTCAGACGAGATGAGCAGTCTTATCGAAGATTCTCGCCACGATGCACACACCGTCTATCCATTCTCTGAACACCACTTGCCCTGTCAACGGAGGGACAATTCCGCCGCTGGCTTGCATCTCGCGTGCCAGCTGCGCAATGTCCCAGCATGCGTTCAGGACCCTCTTCATGGATCTATCATGCACGCCCATTGCGGTGAGGTTCCAATGTGCCCACCAGATCTTGCGTATGAATCCGCGAATTTCGGGGGGCTGGTGGGCCATCGCGAGCGCGCCCGCAGCGCTCCCGATCCACTCGTTATGCCCGAACATCTCGTGCCAGAGCCGGATCTTCTGGTACTTGTTCGCGCTGTCGGGGATCATACCTGGCGGTGGCGCGTGCAGGCGCGGGAGGAAGTTCTTGAACAGCACGAGCGGGTTTCCGTGGTACATGAAGTGCAGCAGTGGCTCGAACGTCGCGAGGTCCGGCACGCGCACAGGCACCGGTCGCAGGCCCAGCGCCGTTGCGGTAATCGTGATCGCGGGCGACAGCGACTCGGCGGGGATGTCCTGCTCGCCGACGACACCCGCGACATGGCGCTCTGCTGCGGGCCACCGAATGCGCGTGCAATACGCTGCGAGGACGACGTGGTGTACGGGCATGATGAGCATTTTGCGCGGCTCGCCCCAACACCGCCCGACGGAGACCGAGCGCGGCTGATACACGCACAGCAGATGCGACGGCGTCGATGAGAGCGCGAGATCATCCATGACGACCTCGAGGAGCCGCGGTAGGGCCTTCTGTGGCGGCTCGCACCTGATCGTCGCAATGGGCCCCCAGAATCTAAAAAGACATGTTTTTCGGTCCGATGGTTTGGAGTTCGATCGCCACATACCTCATGTCGACATAGGATGTCTGCAGTGCGCTCCTGTACGCCGCAAGATTTCGTGCCTTGACGTTAGGATATACTGAGACTATCGACTCTAGACTGGGCTCCGCGTTACAGGGCCAGTCAAGACAGCAAGGATCAGTTGCGTGCTCTGCCCAGTACCCCTGCGCATCGTCTAGCGTAAATCGTTGTCCAACCTGGACTTCGTGCGGTCGGAAGGAGGTAATGGCATCCTGATCAGACAAGACGCCCCATATCCGCCGCCGCCTCTTCTTTCTCTGTATCTGTACGCGCGAGTACTCGACAGCCTTTTCGGCGCAGCATAGGTCAACTGCCCGTAATTTCGGGGGTGGTTGTCGACCAAGGGTCAATGGCATGGTGGTGGTCAGCGAGAAGGATAAGTCACGCGAGTGGCACATCTTGCATCGCAGGATGAGATATAAATTTTAAGGTCAATGAATCATTGAAAGTACATTGTGTTGTGCATGGTCCTTTCTTTGTACGTGGGCGTTTCGTAGAAACAAGCCGGCAGGAAGTTGATTACTCAACGGTTGAATGGGTTTCCACGCTCACACAGCTAACTATTAAGAGAACAGGGTCTCAAGGGCCTCATAGTTAATAGCAAGTGTGCGATTATTCTCGCGATGTGGTTGGAGGAGTATACCAGACATGCTAACGCGCCGGCGAGACAAAGGAGAGGGCTCGGCAAGCGCACGGAACTTGCGGAGCAGGTTGCAGACAACTTTAACAGAGTCGCGTCCTTTCTTGAGGAGGCACTCTCAGACTGATGTATGCTTATTGATACACAGCTCCCAAAATTGATATTAGGCGAACCTTCGTACTCCAGTAGCGGCATGCAAGGCAGAATCCGTCAGACAGGAGAACTTATGCGGGCAGGATGATGAGGCTGCCGAAACGTTGCCACAACGTAGAAGATTGGTTGATGCATCGTGAGCAGATAGTACAGTAGTAGGGTACGCTTAAGATACGACAGTGGAGTACGACTCGGAACGGAAACATCCGATGTGCCTGCTACGGCACTTAGACTCAAGTCTGATACGATATGATTGAGTCGACTGGGGAAGGTTGGGGAGCGACCCGCAGGCGAGTCTCAGCTTCTGTCTCACATAAGCGTTTGAGCACAGAAACATCTTATCTAGGTGAGCATGTGCTTCTTCAATTCCGACTCATCACTGTATTATTGTGAGTTCCGGGTGTGTCTCCTGACCGCATTTGTTAAATGAGATGTGCTAGGATTCCGACTTAAAACGACGTTTGTCTGAAACTGATTTGTGCGTCTTGTAACTTGTCTCGAGCTCTCATTTTAATCGACCCTAAGTGAAATTCGGACATAAGAGACAGCCTGAAGAGAACCGCGATAGAGCCATCTCCTACCCGCCCCAATGGCCAGCGCACAAACAGAATATGGTGTCGTCTACACCCCCTCGTCCGTTGTATCGGCCGTCGAACAGCAGAAGCCGCCTCTGAGCGACGCCGTGCTCGAACAGCTTGGCGTGCGCCACATCCGCGTCACCTGGTGTGACTGGATAAACACCATCCGGTACCACGTTCTCACGCGCTCGTACTTCTGTAAGCTCCTTCGCTCGCCGCGCCCAGGAATCACAGCCCCCTCCGCTGCGTTTGGTATCGTATTACTCCACGTCTGCGATGGCTTCGACTTGACTGGAGATTGTCTCATCGTGCTCGACGAGAGCAGCTTCCGCCTGTGTCCTTATTCGCCCGGACATGCCACTATCATGGGCTTCTTCCAGAATTTGGTCCCTAGTCCAGAGTATGGACTCGAGATACTGTGGGATCCACGCACGCAGCTGGCAAGAGTAGAGAGACTTGCGAAGGAGGCAGCAGGCGTGTCGTACCTGGCCGGATTCGAGCACGAGTTTATCCTCCTCAAATCGACCTCTCCGCCAGTCGGCATCAACAGCGCAGACTATGGCGTTTCGCAGAAGCTCCCTGCGGGGTCAGTCGAAGCCAAAGTGCTGGAGGAGATCGTCGACTCGCTGCAAGAGGCAGGCATCGAGGTGCAGCAGCACCATGGAGAAGCCGCCCCGGGCCAGGTGAGCGCGATTCTTCGATGTTGCCATATGAGACTGATGTGTCTTCAGTACGAAGTGATCACTGGCCCTCTGCCGCCGTTGCAAGCAGCAGACGCGTGTGTTGTCACGCGTGAGACGATCTTCAATGTCGCAGCGAAACACGGCTTGCGCGCAACCTTCGCGCCCAGAATATCCGCGTACACCGGTACGCCGCTCTTCTCCGTCCGAGAAACGTGAATACTGATGCACGACCCCAGCCGGCACTGGCGCGCACATCCACCTGTCTGTGCACGACCTTGGGACGCACCCGGACCCGGCGGGCGCGCGGGGCGACGAGCACCTCGCGCCGACACTAATCACAAAGGAGCGCTCCTTCCTTCAAGGCATCGTGCGGCATATCCCGGCGCTCTGCGCGCTCACGCTGCCGACCAAGTTCTCGTACGAGCGCGTCGTGGATGGCATCTGGGCCGGCGGCACGTACGCCTCGTGGGGCGCGTACAACCGCGAGGCCCCCGTACGCTTGTGCGGTTACCGCGGTAACCATCGCATGGAGGCGCGGTTCGTTGACGGCACCGCATGCCCGCACCTCGTGCTCGCCGGGATCTTCGGGGCAGGCACGAAGGCCATCATAGACCGCGAGCACCTCAAGACGGGCGACTGTACCAAGCCGGTTGCCACCATGTCTGACGAAGAGCGGGCTGCGGCGGGTGTGTCGAATGCTCCCAGACTGGGCCCGACCTTGCAAGACTCTCGGAACGCGTTTAAGAGCAGTCCTGTCATGCGCGAACTCTTCGGCGACGACTTTGTCGACAAGTATAGTGTCGTCAACCAGGTAAGTACCTAAGCCCCATCGCTTGTAGGTGTTGCTAAATTGTCTTCGCAGACACTTGAAGAGTTGTTCGTGGCCGACACCGAGGAGGAGACTGTCACGAAGCTGGTCAGTTATTACTAGATGGTGCGGAACTTGGTGAGACACGCATATGGGACACGCGGAGCAGGTTGCAGACAACAAAACCGCGTCCTTTCTTGAGTAGATGCTCTCAGACTAATGTATATCGATACGCGACTCTCAAAATTGATATCGGACACTACTACTAGTATCGGAGGTCTGATGTAGGACCTGGAAAGTAAGGGAGCAGTTACGGGGCCGTGGGACTGCTTTCCGACTACGGGATGACGATCGCAGACGCCACATGACATGCTCTTCTGAACCAATACTCATCGTGAATATTGAGCACGCTGACGTCGCTGAGGCGAACCTCCGCACTAGTAGTGGCGGCATACAAAACAAACCTGGTCAGACTTGTGCGGACAGGATGGTGCCAGGACTGCCGAAACGCCGCCACGACTGCTGATGCATCATGAGCAAGCGGGTGGCAATTCGGAAAGTGCCCGAATCAACTACCCAAAAGTGAGACCGAGACCCCGAAACCAGTTTGGGATATTGGGATACTCTGAACAGGCGCGCGCTTGCCGCGCTTCACCCACGTCTGCTCGTGAATCGTCCATCTACACTATGTACTCGTTCTATACACTACTGTTTCTTGCTTCTCTTGGCCTGTGGCATCTCCAAAGCTCCTGCTGACTTCAAACCCAGTCTTTTCTGCCCAGCTCTGGGCCTAGAACCTCTCGAGACTGCCTTCCCCTTCCCTCCGGCTCGTGTGCCCCCATCGTCAGAGTCCGGTTCAATGTCTGAAGTGTTAGGTATGTCTGTAGCCTGCCTCCAGTTTGTCACAAGATCAGACGGAACGCCTAACCGAGTCAGCTCCAGCCTTGAGATGTGCTTGTCAAGTTGCGCTGATGAAGACAGCTTGTGACCAAGGTGGTGCGACGGCCCGGGCAGGTTCTGCTCAGTCTCGTTCGGCTGTCGGTCTGGGGCTGCGAACGCTGCGCTGTGCTCATTGGAGATGTGGGTATCAATGTTGTACTTCCAGTATGCTGGGATGAGGCCGGTCTTTGGGTTGGGAGGACATAACGGGCAGTGAAGAGGTACGTTTGTGCACGGCGTTGTCGCAGATGACGATTTGGCTGAGCCCATATTGAAGTCGTAGTGGTACTTGCAGTTTGACCGCATCTCTGTCTTCTTGCCATGATGCACCAACGCAATTGAGCAGCCGTCCATCCCACAGAATCCACACGGTGCAACCGACCCAACCTGCAACAACTATTAGCGCATAGAGTATGATCTATAAGGTGTGTCGTACCCTTTGCCTCATGTTGTTGTTGGTAAGATTAAACTTGTGCCGCAGGATATGAAACCCGGCATGGTTGCGAAGGTTCTTTAATGCGACCTTAGCCGAGCACTGTAAGCACTCAATCTTATCGTCTTTATCGAGCTTCTTCACACGGACGTCATCTGGGATTGCATGGTCTAGGGTAAAGCATGGCTCGCCTACATGTCATGTAAGTATTTCCCTGCAGACATAGTCCTGATGCTGTGACTCACCGCGCATATTCTGATAGGGAAACGATGCATCCTCGGAGACGCCTGGTATGTGCTCTAAGATATCGGATACGCTCTCCGAGTAACCCTGAGCATTATCCCATAGGTTGGACGTCATCTGTGCCAGCACTGCATCCAAGAACTGCCAGGTCGATGCTGGCGGCATCGCTTCAATGACAAATGGCATTAACGCTAGTTGTGCGAAAGGCTGGCGAAGCTCCTCGGGTATTGCGATCACGTTCGGTGACAGAGGAAGGAATAGCCAACCTGGAACAGTGACAACAAAGTGTGATGTTTGCATTGCAGGTGCAGCCTTGTTGGTGGCCGCTGCGGCCATACTATTTTCGGCTGTGCCTGCTGTGGACTTTGGGAGCTGAAGGCGAACGAAGGACGTTGACCAGAGCCAGCTGGGATGTGCGTGACCATCGCTATGGATATCGATAGCATCGGTGAGCTTGGAACTAGGGACAAGATGAAGAACCTGTGCATTGACGAGAATATTCTGCTCTAGATCGCCTAACGCTTCGGCCGGTAGCTGGTTGGTTCGCTGCCCCTGGTCTGAGAGAGATTTAATCTGTACGACGGCAAGGCTGATGGTGATGCCGCTGCGGAGCAGGGTGACCCCCACATCGCGCACGGAGACCATGGAGTCTGTCGGATCGGTCACGTCTGTGCTGACGGCCTGGAAGTTGGACTTGCGTAGGCGATCTCGAGGAATACCGGCTGCACGAAGCTGGCGCTCGAGAGACTTTCTTGCGTATCGAGGTGTGAGAGCACAGCGCACAATTGAATGCTTGTTGTAGCTTTCGCGCTGACCATTGGCATGCTCGACGTCCAAGTAAAGAGGCTGATTGGCAGTGTGAGATGATGCGAAGTCGTGAGGATGGGCCTCCGCAAGCAATAGATCCTCGAGATCAATCTCCAAGGCTTCATTGTGCTCATCGTCAGGGTCTAGGGTGCTGCCCGTGTCATCGTCAGAGGCATTTGGAAGGGTGAGCTCGCTGAGTGCCGTCTCCTTGATTGACCTGTCCGCATCCTTCTCTGATACACCGACTACCTTTCCATCTCCAAGTGGGCAGAGCAGATCAAAGCCTGGTGCAGCAAAGACGTCATCTCCGTCTGTGAATCCGAACTTCTTCAGGATGTCCACAGCCTGGCTGTAACCATGTGCCCAGTCCCACTGGAGAGAAACTGACCCAGCAGTTACGTCGCCTGTCCATGACGCAGGGTTGATGTGATCTGGGCCGTCATTCTCAAAGAACTTCAAGCGACGATGTCCACGGTTCCAGGAAGGGTGCTTCAGATTGAGGTTGCTGATCATGCAGCCTGTTCCAAGCTTTCGAGTGAGGCTCAATGTGTCAACATTGCTCGCATGGTCCTGCGTTCGAACATCTGCAAACGCAACCTCTAGGCGATCCTGGCCAAGCTGAATGATGTAGAACGGGGCCGTGTCTTCAAGGAGCTGTTGTTTGGCAATGTTAAACGTGAGCGACTTGATCACATGTTGAGTGTCATGGTACAATTGACTGGTCATGAACGCCGTGCGGTACTTGCGATAGAGGTAGAACGCGAGGTGGGCATATACTATGAGTTGTCGGAACTGATCACGCAGAGACATTGATATGGTGATGAATGGTGTAAGAAGTGTGTTGTAAACCTCGGCAAGGAGTGAGAGAGCCCGGTGCTCTTTCTCTTCATCAGGCCGGTAGCGTGAAGCTGAGCTTTCAGGCTGGAGGTTAATATGCTTAATAGCGATGACACTTCGAAGTAGCTGAACGGCACGTGGGACGTTCTGGGGGTCGTTCGGATCCAAAAGGCCAACGATCTTCTCAGAGGACATTCCTTGCTTGGCGAGATGGCCGGCAAGAACATCTCTATTAATAACAGTATCAAGGACAAGAATGCCGTCTTTATGGCAGAGCAGAGTGTTGAAGCCTACGGACGTACAGATAAATTGCATCAGTCATGGTGCTTAACCAAAGACAAGTTAGACGTACGTTTGAAGATATGCTTGGGATCTGCATCTGCAGTTACATCATACGGGCCTACTTGCAAGTTAAGTCCTCGAAGCCAGACCAGCTTGGCGTGCAAAGGAGTCCCACGCTCGAGTGTCTTTGATGTTAGTGCGCGAAACTTTGCTGTCCTGAACTTCGCATCGCCATCTGTTCCTACGCTCCAACACGGACCATGACGACGTTCACCATCTTCACTTTCATGCCAGGTACGCAAAATCATAAGAATGTGCTCTGCAAGTTCCTCCGCTGTTTCTGCTTTGCATGTCGGAGATACCATGATGGGAATGATGGTGTAGTGGTCCTTTCGAAAGGGAGCCATAGCAGCGACAGTGGCTTCTGACCCGTAGTGACAGCAGGGGCTGTCTCCGTGTAGCGCAGCTGCGATTGCTTTGACAGCTTCAACACTGAGCACCCGGAGGTCCAGCATGTGAGAGTGCTCTCGACACAAGCCAAGAACCTGATTGGATGTTGCATCGTACCTTGCCTTCGACTCCTGTGCAATGCCATCAATCACCAGCGTATGACCAGACCGAGGAAGAGGCTCCGGCACTGCAAGTGGGCCGCAGAATGAGGTGATGTTTGCACCAATCTCTGCAGTGGTAGGCTGGGAAACACTGGGACGCAGCTCAGGAACTTGCATGTGCTTGCGGATTGTACGAGCGGAGGGCAATCCGGCCAAAGAATGGTTGAGCATGAACAATAGACGAGGGCCACCTAATGCCTTTGCAAGGTACGCCATCTCTGCATCGTGTGTAGTATAGCCTCGAGGCTTATAGAGGCCATCTGCAGCATCACGCATCTTGTCGAGGATTGTGTGCGCGCTGGCGCCTCGCTTCAAGCCCTGGGCAACGAGCTGCTTCAGACGAGCAATGTCAAAGGTGCCGACAGCCATTGTGAAGCGCTTGTAGTCGTTCAACCGCCGTACATGAGTAGTCTTGGTGCGGTGAGTTTGAAAGACCTAATAATGATCAGCTAAGAGAACGCGAGTTGCACGAGTAGATATACCTTTGAGCGCAGTCTCTTGATCTCTTGATTGGCTGCTCGCAGGTTTCCGGCCAGTTGAATATGGTTGTAGTAGTGATAGGGAGTATGCTTCGAGATGAAGACGGCACGGTCCCGAATTCCCCGCAAGTGTGAAGATTGTATAATCTGACAACACGCTGCACAGGGACGGCCCATCATTGTATGTTCATGGTCGCACTGGTTTGCACGCATCACAATATAACGGCCAGTGGGGTTAATAGCCTGTGGAAAGAAGCCAAGATCGTCCAAGCGGTGAACAGCAAAAGGGTACGTCTCAAACATGTTTCCTGGAATGTCCCAATCAATTTGCTGACCAGGACAGCTACTTGTGGCTGTAGGCGAAAGGCGAAGCTCAACGTGAGCATGAGAATCCAAGGCATGTACAGCAGCGCTCTCATTGGTAGTCAGAGCTGTGTCGCCAACCACGGAGCCGCTGTCAGATTCGCTATCTGCGAGGCCAAAGAAATGATATCGGTGAACGGGAATGTCTGGCTGAGGTGAGCTTGCTTCATGCCCTGCGGATACTATGTACTGTAGAGCAGATGCTGACGGTCGTATGCCAGCAAAGGGATGCGGCGACGAAAGGATTGCAACCGGGTCAGCGTCACCATAGAGCTCGTCAGACGAGTCGCTGTCTTCAGCGACAGTCCAGAACGGTGTGTGTGCTGCTATATGCTGAATAGAGGGAGCAATGGATGCCGTGGATGCTGTGGCTGTTGAAGACGATCCTTGGAGTGTTGATTTGTCTGCCAAAGAGGTGTCCTGTGTCGTGGAGGCTTGTGCAGCCGCAGCGGTCGTAGGTCGTGCTAATCCCTTCCGCTTCTGCACTCGCTGACAGGCCTTGGATCCTCTGTGCAGCAGCAAAGTATATGTCGACTCTTTTGCTCGACCCAAACCGATCCACTCTTCGCAATCTGCACACCATGCCTCTCGCCGTCCACTCTCTGACGTTCTGACCGGAGGAATGAACTCTTCATCCGCAGACAAGTTGTCTCCATCAACGCGAACATAACCGATGATTTCTTCAGTTGCATTTGGAGAGATAAGTGATGCGTGTTGTGCTTCTTCATCGAAGCTTTCTTTGTCTGATGCCTCTTCAGTCGCAGCTTCGGATGAATGAGTAGGGGATATGTTGGTCTCGTCCTCGGAGGAATCAAGTTCTCGGGCGTTGCGAACAGCTTTGGAGCCCAAAGGTGAAGAGAGGGGGTTGTATTCTTCATCGTAGTAGTCCATCGTGTGCAAGATGAGGGCACAGAGCAAGTGGCCCCTGTGCAGACCTCTGCCGGAACTGGTTTCCGCATGCTTACTTGTTCATACATTAATATTATGGTGAGAATAGAGATACATTTTACAATGCATAAGACAGGATGATATCAACATATTACTCTAGGGCACATAGGGACGCCAATGCCTTCAACGAAACCTGTTGAAGTGACTAGCCTTTTGGTTGTCGGATGCGGCTGATGCATTAGGCGCCCGTTGAGCGTATCCCAATATCCCCCTTCGCCGTTGTTACTTACGCTATGAGCCCAACTGCGCTCCCTGCTCTTAGATTTTTCTGCGGTGTACTATAGAACATCTTGGCTACATACATATGTCTTTATTATAGTATTCGGAGGGGCAAAGCAAAAAGTGAGGCAAAAAGTGAATTTGGACCCCGAATACCGCTCAGGCGTATGGGATATGGGGGTAGTCGATTTGTGGGCGCCAACATTCTCCCACCCGCTTGATCATGAGTGACCTTCAATAGCTTCAATCCTTGTCGGATTACCAGACCGATCCGGCGCTTTTCAGGCGCTTCAAACGGCCGCCCCCGAAGACGCCAGACTGGAAGAGCGGGAGCCTCAATAATTGGGCCGGAGGCCTATCCGGAATCCGGACGTTTTTTTAGCCAAATTTTGGGCCCTATGCCAGATTTTGTCCGAATTTTTTGACCCAAACCCTCGCCGAGGCTGGGTGAGAGGTCCGGACGTCGAACCTTCGACGACGGCGGGCCTGATTTTTATCCGAACGTCAGCGGGGCAGGCGCCTGGCCGACCGACTACATGGTATCAACCTATGTCGGCCCGCCCGACACTCAAAGGGCAACGCTGAGATAAGATCGACGGACAGCGTGTTTAGATGTTTCAGTATTGCTTTTCTTACTTTGATCAGAGATGTAAACGTGTTTGAAACCGCAACTAATGGTTAGCTCGTTACGCGAGTGAAATTTGCGTCAGTTAACATTGCCGCCCTCGCACTCAGCACGACTGACACTATGCAAGCCATTGGCTGGTCTGGCAGTGACTGGAAAGGAAGAAAATATCCCACTGTTAGTATACCGCCAATAATCCTTGCCGCCAGGCAAGCTGCTCTTGCCATACCCGCTGCCTATGCACACCTTCTCCCTGGTCCTCTCACTGTAGCAGCCCTGCTTGAAGGCAATTTCCCTTCTACGGTCCCGATCAGTAGTCACACCAATATATTACTGTCTATATCATTGTTACTAGTAACCAACACTGTCTTTCGCTAGGTGCGAAGGAGGAAATGCAGGTTTGAAAGCTTGTCGGGCGAGCTTGGGGGTGGACGAAATTTTGCTAGGCTTACCCCTGATTTTTTCCGAATATTTATGACCCAAAATTGCCCCTCCTGTCCGGGCGTTTTCGTTTTTGGCAAAATTTTGGAGGACAGGAATCTGACCCAATTATCGGGGGCCCTGAGCAGCTCTGTTGTCATCGCGCTTAAATTCGATTCAGTATGATTATTGAGACGGCGGCTGTCTGACATATTATAAGCGTCTGAGCACAGCACAGAAGTATCTTGGCATGCGCTCCCGACGCCTTCATTGAATGAGTATGTGCTAAGACCTCAAGGCCTCAGGCCTCAGGCCCTAGGCCTCAAGCTTCAAGCTTCAACTCAAGACGGCATTTGTCTGAAACTGATTTGTACGTCTTGTATCTTGCCTCAAGCTCTCATCGACCCTGAGTGAAAGTCGGACATAAGAGACAGCCTGAAGAGAGCTACGGTAGAGCCATCTCCCACCCGCCACAATGGCCAGCGCACAAACAGAATATGGTGTCGTCTACACCCCCTCGTCCGTTGTATCGGCCGTCGAACAGCAGAAGCCGCCTCTGAGCGACGCCGTGCTCGAACAGCTTGGCGTGCGCTACATCCGCCTCATCTGGTGTGACTGGACAAACACCATCCGGTACCACGTCCTCGCGCGCTCGTACTTCTGCAAGCTCCTTCGCTCGCCGCGCCCGGGGATCACAGCTCCCTCCGCTGTGCTTGGTATCGTATTCCTCCACATCTGCAAGGGCTTTGACTTGACCGACGAGTCTCTCATCGTGCTCGACGAGAGCAGCTTCCGCCTGTGTCCTTATTCGCCCGGACATGCCACTATCATGGGCTTCTTCCAGAATTTGGTCCCTAGTCCAGAGTATGGACTCGAGATACTGTGGGATCCACGCACGCAGCTGGCAAGAGTAGAGAGACTTGCGAAGGAGGCAGCAGGCGTGTCGTACCTGGCCGGATTCGAGCACGAGTTTATCCTCCTCAAATCGACCTCTCCGCCAGTCGGCATCAACAGCGCAGACTATGGCGTTTCGCAGAAGCTCCCTGCGGGGTCAGTCGAAGCCAAAGTACTAGAGGAGATCGCCGACTCTCTGCAAGAGGCAGGCATCGAGCTGCAGAAGTACCATGGAGAAGCCGCCCCGGGCCAGGTAAGCGCGATTCTTCTGTGTCGCCATATGAGACTGATGTGTCTTCAGTACGAAGTGATCACTGGTCCTCTGCCGCCGTTGCAAGCAGCAGACGCGTGTATTGCCACGCGTGAGACGATCTTCAATGTCGCAGCGAAACATGGCCTTCGCGCGACCTTCGCGCCCAGAATATCCGCGTACACCGGTACGCCGCTCTTCTCCGTCCGAGAAACACGACCACTGATGCACGACCCTAGCCGGCACTGGCGCGCACATCCACCTGTCTGTGCACGACCTTGGGACGCACCCGGACCCGGCGGGCGCGCGGGGCGACGAGCACCTCGCGCCGACACTGGCCACGAAGGAGCGCTCCTTCCTTCAAGGCGTCGTGCGGCATATCCCGGCGCTCTGCGCGCTCACACTGCCGACCAAGTTCTCGTACGAGCGCGTCGCGGACGGTATCCTCGCTGGCGGCACGTATGCCTCGTGGGGCATACACAACCGCGAGGCCCCCGTACGCCTGTGCGGTTACCGCGGCAACCATCGCATGGAGGCGCGGTTCGTTGACGGCACCGCATGCCCGCACCTCATCCTCGCCGGGATCTTCGGGGCAGGCACGAAGGCCATCATAGACCGCGAGCACCTCAAGACGGGCGACTGTACCAAGCCGGTTGCCACCATGTCTGACGAAGAGCGGGCTGCGGCGGGTGTGTCGAATGCTCCCAGACTGGGCCCGACCTTGCAAGACTCTCGGAACGCGTTCAAGAGCAGTCCTGTCATGCGCGAGCTCTTCAGTGACGACTTTGTCGAAAAGTATAGCCTCGTCAACCAGGTAAATAGATATCCAAGAACCTTCGCTTGTGGGCACCCCTTAATTACCTTCGCAGACATTTGAAGAGATGTTCGTGGCCGACACTGAGGAGGAGACTGTCACGAAGCTGGTAAATTATTACTAGATGGTATGGGACTTCGCGTATCAGAACGAGCTCATCGTGCAGCTTGCACCATGAGTTGGATACGTACCTAGCAAACATTTCAATTTCAGATGTGATTTTCTTATCATGCAAAATTCTCATGACATTTGCAGTCCGTAGCAACGCCGTTAAATCAAGAAGAGAGTGTCCTCTTGATCGGAGACAGCATATGACACAGAAGACCCGACATTCGTCTCAAAGGCTCCTGCACAGCATCTTTCCTCGCGCCACCTGAGCTCTGCACAGCTCGACTTCTGTCGGGACCGCTGCGACGGCAGCGAGCAATATGCCCATCGAATCTGCGAAACCTATCGACCCGATCTTGAACTCATGCTCCTGCTTCGCGCGTTCGTGATTGCCATTGACGACCTGGGGGCGTTCTTGATTGAGCCGATAGAAGACGTTAACACTAGAATGCTGTTATTAGAGGCTTCCGATCCGATGAGCCGGGAGACGTACTAGGCAAGGCCACCACAGAGGCCTTCGATACTGATGAGGAAGAAGACCATAAAGAAGCTCAGGCCTTCAGATTCATCACCGAATATGCCCACGGCAGATTCAATAACCAATATCGTGAGTATTGCTGCCTGAACGAATGCAGGCAGGCTGAGCAGACGAGGAGGCAATGGTGGCAAACCAAGCGAGATGGACGACCGTGAGAGGAAGACCGTCGTTTGATATACGAGCTGCGGGCACGGTCAGCAAACTAATATTGACCTCATAAAGCTGCAGATATACCTGCCACAGAGGATAATAGTCGCGAATAGAGTGAATGATCTTGCTCAGAAGCCAGTAGCGGTCCGGGGATGGTACTGGGTATACTAGGGTAGGCGCCACACCCTGCTCGCATCCAAGCATCAGTGTTATTGATCACTGTCCGCCATTGATAGACTCGCCTGATTGATGGTATATTCCAGCTGCAATCTCACAGATGAGCATGCTGTCGAGATTCATGGTTCATTTACACTTACGAGGTATACACAGACTGGGCTGTGTCGTTAGCTGACATGTATTATCGATATGAGCTGGAAAGCTGCTTACACAAAGGAAACATGAACTTCATTAATAGCGGCTTGACGAGCGCCCATTTGTCACGAATAGATAAGGCCACTGCAGACTTGGTAATGATAGGCGTATCTTCATCATCTGTTGGAAGGGGAGTGTACTCCGCCGCAAGTGCAGTATCCTCCTCTTCGTCCAAAGGGGGCACGGGCAGCTCGGCAAATACTTCTGGCCGAGGCAGCAGCAGATAGTAAGCCAGTGGGATAACAAGTGGGAGAATCTACTATCGCTAAGGCTCGGTAAAATGTTGTATTCAATGTTTGATACTCACTGAAGAGATTCCGACTCCTGTTCGCACCCCAAAACCTCTGACAAACCACCAGAGCGATGCGCCGACAAGTCCGGCAGCACCGGTACCGGCTGAGAAGTACCTGACACAGGCCGAAGATTGTCATCCAAGTTATGATGGAGGTGTACAAGGACGTACCCTAAGCTATGGCCTGCCACACTTGGTGGGAGATACCTCGTTGATAGTTGCAAAAACGTCAGTTCTCCGAGCCCTAGGTTAGGATAATGAGTATGCCTCATAATAAACTTGCGGCCTGTCGGGGACCGCGCTCACCCGAGGAGAAAGACGCAAAACAAATGCCCAGAAGTCTCATCATGAGGCTGTCGAAGAGCGCGACAACCTGGGTAGTACATGTCAAGCCTTGAGCTACGGGGTAGAGTACGTCATACTCACCATCATACCACAGACACTGATGGCGCAGCATCCTATAAGTCGTTTGGCATAACGTATCCGTCCTTTGAGGACATAGGGCCAGCCAACTTTGGCGATGAGAGCGGGAAATATGTTGCAAAATGCGATGATTCCCTTGGGAGTGGAAGGAGGAACAAGGTCCAGTGCAGCAGACAGAATTACGATATAGAGGACTAGAGTCGACCATCAACACGTGGGTCGAGACACCGAGGCATAAAGGTGACGCACCGTTGTTGATAAGACCGAATATAAAGAACGAGCATCCAAGCTTAAAGAGCAATCTTCGGGCTGATGCTATTTTGCAGTTAGTAATAAGCGTGCAACTTCGATACTAGCGCGGTCCCAGGTCGCTCGCATGATGCCGGGTCCATGTACGAATGCGTCGTGTCTGCTGTAACTGCATACGCCATGTCCAGCCCTGCTCTTGGTGCGCGCGCAAATACTCACCCGGGATGGATCCGTCTGAAGCTATTTCGCGAAGCGGGGGGGCATTCATCTCGAAGATGGTGTTGCTTTCCAAAGTATCTTCTACGCTCGGGTAGTTGCCGCGCAGTCTTGCACTGCTTGCCGGAGGCGATAACGCGTGAAGTTCGACCGCTTCAGGGCTTGTTTGATTATTATATGGGAAGGTCTTGGACATTCAGCACATCAGCGACATTCGCAGATGCCTAACTGCGTTCAGGAAGTATGGCTATGTTGAAGTCGAGACAGAGGCGGTGAAGCCCTAGTCACGCCCGAGGCGGAAGCATCTGGGGACGTCCGTGATGCGTGACGTGACGACCAATATTATAGGCGTTTACGTGTGCTTGATGCGTCCCGTCGCTGTTGAGAGCGGCGGGGCAGACAGTAATCAGTATCCTTGTGGCTCCGAGTAAGCCAGCAATTCATGGGGAGTGAAGGTGTGTACATAAATACCTACTAGATTGGTTTTTCTGAATTCAGTGCAATTTCAGCCCAGAAGTAGTTTGGGTTTTGTCTCAGTATGGTCGACTCAAACGGCAACCATCTGAATTGTTGCCCGGTGTGTGGCAACGGGTAAGCAGGGAGGTGTGAAGAAGAATGATGTTATCGTCTGTTATCGTTGCCATTGCCAATGTCAGAGACAGCCCAGACGTGCCTCGTTGGCAGGTGCAGTGTGTGAAATGGATGCTTGGCGGATCTATGGTGCGCTGTGCGTCCGTTTGGTCTCTCTTCGTCTCTCTCCCTACCATCTTCTGTCTTCTACCTTCTCCGGTGCTGGCGTCGTGTTTCTTTTGCAGCTAGCCTGCAGTCCATTCCTTTGTTCTGGCAACGATTCTCTTCTTCCAGCTCGCTCAGGAAGGCTCTGGAACAGCTTCCACCTGGGCATGCACTATTAGGGATACATCTTGGTTGAACCGAGAGAGAGCGTAACAATTCATGGGCTCTATTTGTCTCTCGCTGGCACCAAACCTCCGCTGCCAGGAGCTGACCTTTCCGGAATCCATAAGCCTGATTGTACTGCCCGCACTGGAGGTCATATTCTGTGTTGGTCTTCTTGCCATAAAACGTGGGGCCGGCTTGAGGTGAGTAGTTGTTGAACCGTAGTGTCGCGGCGACATCTAATACCAAAGTATTAAACGCAGGAAAGAATACCTCCTATCCGCAGAAGGCCTTGTTTACTTTTTACTCGCATCAGTGGACTTGCTGTCGCACCATCTTCCTGCTATCACAGACTCGTTGAGCCGCTTCAAGGCTCTGGACGTTTTCATTGGTACGTTGTGATGCAAGGTCTGTATAAATAGTCCGCTGAGCTCTCATGACATCTTCCCAGGTATCTCGTCGACTGTTCCCCTCACATTCTACTTGTCTTTCCTGTTTCTCCTCAGCTCGAAGGATTTTGTGCCTATGCTGCCGCTGCGTGTTCAATTCATCACGAAGTATGCTCTTCTCTGCATGATCCCGATAATCCTTGTCTTCAACCTGCTTGGGTCATTCGCTACACTTACGTACCGTGCGTAAAAACGAATATGTCTGAAATGAACTGGTCATTGACGAGCATGCAGGTTTCGTCCACATCGCAAATTCTTCTATTATCGGCGTCAAGTACAACGACAGGACTCTCGAGTTGTTCTTCAACAGTTTCACCCTGGTCGTATTCGTAATTTTCCAGGCGATGAACTTTTGCGCATGCTTCTACCGCCTTATAAACGCAATGCTCGACCAGAGACGAATAGACGTAACGGTGAATGGAAACGACCATGAGCGCCACTTTTTCAACGGGATAGGCTGGATGGCGCTAGGCATCAAGCTCGGAGCGATCGAGAGTGTCATAGGATTTGCCTCTGGCGATTTCGGGCTCACTATCACTCGACGGGCCCTGCGATTTTTCGGGAGGGCATGTCTAATTATCGGTGTCATCAAAGGGTGAGTCTCAGCGAAGTGTTTCTAATGCTCGCTAAACTCGTTATGCTGCAGACTTGACGCAGTAGAAGACTTCCACTTCGTGAAGCAAATACCTGCTCCTCGTCAGATCCGGAGATCTGCTCTCATGGCCCTCATTTCTTCGCCCAACCCTGCTACGTTCCACCAGATCGGTGGACACGAGTACGAGCAGAGTATAGGACCACCGGCGGCCGTCAGCAGGTCGCACACCATCACCACACGCCCGTCCCTTCCTGTTTCTCCCGTAGTCTCGACTAGCCAGTCTACCGAAACGCCGAGACAGTCATTTCTTTTCGTAACCCAGGTATCTGCGCCGCCCAGCGGGCCCGCGACTCCGAGCCTGTCGCCGTACGCTACGGAGCTTGTACAGCCTCCCGCTCCGGCACTTACGCTGGATACGCGGAACCTTTCTCCGCGCAAATCTCAGCGCGTTGTCGTGCGCTATCGCCATGGCCGCGCTCCAACCTTGGACTTCAACCGCTTCTCCGACCTAGGTCTACCTGGCTCTGGAGTTCGCGAGCAGTATGAGGCTCTGGGGGAAGGAAGATCACCCGAGCTGAAATCATCGGCATTGCCTCCTACGGACCTCTCCGATCCGTTCGCGACGGCGGTCTCCCGCTCTGCATTAGACTTTGAGTACCCGCCGCCCGTTTACGGCCAGCCGCGCTCGCGCCACACCATCGGCGACCTCCGCAGCAAGCAGCACCGGCGCGAGGGGAAGCTCGTTCGAGATGCATCGCGCAAGAGCACACAAACGTACGTCGGCCGCGCAGAAACACTCGAAGTGCTCCACGCGCTAGCAATGGAGTATCCAGGCATGCAACCCGACGCCTTCTCCGCAGGCATCCCGCGCGACTCGATCGCGCCGTCGATTGCCGACTCTGCTACGTTCATCGAAGGCGGCATGTTGTCGCGTTCAACGAGCGAGCGCACGGTGAGTAGCGGCATGGGCCTCGTGAGGCGTGGCAGTTCTGTGAAGCGCAAGCCCGTGCCGAAGTATGAAGAGAGTGTGCTGGTTCCCGAGCCGGCAGTCATGGCTCCAGCCGAGAAAGTCGCGGACGAGGCAGCAGCGGTGTCTGAAACGGTGCCGACGCGAAGCCTGAGCCTTCCCAGCAACCCGAGGCCGAAAGGACGCCCTCGCGCCACTCGGGCGTCGGCGGTCTCCGACACCGCGCCGCTATCAGCCGCAGCGGTGTCGCAGGAGATTTGGGACCCGGATATACCGTCAACGCGCATTAAGAGTGTTGGGCAAGCTCCCAGAAGATGGACGCCTACGCCTCAAGTCGAGCCCGTACTACGCGAAAGTATTGTGGCGGAATGGCACGACACTGGCGGTGGAGACCATGTGATCTACCCCACCCCGCCCGGTTCTGCTGCCTTTGCTGTATAGGAAGCGAGGCCTATTCGGATGCACACGTTCTAGTGAGCTGTTATTATCAGACGGTTATCCGACTTTCGCAATATGTATGTAAACAACTTGGTGTCACATTGCATCGCGCATAAATGAATGCATCGAAAGTTACAACATGTTACGTGGAATGGGAGGATGATAAATACAAATATGATGCTCATGCAAGAATTCACATTAGTTCTGGGGCAACGGCCGTTCAGTAAACTAAGCGGGTGGTCACCGTAAGATGAACACACCTCTGGCACTCGGAATATCGTGATTTCCTGCAAAGCACATCAGCAGATGCTTAGACAAGGCATCATGAATCATACCTGTTGCTTGAAGTATCTCCGGTTTTCCTCGTCGATCAGTACTAGATTCAGGTAATACCTGACGCTGAACTTCTTGTTCACTTCCCGGAACGTGGGGGTGAGGTCAAATCCTCCAAGGAACAGACGAATGGGAATAGTCTCTCCTGCGAGGGGATTAGGGGCCTAAATTTGACGTGATTCAAAGGAGATCCTACGCGCCTCTTACTGGTGCACCGTCCATGATCTCGAACTTGGTAATAGTTTCGCTTTCGTTATACTGATTCGGCGGCGCACCCGTCGTCTCGCGACGTATGATGGAAAGCTCCATGTGCTTGATCTTGATTCGCACAAGCAAGAAATAAATCTTGCCCACGATGACGTCCTTGAGATGGTACCTTGGTAGGCGTAAGGTCGGTAAAGGCGGTAGGAAATGCCAAGACGCACTTTGATTTGTTGTACTCGAACTCAATGTGCAGGCAGTCCTCGATACCGACCTCCATCTTGATAGAGTTGTTGCTATCTGGAGGCATTCTATACGAGTGCACCCATACATCTTTCTCCTTGGTGACGTCTGCTATTCGGCGGGATATTGTCACCCTGACGAAGTATCTAGAGACCACGCGTATATCATCGACTGAAGTTGGCAGCAAGAGTCCCACACACCGTAGTTTCACGTTTATGCCCTGATAGCTTTCAAATTGTTTCTCCACGTTCTTGAAGAGGAAGTCGAATGTCTGTGCTTGGCGCATCTCTCCTGGAGCTGCCAATTCCTGCGATAGCGACAGGAACTCGTGGTGATGTCCTCGGTCGTAGAATAGGTCTAGCAGCCCCATGAGGAGAATTAATGCGCGAAACAGATTATGACATACCAATGCTCCCAGCAAACTCGACCTTGATTCCTTCGTGTGCCAACTTCTTACCATCCCGTACGCGTACGGTGACCTACGTCGACATAACGTCATCTCAGGGTGTACAACCTCTCAGCAATAATTTGACGCGTACCTGCCCTGACACAGAGTCACCGTCGTAGTATACGGGGCATGTAATCACCCGGTCCTTCTCTGACTTCATGTCCACCTTCTTGCGCTCATCTTCACCATCGAGCACAACTTCAACGTCGACGGGCGATGCAAAGAAGTAAGCAGCCATGCTGGGGGTGTTGAATTGGGTTTCAGCCCACTTGACAGGGTTAAATTATCCCTGCGAGCTCAGAGGTAAGTCAAAGGTGGTATGGTGCAAGCTGGGCGGCGCCGCAGTCTCGACGCGGCTGTATCGTGCTAGCTCCGTAGCGCGAGGTTAGGGTTACGCAAGCCTCGGCACTCTTCATACTGCGTAACTTTTCATTGTGAACAACGGACCACACACACTATGGTCACGCCATTGAGATGGATGATCAATCAATTATAGGCGAGAAGATACAGGTTTCTGTTCCGTTCTGACATCTGTAGACCTCCAGACAGGCTCGAACGCTTTAAAGTTCTCCGCCGTGTCCTCAAGCTGCTTCAAGATACGGGAGCCAGCATCCGAGCCGCAAGCAACCTTCACCCATCCCACCGGTGCACCTCTCGTAACCTCATATGCAAGACCCTTTCGTGCAACGATCTCGAATACTCGCTCTGCGAACTTCTCTGGGTCGCCAACGAGTCCTCTAGCTTCTGATCGACGAGGCAGCCAGTTCATCGAGTCATAGCCCTGGGTCTCTGGATCTATGTATACCGTGGACCGGGTAGCTTCCGGAGACCCGGAGACCCTCCCGTCTTCGACGTATGCTGGATGGGTGCGGAATATATTTGTGGGGAAGTAGCCGGCAATTATGATGGTGACTCGGACGTTGAACAACGTGAGCTCCTTCGAAAGGGTCTCGGAAAACGACTCTAAAGCGAGCTTCGACGCGCAATACGGCCCCCAGGCGGGGGTTGACAATCCGGCTGCCAGAGAGGAGACGTTGATAATGTCTTCTGTCCGGCGGGTGCGGAAGTGTGCGATGAATGGCTGAGTGAAGGCAAGGGTGCCAAATAAGCTGGTCTGAAAATGCTTTCGCATATCTTGGACGCTGGATCTGACGTTAAGATAAGTCTGCCCATCGCTTAACATAATCCGCACCTCAGCTCTTCGATAGGCCCATAGCCATTGATACTCGTCCCTGCGTTATTCACCAGCACGTCGACATAGCCATATACCGTAATCGCCTGCTTAGCGGCTTGCTGTATATGCTCGTCCGGGTCATCAAGGTTCAAGATAAGTGGCCGAGCTCCTGCAGCACGAAGTGCGTCCGGAACTTTCGACAAGGATCGGACAGTAGCCACCACCTAGTAGATGGTATTGAGACGTTAGCGCATGACATATATTGTGTTTGAAGATGTACGCACCTTGTCACCTTGTCTGAGGGCGTGCAGAGCTGTTGCAAGCCCGAGACCGGAGCTAGAGCCGGTGATCACCCAAACTCGAGGCGGCATGTCTACGCAGGCACCGTGCTAGTAGAGAGATAAAGAAGAACCTACCAAAGCATAAGGCACGCGTGTCGCATGCTTTATAGCAAATACTATGTGCTTTTCCGTGTAAGTTTAAGACTGAATAATACCACTAGGCAACACGAAGCTTCGGCACCTGAGCTTTACGGGAATACGTGAGAGAGTCGATATCGGTGAGTGTGATTTACTCAACTCGCATCTCCCAGATGTTCGATTAGTCTGAAGCCTGCGAACAGCGCTTATAAACAAGTAGTGAACGAGTTGCATGCATAGTTCAATACTCGTCGAGAATTATGTCTGGAAACATGTGTCCCAACATCGGTAGCATATGGATAGACACAAGTCCAAGAAAATCCGGAGAATCAGCTGTCTACCATTGTCGAGAGAATACTTCTCAGGACGGCGGGTATGTCAGCAGTGTTTCCCACCCGGAATCCCCGACCTTGCAAGTGCTTCGGTATCCTGTTCCGAGAAGACTGATAAGCAATTACCCTCATAGTGACCGCAGGGTACACATACCAGGTCGCCTCTGCACCCTCACCAATGCAGATCAGAGCCGTCTTAACCATAGGCTGGCGATACATAGCCCGTTTGAGGTCCTCAGCAGTGATGTTGTATCGACCGAAGTTGGCGTCGGTGATTGCTATGACGAACCACTCATCTGAATGCAAAGGGTGAGCAAAGTTGTCTCGGGCTTCATCATACACTCTCCAAGTTCAAGAACGGGGCATACCGGCATCAAACTTGGCAACCTCGTCGACAGCCTTTTCTATAGCCTCCACTAGAGAAGGGAATGGATGAGAAACCGGCGGGTGTGCAAGTAACAGATGCTTACCTGTATAGTCTCCGGCGAACGAGTACTGTGTGGTAAGGTCCATCTTCTGGACCACTTTCCACCTGTCAGCTACTGCCGCGGGGGATGCACCCGCCGTCACCAGAGGTACTTCAGCGGAGTCTCCGCAATGGCCAATAATCTGCGGCAGTGCAAAGCTTGAGAGAGAACCGACGAAAGGAAAGACATTCGCTCACATCCCAAACATACTTTTCCGGCCTGGTAAGGCGGTCGAATGTTTCCATAAGCATCACGACCGTCTCAAGACTCCTTTGCAATCTGCCGTCATACTGAAAACGATACATCGAAGCGCTGATATCAAAGAGAAATCTTATGCGTTTGGGTCTGTTGTGGTAAGTTAAGCATTAGCAGCTTGCTCTGACCAAGGAATGTACGCACCTGATCTGGGGACGGCCCATCTCGGGTTTCATCACACTGCGCCGCTTATATACTGTGGCTTCACCAGTAAGACCCTCTGTTAGACGGCTGTCGTCCAGTTCTCCGTCGGTCTGGCGCTTTATCCATACACGCTCTTCTTCCTTCGCAGAGAGATCTGTCGAAAAGCGTTAGTATGTTTCGGGATATGGTCAATACCCGACCGCTTACGCTCAAGCAGATCAAATAGTTGAGCGATGTGCCCTTGTACAGCCTCTAGAAGAGCACCGTACCCTCTGGCCTCTGCGTTAGACATGTTGAGCTCCTCAAGCCGACGCTTGAGCTCTTCGTGTGCCATTTCTCGGGCCTTCTCCTTGATGTGGTCAGGTATCTGGTTCTTTAAGGCATCCGAGACCTTAAAGCTTGTCAGCACTTCACATTAGCCGCTGCATGTGGTACCCTAACCTGTTTGATATCGTGGCCTTTGTATAAGCGCATATATCCGCCACGTCCACCCATGCCGGCTGTATCGCGCCCGCCTACCTGTGCCAGGCCGTTAGAATGCATCTACATGCGCTATCGATCGGGACATCCTTACTCCTCCGGCCCAAGTATTTCCACCTACATGCGCCTCGTTCTTGGGGTCTTCTTTGCCAAACTTCGGCTCAGATAGGCTAGTCTTTTTAGGTTCATATTCCACACTGACGACTTTCTTGCGGGACGCTTCTCTGGTGGCATCTAGCCCGAGATGTTTCACCATGAGCCTCCCCAAAGAGTAAGCATGCAACCGAGGTACAATCAAAAGGAGACGTACCCATGGTGGTCCAGAATCTCAGCCAGCTTTTCGGTAGTCTCTCGGCGGTAGACATCGAAGTCGAAGATGTTGCGAAGGGCGAGTTCGAGCGGATCGTCACGGTAAGCTTGCATGTGCTTGATGAGGTTGATCAATTCTGCGATGTATGCCGGTTATTCGGTTATTCGTCTTTACCCAGAGATAATTGAAGGTTACCTCGAAGAGAGTATGGGTATGTCAGAGCGCCAGTATCGTATGCACGTCGAAGATCTTGAAATGCAGCGACAAGTCGCAGAATCATGTCCTCGCTCAGCTCCGGTGCTAGTTGAGATAGAAGCCGTCTTTCACTGGCCATGTCAGGGTTTGTGACGGAGTGGCAGCTGAAATTGTCGCCGAGGACCTGGAGAAAGTGGTTTCCTAGGAAGGCTGGAAGATTTGAGATGCAACATCGAGGAGAATAACGTGCGATTGCCTCACGATAACCTGGCCTGTTCGCGAGAAGAACGAGGCGGAAATTCGGGTGCACGACGACATCGGACCCTCGCTCTTGCTGCCGTCGGACTCTTCGTCCATCCGCCAACGTCAGCTCGCCGTGGCCCGCCAAGCTCCTGAAAATAGCAACAACATGCTCTGCAGCCTTGTCTGCTTCATCAATGATAATGACACGGCCATACTTGATGGCGCGTAGTAGGGGTGAGTCGGAGCGTTTCATGACACCGTTCTCAAGCGATGTCTGGAACATTAGCTGACTAACTGTGGTGTCACGGTGGAGCTGGATGTATTCTCGAGGACGACACAGCAGCTAAATCCATCAGACCTCAGATAAATTCAACATCGAGGGCAAGTTCCGTACCTGACAGAGGCTGTACAATGCGAATTAGTAAGTCTGGTCCGAATGCTTTCAAGAGGCTTACCGGTCAACGATTTTATTCTTTCCGACACCCTAGGAATAACGTCAGGTAGAACCCTAGCGAAAGAGCGATATGTTAACCTGGTTTCCAAGCAGTACCAAGTGTTCCTCCAGGATCTCAAGATCGATAGCCAGGTCGCGCATCAGACCAGTCTGCAAGCTGTTTTCGTAATAGTGCTCCATAAACGGGACATGGGACGCGATGCCTTCAGGGTCCTCATCTGCGTTGAATAAGACTACTCGCACAGGCAAAGCTGGTGCAAGATTCGGGCCTGTCGGAGCAGGGAATACCAAAGTGTCCTCTTCTATCGCGGGCGGAGGGTAGAACTAATCGGTTATTGTTAGCTCTCAGCCATGCTGGTACATTCGCGCTGTATAGCGTACCGGAGGGGTTAGCTGCCGAATCCCCAGTTCTTCGAAGATAGTGCCCAAACTCATCCGCTCAGTAGCCGGTAAGAACTCGGCCAGCACAGCGTGGCTCAGCATAGTATACAAGTCCACATGGTCCGGATGTTTTGCGAGGCGTCGCGCGATGCGGACGAGTGCCCTTGTGCCCAACTTGCGGTTCTTCTGTACGAGGTCGGATGTCATACTAGATCTGTACTTTTCGGCAAAGCTGATGAGTGTGTTCACGAGTTTCCGTGGGCAACCGGTGTCGAGAAGAAGAATAGTCTCTTCTTCCTGTGACATCGGAATGGCGGCAACTGGGAAGAACATGTTCGCGTGTTCATCGGAGAGCCAGTCCTTCAGCGGTAAGGACTTCGAGGCTGTTACAATCACACGGAAGGAGCTATGAGGAATCGCCAGTTCGCCAGACTGGATCCGTGCCTCGAGTCAGTACAATTGTGCAGGACTAATAAGTGAAAACTATCACCTCGTCGTGATCAGCTTGAGTGACCATCCGCTTTCCTTCCCAAAGCTCGGCCTCTCTGTCCTGGAAAATCCTCGCCAGAGATCCAGCTGTGGGCCCTATCACATCTATACCCGACAGATGGACTAGTCGGCCTTCCCATGCACCCTCAGTTAGTGGGCTAGCGAAGTCAGTATAAGAGGTACGACGGAATGGACTTCGAAGCTTACCTAGGTTCCCATGACGTCGCACCGCCGTCCTCGACTTTGCGACGCATTATTAACTCGCGCCCTCCAAGTTCCTTGTACATGTGGATAGTATCGACTTCGTAGCCAAGGAGTGCTCCGAACGTCTTGACAAGCGTAGACGTCGAGCATGACGCAGTCGACGGCAGGACGGGAGGCACGTAAGAGATATCCCATCCGAGCGCATGCGCTTGTAACATGCATGTGATAAGACCAATGAAGCGGTCGGTCACCATAAAGTCCATGAGCTCTGGTCGCTTCCAGGGATACTCAAGGAGAGGTTTCGGACCTCCTGGGACGATCACTGAGACCGAAGGAGACCCTGCTGCGCCTTCGAACGACAGCTTGACGGTATGTTCGCCATCTCGCTGAGTGCCGGCAAGACGGTATCCCAGTAAACCTAGAGTATTACTATCCCCAACAGGGCTCTCCAGCGATCCTAAGCCCGCCTCCTCAGCCTGTAACGAGAGTATTCCCCACATGACGAAGGGAGCATGAAGTAGCGCCGGATGAAGCACAAGTATAAGCTTCCCTAGCTGCACTGGAGATAGAGTTGCAGGAGCACGGAAGACAGACAGTAAAGTGCGCAGCTTGACGAGAGCGGTTTGTGGAAACGGTTGAATGCTACTCTTTGAGGAAGCATCTACAGCATGCTTGGATTCGCTCGCATATTGCGTAGCGAGGACGATGCTCTGTATCTTCTCAAAGAGTGTTGCGGATTGTGAATCTAATGAGACATTTCTTGGCGTGTTCAGAGAAAGCAATGCTCCAACGGGGTCCACGAAACGTGCCTGAAAGCGGCTTCGGAATGGTGGGTCGATGGGGTAACCTGTATATGGCGGTATGGGAGCAGCGATGGCGATGACCCTGAAGTTTTTGTGGGCTGGAATGAAACGCTTGGTTTCCAAGCTCTTGAGGGCGTACTCTAGTAGGAAATAACGATCGTGATGTATGATATGTGTCCCGTCATCCAGATCTCTGCACGAGAGATATACTGGTCAGCTTTGGAATGGTTAGCGAGTTTTCTCTCTTACAGTTCCCTATTCTCGAGCAGATTATTCAGAATCTATACGATGTTAGATTTGGACAGCGATAATAAGGAAATCTACATACGGGCATAATGCCTCGTTCAGCCTTTTCGATTCCTTCTATAATAAGAATACGGCCATGTTTAACGGCTTTGACGGCGGGGCTGTCGACGTATACAAGGTTTCCGCCATGTCTGAGTTCGCGCCCCTGCTTGAGCTCGGTTTCGCCCACGTCCCGATGAAGGGAAATATACTCATACTCCTGATTTGTCATACTGTGCAGATGATAAGTAATGCCATTGAGGAACAGATGAAATAATGTTCATACTTGCCTGCAGAAAGTCATGGCAAGCCGCCTGGCGTACGGCCCAGGCTGCGACAGCAAAAATATATCTTGTCCGAGCAAATATTTCTGTAACATAAAATGCAAGTTATCAGCATTGAACCCATCCTGTGCGTCGAGCAACGCGTGCTCGGAATGCGGCAAGCGCGACGGTGTTGCAGAGGCATGGATGTCGAACGAGATGCCACCAAGCTTCAGTGTGCCGACAACAGGCTGTGGCTGCGCGAGCTCGCTGAGCAATCTCGCGAGCCGTCGTTGCGCCATGACTGCTCCTCGTCGCTGGGTGTATGTGACGAGGGGCAAAGTGGTCGGCAGTAAGCAAGCCGTAAATCACGGCGAGCGCGGTCTCGGAGATTGCACGGCCCGGTCCGACGGGCTCGGGCGGCGGGGTGGTGCCTTGCCCGAAGGCCGAGGCCACCGAAAGGCCCCAAGTTCTACCAGCGCGATGCAGCAATCACCACATAGCATTCATAACAAAGTGAGCACTCAGCCATGAATTTCTCTGATATTAACTGTTATTGCTTCGAGTGCTACCGACACTGATATCCACACCGAAACGCTTCAGTTTCTCGTAATACTTTTGTACACGACTAGCGACCTGTCGGGCTGTACGCCTACCATTCATCGCTTGGGAGATCTTTAACCACCTACAAAGTACGAACATAAGACGGGTATGGGTACTGGGTCAAAGGGGAACGCACCTATTCTTCTCCCCATCGGGTATCTCCTCTAACAACCTCTCCAGCAGATGTTGCTCTTCCACAGACCACGCCTGTTTGTACGTCTCGGATCTCGGCTTGGTCTTCCTCTCTGGTATTGGTGCCTCCGTTTCACTGCTGTTGTCCACGGGTGGGGAAAAACATGTTTTGGCAGTCGAGTTCTTTGTCGAAGCTCGATTCGCAGAGGCTTTTGTAGGCACACATCGGCTGCAGCTGCTTGCAGTCGCCTGGAAGGCGGCAAGGGTCTTCCCGACAGGGAGCGCTTTACCCGAGTGCGTGGACTGTGGCGACGCTACGGAGGTTGCGGGAGTGTCGACGTCCATGTCGGGTTCAACAGCGGAACTCGGCGTCGTGTTACTCGCGCTTTTGTTGGTGTCCTTGCCGTCATCGTCGAGACCAATATCGACTTCCGCGCTTTCGTCCTGCTGGTCCTGCCGCACGAAGACGGCCTCATTCCCTGGTCGGCGCAGTGCAAGGCCAGAAAGTCCGTGCATGGCGGGATCGCCATGAATGCGCCGCCGCTTAAGTTCATGAATTTTCTTGCGCTCCTGGATGCGTCTGAGCTCCTCGGGGTCTATGGGCTCATCCTCCTCGCCCTCAGATAGCTCTGGAAGCGAGGCTAGAATCGGGTCGACCATCGTGATACGCGCAGTTTTAACGAGAATCTGCAGAGCAGACAGTGGAGATGTCTGTTTTGCGGAGGGCCTTCGCCATTGTTCGCATGTATTTTTCAGCTCTGATCCCAATGTTCTGATGGGCACGGGATCTGTGTCCGGGTTAGACTGGCGTAAGGAGTGGAGAAGGACGGACGCACCAGACGAAGCAAACGAGGCCCAGTCAAGCTCTCGATGTATGCCTGGCACAATATTATCCTGCTCGTCGCTCAATCGTAGACCTTCTAAAGTTTGGAGCTAGCCGAAGCTGCCTCAGCGTTGCCTGAAGGTGTCGAGCGGAACCCTAGTGCATACCTGCTCGCTGAAAATGCTGAAACTGCGGGATTCTGCGGGCGTAGAAGCAATATCTTGTCTAAGGTGCGTAAGTCGCTCTATATCGGACTGCGTTCGTGCAAGCAAAGCTTTCTGCGACTTGATGAACGTCGAAAGCGCGTCCAAACTGTAAAAGGCATCCCTGTGAGTTTGCTGTATTCAGTATAAGTCAGAGCAAAGCACACAAACGTTTTGGCGCGCTTCTCGTCCATTGTATCGCTGACATTGACCAAGTTCAAGGGCGGGTAGTGGAAGGGCGGGGTGGAGGATAGTGGCCGAGATTTTGGGAGTGATCTTGTATAAGGAGACCGCCCACATGGGGACCTCCGGGGCCTGGGAGACCCGGGAGACCTAATGGCGTCAAATAAGTTCCCACGCTAGCTACGCCGGTGCACACCGCGCACAAGAGCGAGCATAGGCTAAGCTCTCATAATGAAGCTCTCGAGAATATTCATGCTGGCTACGCGAATTGTAGATGACATTTATTGGAAGGTCATTACAACGCGATATGTTTAGCTTTAGCCGTCAGGTACATCCAAGAGATACAAGAATCCGGAGGATACACGAAAATCATAGTGCCGCCTTCGTTCTGCTGACCCAGACGCCACCGTCCAACGGTATGTGCGCACCGGTGACATGAGATGACGCTGGACTGGCCAGGAATAGTGCTGTAAGCATGGTAAGTGCCCCTACGTGCTGCATTCAGCGCGGCACACTCACCAACTCCAGCCATCTCTTTTGGCATGCCCGTGCGACCTACAGAAGCTTAGGACACGCGGTCATGGCAGGGTCAATGTGACTTGTACATACCCATTGGCTGGACTTTATCCATCTCATCCCCGTGGGTCTTGTAACCGAAAGCAGTCATCTTGGACGGGAAGACCCCCGGCATGACTGCGTTGACACTGCAGAAGACCTGGTCAGACGCAGGAGTAAGATTTATCGAGACAAATGGCGCACGTTATTTTCCTTGGTGCGAGTGTCGAAGCCAAGAGCGATGTCAGATGGTTGACGGCTGCCTTGCTCGTGTTATCTATATATAAAAGAATGTAAGGTGGGATTGCCAGGACGCAAGCTAGTTTAGATTTACAGCTCCAGAGGCCATTGCCCACGTCAGCGAGGCCACTTCCGAGGGCTATGGTGTTCACGGCCGCCATGGACGAGATGTTGATCACGCGACCAGGGTCGTCGGGTGTGGCTCCCTTTGCAAGCAACTCAGTTAAGCCGACAGTGACTTTATAGCATGTATAATCAGCATAGAACAAGATACACGCACGGATCAAAGCTTACGGTAGTAAGTACCCTTGATATTTAGACCGAGGACACGATCCCAGCCTTCCTTCTCAGGAAAGTTGTCGTACGGCGCACCCCATGTTGCACCAGAATTATTGACTAGAATGTGCACTTTGGATTCGCGCTTTTTTATCTCATCCGCAAGGTAGTCGCAGCCTGCTTTCGACTGAGGGGAAATTTGTTACCTCCGTGCACGCATAGTGCTTTTGAACGAAGACGTACGCTAAGGTCTGCGACAAAGTAGTGGCAGCTTCCTGGCCCCTTGCGATTGATTGCCTCCGACACCTAACACATATGTCAAGCGCATATAGCAGGCAGAGACGAGGCTTACGCACCTCCTTGAGCTGTTTCTCCTTCCGTGAAGCGATGTACACCTTCGCGCCGTTCTGGGCGTACGCCGCGGCAAACATAGTGCCGATACCAGAGCCTCCACCCGTCACGACGGCTAGAGAGTCCAAGGTGTTCAGTCCTCGGTTCTATCTTGAGAATAAGCCTTGCTCACCGACTTTGCCCTTCACGTTGAACAGCGTCGGGATGGAAAAATCTGTGAAATACTTGCTCAGTGCTGTGTGGGGAGTGCACTCGCAAGTTCTACGCACTTTCTGCGTCGGTCATGGCTACCTGTAGCTGAGCTGGGTACAGAATGAGTGGCTATCAGAGCGAGACATTGTTAAGTAGGACGTAGTCCGGGGCAATACCGACCGTAGTGATTCGGTAACTAGCTGCTTCCCGGCTGCCGGCATCATTCACCTGCAGGCTCTAACGCCTATGCTCGGGCTCGGCGTTCGGTTTTATCTCGTGCTCAAGTTCGCGATTGGCAGGGTAATGAAAGGCATTCACCGCGCATGTCGGATTACAATGTATACAGCAGTACTACAGATTCAACCCGGTTGAATCGAGGACTAAAGTAATTATGCGTCTTTCCGACGAATTAAGCTGATGCCATCCTCAACTGGCAGCATAATTACCTCAATTCCCGGGTGATTGCTAAATTACATTCTCAGCAGCTCTTCACGCGTGAAGAAGATACGTCGTACACACCGTACAGCTTGGTTGAAAGCATCCAAGATTGGGCCATCGCTATAGCAGTCGTTCGGCGCCCAGGGCGACGCCTTGAACGCGACGTTGTCTACGATGATGAATCCATTCTTGCCCAGCAGCCCACCATCCATAATCTTGTGGAAGTAGCTAATATAGCTGCTCTTGTCAGCATCGACGAAGACCTGCCCTGACTTATCAGCCCTCTGAGATACGGTCTCACGCGTATGAAACAGACCATATCGAATGATGCATTGTCCGCTATGAGCTTGTCCAGAGAGGAAAGCGCGTCACCGATCCGGATGTCGATCTTCTCGGAGACACCAGCTTGCTCGAAAAACGGCCTGTTCGTCTGCTCGAGATATTCCTCGAGCTCAAGCGTGACGATCCTTTCCACAGTCGGTAGCAGCGCAAGCGAGACGGTGGTCGTGCCTGTAAACATGCCGATCTCGAGGATGACCTTTGCCTGCAACAGAAAAATCAGACTCCACTTCTCGTGGAATCAGACGACCGCTACGATGCCTTAGAAATCTTGGCCAGCTGCTGCATCACGACCGCCTCATACCCGCCCGCGCTCATCTCGGGAAGAAGCTTGAATCTTGTCTTGCCTTCGGCGTGTATGCGCTCCCAGTCCGTGCTGTTCCCCACAGCGATCATTGCGTCGACGATAGGCGGGTGCGGGCTCGACATGCGCTCTAGATACCGGTCGTAGCCGTCAATGACAGCTTTAGCTTGTTGCGCGAGCGTGAGCGCGTCACACGGGGCGTCACAGCCGTCGAGCTCCGCGCAAAGGCGGTTGATGAGATACGACAGGCGGTCGTGGGGAGTGTGGCCTTGGATATACTGAGGACAGGACATGGCGGGTCGAGGGAACGATACAGCCGGCCATGAGAGGTGTTTATATGCGACTGCCGGTCACCGTGTGAGTTGCTGAAGGAGCATGCCGCTGTGGATACGGCTTATGGCCATCGCAAGTAGTAACGCGTACTCCATCGCAAGATACGGGGGCGCTTCATGAGGTCAGTTGACCGCGCAAGCTACGCGCCGGCAATAGCAGTCAGCGTCGTAAGAAAAGCGAAGAGCAGCAGGGACTTACTACATACAACTCCAGGAATTGCATCAGTAATGTACATACCTATTTTAGAGACAAGCCTCGACTACGACTAGTATTCTGGCATAATGTCATTCATGATTATTCGTCCTGGCTAGTCCAACAGGTCCTGTCTAACAACGTATGAAAGTCGCAAGTCGGCTAAGCGTGTATAATCTGCTAAGATTTCACGATGATAACATGGCTGGTTATGATTTGCCATTGCCAATAGCCTTCTTCTTGCCCTTCTCCTTTGCACGTTCCGCTTTCAGACGTTCCTCCTCGGCGTCCGTTTCGGCGAGGTCGTGTGCCTTGTCGTTGAGGCCTAATCGGTTGCGGGCGATCTCGTATGCATAGAACTAATAAGCAAGTCAGAATGTGTCGCAAGGGAGCAGGGGGCACGGTCTGACCTGTATGCGCGTCGCTAGGGTAGACAGTCAGCCGCTAAGATATGAAGGGAGAACGGACAGCGTACTGAAGATGGTGTTGGTCTCGGAGTACTCGCCATGTGCGTTTGTACGAATCAAGGAGCCAAAATTGTAATCCTTGATCGTGTCTTTGTAGCTGGAGGGCAATTGTGCGATCGCTCAACGTCCGACGCGTGCACTCCCGGGGGGGGGGGGGGGGGAACAGGACTTACGATTCAATGAACTTCCGCCATCGTTCCTTGCCATCCTTGCTCTTCATCAGGCTTTCGTCGAGGGTCTGTATTTTGTCATACGGTTCCACGAAGAGCTCTGGGAAGTCGTTCTTGAAGTGCTCGAAGATCTCGTCGTCCTGCCTGTGCGTTTTTAGACGGCCGCCGTCAGCCCTTGACAGAGTAGCTCGTACTTTGTGAGCTTCAGGTCTCGTGGATTGACTTTCTCAATAAGATTCCAGTACGTCTATAGCCTAGTGAGTGTCGTAGGCCAACCTGTAGACGCTTTGGATGTACCTGGGCGTGCTCGACGGCTTTAACTGCGAATCTGCGAAGCATGAGCGTCGAACACCGCTTCCCCTCTCGTCTACGAAGGCCACGTACTGCTTCTCAATCTGTGCACGCACGACGAGACACATTCAGTAGCGCGTTCCCATCCCGCTGCCGAATGGCCACCATACCTCTGCCATATTCTGGGCCTTGTTCGGGTCGAAGTTTTGAGGAGCGGCCATTATGTGCTGTATGAGGTGTGTGGTGGTTGCAGGTGTTAGGTGCGAGGGTGTGTGCTGGCAGGAGTGGACAAAGTCGAGCTTTGGGATTTAAGGTGCGCGGAAGCTCGCCGACCTTGATCCTCAAACGCGCAGATCACGATCTCACAGCTAGGGGCACGTGAAGCATGTCAATAGTCGTTGCATCTCTATATATCCCATCCTCTGCACTCGTCGTCGACGCCGACAACGTCGCAGCACAGCTGGCCTTTCGTCTCCTATGCAGGGATTTTATTAGCATTTTATGGATTCGTTCAAGCCATTTTGCGCTGCCCAGGTCCATAGTGAGCACTTGGGAAAGCACTCCGGAAGCTACCACGTATGCCCTTGGTTTGTCCGTTCAGGACACGCTCGGATGTAGCGTCGCGAGATCACAAGGTCAACGTCAGGAGGACATGGCAAGTTAGGGTAAATCTAAGATCGTCGCGGGAGATGCCCATGAAATCGCAGAAGTATGGTCGCGCCGAGGTCCTGTCCTGTCGTATATACAAGTAGGACCCATTTTCGGGGACATGTTCGACTTTGTGTGCAGTGAAAGAAAAGCACTATGTCGAAATGAAAAACACGAGCTCCACAGCGCACAACCGGCGGCACACACTCGTTTTTCTGAGTTTTACCACGACCTCTTTCAGCCTGGTGACGTCTGAACCCAGTCTCTTCTAAACGACCTTTTCTACGAAGTTCATGATCATCGACTTGAACTCTCACAAAGCTCAGCTAGTGCTGACAGCGATCGCAGCGTCTGCAGCAACCGCAGGTGTCCTCGCCGCATACACTGGCCACACACGCAGACAAAAACGTCGAGACTTGAACGATGAGATTCTGCGCTCACTTTCGGAACAAGAGGCCAAGGCGAGCGCAACGTTATTAGAAGGATCGTCGCCAGGCAAGGCCACCCCGCCAACACCGCCTGCGTTGGCCGGGGGTTACAGCGAAGAGCTCATCCGCGAGCAGCTCGCTCGGAACTATGCATTCTTCGGTGAAGAGGGCATGACGAAAATTCGGCGAGGCAAAGTCGTCGTGGTCGGATGCGGAGGCGTAGGCAGCTGGGCGGCGGTCATGCTTGTGCGGTCGTAAGTAAGCCGATGTCTCGCTTTCGGTCTGCTCGAATACTGAGTAGTACGCAGAGGAGTGACTGATATCCGTTTGGTCGACTTCGACTATGTTACCCTCTCCTCTTTGAACCGGCACGCGACAGCCACGCTTGCAGATGTCGGCACGCCGAAGGTCAGCTGTATCGAGCGCACGCTGAAGCAGATTTCGCGTTGGGTGCGTGTAGATGGGCGCGTAGACATCTGGCGGAAAGACCAAGGAGGGCTGTTGCTTGATGGCGCTGACTGGGTCATTGGTGCGTAGGCAGGCTGGGGTCTCAACACGTCTGAATCTGACAGTAGTGCTCAGATGCCATTGATAACATCACTACGAAAGTAGACCTGCTGAAGTACTGCCACGACCACGGCATCAAGGTACGTGCTTGTGGTCGCTATATGCGATGTGACATTTCTCACTTTGCGCAGGTGTTTTCGTCCATGGGCGCAGGTGCAAAAGCCGACCCAACGCGGATTCAAATCAGCGACATCTCGCACACCATCTACGACCCTCTTGCCCGCTCTGTGCGGCGGCGTCTGCGCACGCAGGGCGTTTCCTCCGGTATCCCGGTAGTTTATTCAACTGAAGTGCCGAGCGACGTGAAGCTGCTGCCGCTACCTGAAGAAGAGTTCAAGAAGGGCGACGTAAAGGAGCTTGGCGTGTTCGACGACTTTCGTGTTCGGATTTTACCCGTACTTGGTGAGCACCTCGGATGATCTGACACGGATAAGATCTGACACAGGCGATGATAGGACCATTGCCATCAATATTCGGTTTGCACATAGCGACATACATCTTGTGCGAGATGGCTGGCAAGCCTGTCCTGAATCCGTTGGCTGTGAAGGGCAGGAAGAAGCTATACGAGAAGATGTGGCGCGACTTCTTGCACCGAGAAGAGAAAATTGCTGGCCATACGTTGAAGTGAGCGCGCTCAAAGCTGTTGATACCAATAACTCGTTGATTTGTTTCTGTCAGCCGTCTACCCGTTGATGAAGATGATGTTGGCCTGCTCTTTGAGGATATTCATCGAGGCCGTTCTGTTGTCCCTCCACATCCGGTCCCGACGCGTCCTACGGTTGTCCGCTGGGATCCCGAGCGGCCGCTCATGCTCGAGAACTGCGTCGTGATGGAGGACAAAGAGGCCGACAGGCACCTGAAAGAGGTCTTCGGCATCGGTGGTGACGACACTGAGAAGCGGCCTGAAGAGCTTTGGGGCGCCGAGACGGCGAAGATTGTTGCGCGCAGGGCAGAGGAGATCCGGCGAGATCGCGAGTGGAATTGGTAATACCATGATCTTCATTTCCCAGCATCTTCCGTGTACATTTACTATACATCTACACGAGCACACCCTCTCACTATGATAGATGCGTGCCACATCCGCCGCCGTGGCCGTTGGCCGTACTAGACGCCATGGGTATCTTTTAGGGTATCTTTTAACTAGCCGGGCAGAAAGTGACGGTGTAGTCGGGCGCGAGGGCGGAGTTGCAGGTCCAGAGGGCGGTACCGCTGCTCTCGTCTGTGATGCTCATGAGCCTCAGGGCTGCGCCTGCCGAGGAAACTCAGACTTACCGTAGGCATATGCGTACGCGTTGGGGCAGTTGCCCTCTGCGGATGAAATTACTTAGATACCTCTCTTCAAGGCCTCACAGCTTGCACTCACTGAAGTAAGAGTAATAGGCCACGCCAGAGGACGGGCACGTCGCCGCAGTGTCGTACTGCCCGCTGCAGCAGTTGGGCGAGTTGGCCTGGTTTCCGTCAAGGTTTGCCTCGCAAGCGCTCTTGCAACCGACGGGGAAGCCGGTCGAATCGAAGGGGCCTATCAGCGGAGAAGGGCCTAACAAGCAATATGTCAGTACATGATGCTGACATATCGCTCCGCGGTGCACGCACAGTTCGGGCCAAGGTCGACTGGGCACGACGCGACGCCACAGCCCTGGGTGTTGTCGATGCGCATCGGCAGGTTGTAGCCGTCGACGAGGGAGACTGCCGGTCTGTCAGTGAGACGGGTATGGGACAACCAGAGACGATTTATGCGCACCATCGTAGTAGTCGAGATTGCCGTTGCCCTGGAGTGTAAACTCGGCAACCGTGGCAGGCGGGACGCCCTGTGGCCCGTGTGAGCGCCTGGATGGAGCGGGAAGCATAGCCAGACGAGACTTACCGTCCCGGTGTGCGGGTCACATTCCAGACCGCCATTGCAGCCGCCGTCGGCGCACTGCGTGGCAGGGTTCGAGTCACTGAAGTCGCAATCGCGGCGACCCTGTATTGCGTTTCCCACGTCAATGTGCGGCGGGAGAATGTCCGAGGGTGGGGAGAGCTTACCCAGATGCGGCCAGCTTGCCAGTTGTCGGGCACTGTGAAGCTCACGGAGGTGTATGCAGCTGCCTCCCATCTGACCGCGAAAGCACGCTGGTCAGTCGCCGAAGATACCGCGGAGAATGAGAATCGCTTACCCAGTTTGGTAGCTGGGAACAGCACTGCCGACGTTTAGGTCGGTGAACATCTATGCAAGGTTAGGATATACCTTGTCACGATGGGGCAGCTTGCTGAAAGCTACTTACAGCAGGCCTGGATAAGAGCAGGGTCAGCTGCATGATACTCGGACGTCACAGGTGACGTACCAAATGGTGAACGGGCAGCCATTGTACACCGTGAAGGTGCGAGCGCTGGCGACAGCCGCGAGCGAGACGGCGAGGAGAGCGGAGGCGGCCTTCATGCTGAGTGTAGACGTGCTGAGGGGAGAGGAACGGAGAGCTAGACTGCTGGGGTGCGTTCTTGACTTTGTACCGGTTTTATACTTCGGAAAGACCTCGAGAATGTCTGGTGAGATGTCTCGATGCCTTGCCTGTGCGGGCAAACTTGCCGCCAACCGCATTGCTGCACAATGGCATCAGTGAGGAAGGCGGTCAAGAGAACAGAACAAGCCTCGATCTGACGACGTATTGCCGAGCGCGCACATGGCTGCAACGAACGATCATGAGGACTCAGGTTATTCGAGTGATGTTCTACTAAACTATGCCTACCTCTGCATGCAGATGAGATGTCATATGAGCTGGGTCAGCAGGAAACCTAGCGGCGCATCAGCATCATCCAACCCTGGTCACAGCATCGGACGCATGCTGTACCCAGGCCATCGCAACTCGCTAGTTCGAAGATGCTTCCGCAAGATTCTGTTCTGTAATCCTGTGGTGGTGGCTTCACCACAGACAGGATGAGTGATAGTTGCCGTATTGTCAGAACTTGAAGATGCTCAAGTTCCCACCTGATACATGTTTCTGTGCGATGATCGCAGTAGTATGAGTAATAGCATATGAATGGAAGAGGAGGTCTACTGACGAAGTGGAATATGTATGGCATTCGACGTTCTAGTAAGGCGTTATTGGGCTTGCTTGTGAGCGCAAAACTTGCCCGTGTTGGACGTACCCACATGGACAATGACCGATCCAGCGATGGTGGCCGCCGTCAGCACGATTTCCAAGAACTTGTACACCGTACCAGACAACGAGTCTGCGATAACGCGAAAATGCGTCGATGTTCTGACTTTACTGGCTATCTCACTGGTAACTGTTCCTGAGTTGGATGGACTCGGGTTTCAATTCGAATTTGGCAGAAATCAGGGCTTTTGTCCCAGTCTGAGATGTGGCCGATGGTCTAACCGGCGCATGACTTCTACGATATCGGATTATCACCAATGGAGAAACGAATTTTACTGTATTGTGGGCTATGCTGGCGGTAGCAGCGTCCGCCGTATCAACGTCATATGGGCTTTTGATATTGGTGCGTTTCTTCAGGGAGGAAGATCGAGCGGCACCACATGGTCCATATGGCTGCATGTCACTGAGGACTGCGTGGATGGCCCGCGTGGTGCGCCAGGAAGCTTTGTGGCGTAGCCTTGTGATCGCACTCCTCGGTCTTAGCCCCTCGAGCCGTCGGTATACGTAGCGACTAACCAATTCATGACCCTAGGTGTGACATCGTATCAATTTGCGAGTCTCGGGTCAGCGAGTTCTGGCGCTTCCGTCTGCGAAGACAGCTGTACGAAAGAAGGTGAATAGAATATATTGTCGGAAAGTAAGTGGAATCCTTGTACATGTGGATCACGTCAACCTTGACTCGTATATCAGACTCTGAGCCTTGAATTTCTTCTTTTTCAGCCTGACAGGACGTGCCATCAGTGCATTATATGGCGATTATGGAATTCGACGAGCTTACTCATGCCGCTTACCTGGTAAGCCGGTGCTGCGGAACGTCACGTCGGTGCCGACAGCCGCAACGGTACTATAGCACCGCATGGTATGCTGCCCGCATACATGTGATGTTACAGCCACCAAAGATGGGCGTAGACAGCGCCATAAAGAAGGTTGCTGGAGCGGTGCAAATGTAACCTGTATCTGTTCGGAGAGATGAGACGATTTGACAGATGACGGGAGTCAGGCCCTTGAGCTCTAGCTGTACAACAGGCTGCGCTGGTTTCAGAAGGGGATCTAATGCAAGACTCCGTCCGATTAGCTGTGGGTTTGTCCGGGGGAGGACCATACTAGTCCCTAAAAGCCGTTGTTCTGGCGTCCGAGAGGCCGAAGAATGAAATTAGAAATTCTAGCCACATGCTGCTCCTTCAGAAGCGTCCTGTGGGTGAAGAAACCTTACTTCGCGGTCAGGCACTACGATGGCATAGTCATCAACGGGTGTTGAAAGTAAGATAAATCGATTTGAGCTGAGGACGCGAAAGAGTGACGTACCCGGTGTAAGTACTTTGCACTTGAAGCACTCACAAAGAGACCAAAATGTCTACTGCCAACAAGTCGCTCGTCATTAAGTCACAAGATCTGCTTTGCAGCATGGCATGAGCTGGCAAGGCACGAGAGCGAGAGAAGGGTAAACACATACGATATTATCGCCGTTGTGGCATACAAATATGATCCCACTGCACCCGAATAAAAGCGCCCCATGATTCAAATCAGATGTTGGCGTCACCTTGTTCACGATGTGCTGGTAGTTTGTGAAGTACGGTGCCCTTCTGCAGATTCCTCAAGCTGACGGTTTACTGGTGAGTATTGAAAGGGAGTCTGCCAGTTGTGGCTTTGTCGGGCGCCCTCAAGCCTAGCACTCCCAGCACCCAAAGTACTTGCAGCTTCCACATCGCAGTGCGAGAGATAGGACGAGCGATTATCGAACTCGGCGGAACATCGGCCTTTGTGGCCCATTATTGCATCAAATTCGTGGGAACACCGCCGAGTCGCTCCCTCCACCGCTTGTTCCTGCATTGAATTCTGCCGCTGTTCTAACAAGCACATTCATCACGTTGAACTACTTGAACCAGAAACATGCACATGCACACACTTATAAAATAAGCCTCAGCCACGTTCTAGGACGACATAATCTGACGGACGTCCTTCGAGCTTGAAGACGCCGACAGTGTAAAGCTTTAGAATTCGGTATAGTGAGCCCATTGAGTCTGTTGAACCCCAAAGCTTAAAGGCTCACCAATGAGACAATTGCTATTTGCGTTCATTGTTATAGGAAGCTTGGGTATTACGCTATCATAAGCACCTTGAATTTCAGGACACATCAGGCAGCCCCGCTGGTCTGATGTTTGTCAAGCTGTGGGATGGAGGACAGATGGCACTGGTTGAATTTTCACTTTAATTTATCCTGTATACAAGCGCATTGGTATCTGATGTGTTTGAGTAAATTCGCTCATCAAATGTGCACAGGAATTACAGGTGCTATTTTGATCAGATGTGGGCTTTTGAATGTCAGAGCAAGGATGCTAGATGCACACAAATATCCTGCCCCGTCTCCGTAAGGTGAGTGCGGCAGCATTCAGTTCGCTTAGCCCCAAAAGCTAAAAGACTCCATTATCAGCCAATCTCGGTCCACATCAACCGAGCAGTCCAGACGTCATATCTGTTCAATATAACAGGCAAGATCAGCTGCTTGTATCGAGTTTCTCTTCAGCAGTATATCATAACTGGACTTCAGTTCACACAACCTTCCTGTCGGCCTCCTTCCTATTGTACACTGCCACTCTAGCTCCTTAGCACTATGTCTATTGGCAGTGCCCAATTGACTGCACTCGTCGAGCTCATCAGCTCTTCAGTCAGGGAAGTCATTGCAGCTTATAGTGATGCCAGACAAGACTCTCCTTTGCTGAACTTGCTGGATGAAGGCCCTCTTGAGATTCCCGCAACCACTCCCCCTAACGTTACAAAAGCTAGGCAAATCATTGAAGCAGCTTGTGCACAGCTATGTGCAACCATCGCCCAATCGGGCGATTGCATAGTGAATGTACATAGCCTACCATCTTATTCCACAGCCAATGGCTGATTCGGAAAGCATGCAGAAGGCCTTTGGGGTGTGCTGGAATGATACTTCGTTGCATTTCTTTGAGCCCAACTCTAGCTGTCCAGTACACTAAATCTGCTTGTTTGCAGGTCACTGTAGACATGAAGATATTTGACCTGCTCCTAAACAAACCTAAGAGCCTTGCCGTGGAAGAAATGGCAAAACTATCTGGGATCAATGCAGGAAAGCTTGGGCAAGTGCTCAGATTCCTTGTGACGAAACACGTGTACCGTGAAGGTTTGTTCTCTTCTGCCTCAAGGTGTTGCTCAACAGGCCCGATGCCGCTCCCAGTGCAACCAAATGTGTATACCAACAATACACTCAGTATGAAGCTTCTGTCCAGTGATCCTGTCTGGTGCTATATCAGTGTATGGTATGTTAGTCACTGTGTTGAAATATCAATTTCCTAATTTTCTACAGCACTGACGACCTGATAAAAGCCACAACATCTACCTAGAAAACACTAGTCGACAAGGAATATGGCTCTTCTCACGATTCTAACCAAAGCACATTCCACAAGGTCAACAGTGTGCCATTCTTTGAATACTACAAAAAAATGTAAGTCCACATTAATGCCACTGCTGCGGTCTAGATTCAACCAATTTTGTATGCTCTAGCCTGACAAGTGTGAGGTTTGAGTCGACTCACTTTGGAGTCATCGTACAATACAGGCTGACTTGATGAGCTTTGATAGCGGTTCTCCGATGCTATGGTTGGATGGGGAAACATTACTGACAGGGGTCTTCTGCCAAAGAGTGAGCCTTTGTTTTAAAGTGTAATAAAAGCCCACGAGCCTGTCACAATTCATACAATGTACGACTGGAGCATTCTCCATCAGGATGCGGTCATCTGTGATATTGGTGGCAGTAGCAGACACGCAACTCTGGACCTAGTGAAGGAGTATCTGAAGCTTAAGATTGTTGTCTAGGATCTGGAGAGTATTTGACCACATTGGTTTGAGGCAAGTGCACCTCCGTTATCTGACTAAGTCATGACTAATTGTTTGAAACAATCAGCTATGGTCAAAAGAGCTTCCCAACGTGGTTCAGCAGGCACATACAGCTTTCGTGCCCATTGATTTCTTCAGGGATGCTCCAGTCAAGGATTGCAACATTTACTATATTCGTAATGTTTTGTAGGCACTGTTCCAGCCAAGAGGTGTTTCCTATTTCTGACATGGCCTACCACAAACACAACTGGCCAGACAAGCCATGTGTTAAGATTCTCCAAAATCTCAAGGCATCCATGAAGGCCACAAGTCATGTCCTTATTCGTAAGCATAATTGCAAAACAAGGGAATTGCCTACACTCTCACATATTGTTCAGATGAATATGTCTTGCAGCAGACCACTAGGGAAGATTCGATTATTGGTGGCAATTCAGCACCTGAACTGCTCCTGCCGAACTATGGCAACGGCAGAATCCGACGGTATAATCTAGATGTCAACCTGATGATCTCTTTCAATAGCAAAGGACGAATGCTGCAAGACCTCATTGGTATTGGGTGGGTTCCTACTGGAGCTCTTGCTTATTTGGTGGCATTCAAACTGGCACTTACAGCGCTCGAGCTAGTCTGACATTTGTCAAGCTGTGGGATGGAGGACACACGGCACTAGTCAAACTCTCGCTTTGATTTATCATGTACACAAGCGCAATGATAGTTAGTGTTCAAATGAACCTGCTCATCGAACACGTCTAGGAAATGCGGAAGGTGGTCCAATTGTGGTTATCAGTCGCAGACACGTACCATATTCCCTTTGTATGGTGCGTTTATACTCCATCCATGTGGTCCCAGAGCTTGCAATCCCAATCATCAGCACATCTTGGACTGTATCTACTGCCTTTGGTTATTTAGATATTGCGTCCATTTGACATCAGGCCACCCCTGATATTTCTTTGCAGTTCATCAACTGGAGCTCCATTGCAAAGCAAGTCCTGCATAAAACAGTTCCTTTGATGCAATGCCCGGCCTAATGCATTTTCTAACAATACAGCACAATGACCCCATCCCAACACAGGTGCTCATTGTCGATTGTGCATTGACAACTCCTCCTTTTTGTGATCACTGAATAGAAGGTTTCTCTTCATGCTCCCGATGCACCTTCAGCCTTCGCTGCAATGTGTGTACCAGTAGAGCAACTTGCCATGAGAAGTGATGCCGGTATCAACTGTCATAGATGACATGGGTGCTACTTTTAAGCTTGAGAAAGAGGTCAAGTGCTCTGAGTCAGGGGTCACCAACAGCGCCCACTCCAAAATATAAACCAAATCTCAGCATGTTTTGAGATTGCTCCCTCATGATTACACCCTTCGCTATGTCTGCTAGCAGTATCCAAAGCACCAAATTAATCACACTCGTCGAGCTCATCAGTTCTTTGATGCAGGAAGTCATTGTAGCTCATGGCGCTGTCAAACAAGACGCTCCTTTGCTGGACTCACTGGACGACAGCCCTTTTAAAACTCCCAACCACTCTCCCAAAAGTCACAAAAGCCAGACAGACCATTGAAGCTGCCTGCGCGCAGCTATGTGTGACCATTGCCCAACCAGGCAACTGTATAGTAAATGTATGTAGCTCTCCACCTTTTTTTACAGTGGGTGACTGAATCGGCAAGCTTATAGAAAGCCTTCGGAGTGAGCTGGAACATCACTCCATTAAATCCTTTTATGTTCAACTGACACCATGTAGCATATCAAATCCACTAGTCTGCAGGTCATCGCAAACGCCAAGATATCTGACCTACTTCTTAATAAACTGGAGGGTCTTCCTGTAGAAAAACTGGTGAAACCTTCTGGGATTGATGCAGGGAAGCTTGGGCAATTGCTCAGATTTCTTATGATGAAGCATGTATATTGTGAAGGTTTGCTCTCTTCTGCCTCGCAATACTGTTTGGTAAACCTTACAATGTTTTCAGTGTGACCAAATGTGTATATCAACAATAGACTCAGTATGAAGCCCCTGTCTAGTGATCCCGTCTGTTGCTTTGTTGGTGCATGGTATGTTAATCATCGTGTCAGAGCATTAGATCATTGCTTATGCCCTACAGCACTGACAAGATGATGAAAGCCTCAACTGTGAAGGTTGATATTGGACAAAAATCAAAACTTAACTCTGTACTGTTTGCAACTCACCATTCTTGCTGTGCTTTTATGATTGCAAGTGAGTGTACATGTACACATGTGCACGCCTGTGAGTACATGTGCACATAAGTGTATATCGGTGCCTGTAAGTGGGCGTACATGCACTTACATGCATGTAATACATACTCAAACTTGCAAGGAGTCCACTCAAACTTGCAAGATGCCCATTCAAACTTGCAAGACATCAACTCAGACTTGTCAGGTGCCCATCATTGTGCACTTATGCGCACTTATGTGCACGTACGTGCACCTTTGACAATCAAAATTGGAAGGTTGTGTCACCTCACACATACATGAGAGCGCACATATATAGATGTATGTGTACATACGTGCACTTAAGTGCATATACATGTGTGTAAGTACTGGTTATTAGCGCTTGAGCGAGCTCTAGCTTTATGGTATTTGTGAGTTTGAGTCTTCTGATGGTGCAAATATGTGTAATTAAGTGCATGTACATGCATATACGTTGTTGTAAAGAAAAGGTTAGGATAAGAAAAGTAAGTAAAAAATAAAAATGAGGTTTGGTATAAAGAAGATTCTAGGAGAAATCCTAGAAGGCTACTTTTTAATAAAAGAGAATGGAGTTTGGTCTGTTCTAAACTAGAAGCAAGAAGGGTATAGTATGGAATACTTAGATTTGGTTTTCCCAATCTTTTCTTTCCAGGGTTCACTGGGTTAGCCTTTCAACCAAGCTATCCTGGTGTTCGTGGGGGACTAATTCAAAGACCACCTACTAATCTGCTTAAATACTCTAAAGCCTCACTTGCCTGTTTACAAGGGACTTTTTACAGAATCTTAGAAGATGGGCTGTAAGGAGGTTTGGTTAGTAGCTTAAAAACTAGCTACTTGGGTTAGTAGAATAGGGTTTTTAGATAAGTAAGAAAAGAGGGTAACAAAGACAACTTAATGTCTTGGTTAACTTAGTAAGCTTTGGCTAGTAAGGACAATTTAATGTCCTTAGAGGATTTGTATAACTTGAAGCAGTCTGAAGCTTCCAATTTAGAGTTGAAGATCAAGAATAGAATTAATCTCTTTACTGCTAGTCTAATTACTGTAAGCTCTACAGGAGACGTACCACAGTCTCAAATAATGACGCCACTAGCTCTCGCAGTCTAGGGTTAGTCAAATAGTGAACTCGTGCACTATACCAAGGGCGTTTCCCTTCAGGTTATTTGAAAGTCAGAGGCTCTACTGTGCTTAAGGAATTTCCTAGGCTTTAAAGAAATGAGTCTATTCTCTGAGAGCTAAAGAGCTCAGGGGATTAACTGCAGGTTTGCTGCTAGCTAAATCCTTGAGAGTGTGTGTGGTGCTTGGTGGGTTGGTGTGTCCGTGTCCCTCAGAGAACCTCTCCTATTTATACCTTTCAGCCTGTTGTTCCTTAGCCAATAGCAAAACTGGCTCTTCTATTCTACTGTAATTACTAAGCTACTTCTACTTTTATTAATAAGCATTTTGTCTGTATTAGTCAGCCTTCTGTCTGTTTTACTAATGTATTGATAAGCTATCACTAATGTTTGTTAGAGTATTACTATATTTTGGTAATTCATAGCTGTTGAGCATAGACCTTTACTAAGCATAGTTTCTAGATTACTAAGAAGCTGAGTCATATTATTAGTCATTGATTCACTTTTAGTAAGCTTAAGTGTCTATGCTTACTTTGCAGCTCTGAGTAAGCGGTTTCTTTTTGATTTGAATACCTATTATTTCTTTAGTTTTCCTATACTTATAATTATGGTGCATGACAACGTACACGTCAGTGCACATACTTGCGTGTCAGTGTGCTTACATGCACATATGTTTACAAACGTGCACTTATTTGCACTTATGTTAGCGTCTATCTGCCCACTCACAAGTTTGCCTCCACTCTCTGCGAGTTTCTCTATTTTTGTCCACTATCAACCTTCATACTCAACCTACATGTGGGAGGCACTAGTTGATGAGAAATATAGCTCTTCTTACGACCCTAGCCAAACTGCATTCTGCAAGGTCAATGGGGCGCCATTCTTTGAGTACTACAAGAAATGCGTAAGTTCACAGTAATGTCATTGCTGCCACCATCTTTCCAGCCCTTGTCTAATTCTGTGAGCCATAGCCTGACAAGCGTGAGGTTAGCTTCCTTCAGTGCAAAAGTTAGGCTAATTTAACCAGCTTTGATAGCGGTTCTCCAGTGCTATGATTGGGTGGAGAGACATCACTGACAGAGGACTCTTACCCAAGAGTAGATTTTCACTTGAAGCACGATATAAGCTCATAAAGGTCAACTTATGTTACAACATGTCTAGTGTATGACTGGCAGAGCCTTGTGCACAATGCAGTTGTTTGTGATGTCAGTGGCAGTAACGGGCATGTAGCCCTAGACCTATTGAAGGAGTATCTGAAGCTCAAGATTGTTGTCCAGGATCTGGAGGACCTCCAGACACGTTGGTCTGAGGTGAATGCATCTCTGCTATCCAGCGACTAAGTTTTGTCTAATCATTTGCTGCAATTAGCTATAGTTGAAAGAGCTTCCTGACATGATTCAGCAGGCACGTACAGCTTTCATACCCATCGACTTCTTCAAGGATGCTCCAGTCAAGGATTGCAATATTTACTATATTCATAACATCTTGTAGGTATCGTTTCAGCTATGAGGCGTTTTGTGCTCCTGATGTGACCTATTGCAGGCATGACTGGCTGGATGAGTCATGTGTCAAGATTCTTCAGAATGTCAAATTGTCTATGAAGCCTACAAGTCGCATACTCATTTGTAAGTTTCTGTGTGAGATGGAAACATGGCTCAAGTATTAAAGCTCACACATCATTCAGACAAGTATGTTTTGTGGCAAACCACCAGGAAGCTTTGGCTCGGGATGGTGATGACTTGGCTCCTGAGCCACTCCTGCCAAATTATGGCAATGGCAGAATTCAACAATATAATCTAGATGTCAACCTCATGATCTGTTTTAAGAGCAAGGAGCGAACGCTAAAAGAGTTCATTGATATTGGGTGGGTCTTGACTCGCTACAGCTCTTGTTTATCCAATGTCATTGAAATTTGTATACTCCTCTAGCACACAAACCAGAGTGAAGTTTGTTAAGCTGTGAGATGGTGGACAGACGGCGTTAGTCAAGTTCTCGGTCTGATTGATTACGTATGCCAGCATTACGAGGGCTGCTACACATACAACCATTTGTTAACCAGTGCTATCTTTTCCCCCTGAGAAACCTATGTTAAAACACTACGCTGCTCCCGCAGCACTCATCTGAGTACTCTCAAGATTTTGGAACATATAATCCTGCAGAATGTCAGCCTTGATGAGTGCTATTTTTATGTCATCAAGTTGAGGGACGCGAGCTCAGGAATCTATTTGGCAGTGTTGTGGAAATCTTTGCGCAGGCGGAAAAATCATGAGTAATCAACAGTAAATTTCTAGGATAATACATTGTGTTCTTATATATGTTATCTATTTCCTAATATACTCAGTCCAATACTTAGTACGCTGAGGAAGCTGAGACAAAGGAAAACGCAGCAGGGAATGAACCGGCACCAGAGCCGAGAGTAGTGTTGCCACGGCTTGACTGCTTAGCCGCTAGTCGTTGCAGTCAAGCCATGTGGCAGCCAAGTCAAGTCGCTGATTGGCTCTTGGCTGTTACGCGGCTTAGCTGCAGCTTGGCGCGACTCGGCGGTGGCTTGCAGTCAGGTCCAGTTGTCCCAAAAAGGCAAACGCCGCGTCACCTTGCTTGCCACTATGCCTCCTCGCAACCATGGAAAGAAGAGAGCTGCCGAGACCCCTCAGAAGACACCTAAGAGGCAAAAGGTGGCCTCTAAGCATGTTGAGTTTGACAATGGAGCTGTTATGACCCAGTTTAGGCTGTCTGGTGCGCTTTTTTTGAGCTTTTGTGCAGTTTGATGTTGTCTGCTGATAACATCTTGAATTCTGTAGATGAATTCTCATCTGAAGATGCTGTCCAAGGTTCCCCAGCAAAGAAGAGAGGTGGTAGGAAAGGTCCAGGGGTTCAGGATGTTGCTGAAGGAGAGGTGCTCATGGCATTTGCATCACCCCGGAGAGGTCGTGCCAATCACCAGCACAATCCAAGTGGGGAGAGCTCGATAGACAAGTGCGTGGTGACCAATACTGCAAATTGCTATGCTCTAATGTTTGGATCTTTGTAGATCTGTTCCAGTTGCTGATAGTTGTGAATACATCAACATTGATATTGCAGACGACTCTGAAGACTTGCCTACTAGTCTAACGCCAGCTGCAGGCTCTTCACATGATCTCCTGCCTACTCCTGCCACCCCAACTCGCAAGCTAGCAGGCCCTCCCAATTCACCTGTTGCTGGTCAGCGTCAGAAATCGCCTCATGGGCCTGCAGGCAACAGACAAGGCAAGCAAGCTAAGGATGTCTGGCCCTTCATTGAGACAGATGAGAATGGACACAAGAAATGCAAGTTTTGCTTGTATGAATTT